ATGAGTCTTATAGATTAAGGTTTCACTACAAGTATCACAGACAATTCACATTTTAGATAAATCCTGTCAGACACACATGCACACCTTACAATAATTCCATATACCAAATATAGTTGATCTATTGCTTATGTAGTACTTGAAAAAAAAGAATAAAACACAAACAAGAGGCTCTCAAGAACCTGAATCGCTCACCTGTTTTTTTTTTGCTTAAAATCTTTCCACAATGATAATTTTGCTTTTCAATATATATTAATGAGTGTAGTAAAAATTCCATTAAAATGTTCTTTGTATCTGTCATATCTTCAAAAGCGAAAAAAATGCATTTTACCACCTATGTACCATTTTAGTCATAGTGGCTATGTTTCTTGACGTACAAGGAAATAAAATAAAAAATTTATACTAGATATTCTGAAACTGATTCAGCCTATGTTTTGCTGAAATTGATTCAGCAGTTTTAAAGCAAGCAAACTAGATGAACAAATTCAGAAAAATTGTCTTTAAAGGGCAGTAACTCCTTAAGGGGTCAATTGAAAATTTTGGTCATTAAACTTTTTTGTAGATCTTATTTTGCTGAACATTTTTGCTGTTTACAGTTTATCTTTATTATTAATAATATTCAAGATAATAACTAAAAACTTATTTTGTAAAAATTTACAAAATTTATGAAAATTGTTAAAAATTGATTATAAAGGGCAATAACTCCTTAAGGGGTCAATTGACCATTTTGGTCATGTTGACTTATTTGTAGGTCTTACTTTGCTGTACATTATTGCTGTTCCTTTGGAACAGTGAGCTAAAAACTTAACATTGACCAGTGAATCATGAAAATTAGATCAAGGTCAGATGAAACCTGCCGGACTGACATGTACCCCTTACAATCATTACATACACAACCTATAATTGACCTAATGCTTCCAGTATTTTAGAAATGGATCTAATCACATAACTTTAACATAAAATGAGGTCAAGGTCAGAAGAACCCTGTCTGACTGAAATGTAGACATTGCAAGGAACCCATATACCAAATAAAGTTATCCTATTACTCATAGTATGTAAGAAATTCACATGACAAACATTGTTTTTCTTTAAGCATATGCTGAACCATGAAAATGAGGCTGAGGACAATGGACATTTGACAGAGGGAAATTTCGTAATATATGGTATCTGCAGCATCTAGGTCTTCTAACTTTTGAAATATAAAGCTTTATACAGACAAAAACTGAAATGAAAGGTGTTTTAAGAAAAATGATCCTGTAACATGATAAAGCCATGTATCATAATTTAAAACCATTACATATTGCATAGACTGTATCTAAGAACCACAGAAACAGCATACACGCTGCATGTTTGAATATTGGGAAAATTCATTCAGACTAGATCTTGGAACTAGACATAACATACTGAGAATATCTAAGAATCACTGACAATACATACATGTATACATGTAGACCCTTTCTAAGAAACCCACATAATTCACACAGATTGTATCCTGATCTAGTTTTACTTAGTTAAAATAGTAGTCATAATTTAATAAAAAATCATTTCACACATGCTTAGCTACAATATTAAGTCCAATGCAGGCTTTATATTGCATTCCTTCTGTAAACAGGAAATGTGAATTTGAATATGACAGTACAACCCTCTTGAAGCAATTTTCTCTCTTGTTTTCTATCTTTTGCTGTTTTATTTTCTATATCATGCAAGTTATATTTAAACGCCATATCTATTATTGGAACAGCTTTCCTTTTAATATACATATTGGATAAAAAATCAATCAAAAAATGTTTAATTAGTTTGGTTCTTTATTATAAAACTTTTAATTTTTCTAAATTTGTATATAGGTAAATGAATACATTACCATAAATACCTAAATAAAGTTTACACAACATTTAAAGAAAATTATCTATACATTAGTGACATGCATAAAGCACAATTTATATTTATCATGCATAATATTATGGTATAAAACAAAAGAGACAAAAAAGTAACCAATTAAAAAATATAGAGCAAGAGGTCACTATGTGGTTTTGAGAGATTTTTTTTTTAATAGGAAGACTAATTCAATTGACATTTTAATCTTTTATAATTTATAGACCAAACACATTATTAACAAATTTACCATTTTCAAAAATTAACAATGCACAAGCAATTTATCTTAGAAAGAGACAATATTTAATGCATTTCCTTTTATACATTTAAATAATTGTAAATTAATAAATTGTGACTTTTTCACTTTCTGTCTTGTAACTCTTAGTCCTTTGACTTCTTTCTGTTTTTCAACACATAATGTCAACAATCAACGAGCATAAAATGTGAATAGTCAATTCCAGTTTAAATATTCATCATAATTTAAAGTAAAATTATTTGTAATAATGAAGTATTTAAAGTAAAATTATTTGCAATAATGAAGTATTAGCATATCATAATCATTATGTATGTTTTTCTGTATTTACAACATTTAAAAATCACATTGTGAGGTATATTAAACTAGATGATAAATGCATCCTCTATACAATGAAGAAAATCCCCAATGAAAAATGAGATTTAGAACTAACCTGAATTATACAAAAAGAATCACTGGTGTGACACTTTCCAAAGTTTTTTTTTGTATGGAGTCTTCATAATTTTTTTTTTAGAAATTTGTATTTAATGTATGCCAAGATTCTCTTATCTTTATTTAGAGAGGCATCCATAGTGGACAGTCCTTCTGGTATATATATTTTTTTCAAAACTAAACATAATTGGGGCGGGGGGGGGGGGGGGGGGGGGGATTTATACTACACATATCAAGAAGAAAAAAAACCAATTCATACCTACAAGGTATTCAAGAATGACATCTTAATATTAGGAAATAAAAAAATTAAAGAAAGTAGTTGTCAATGGTACTCAAGTAGGAAAAGGTTTAAAAAAACATCTAACACATTTCTAATAAACTGCTTCGCTGAGCGCAGCTGGATATGCCCGCAGAGGTCCAACCCTGAACAGCTGGGGCAAAAATAGACACAATATTCAAGCTTGATACAGGTCTGAATTTGGATTGTAATTAAATATTTGACATATTATAGGTTTCTGAATAAATGTAGTCAAAGAACTTGAAATTGGTTATATGAATTAAATTTATATTCAATTAAAGATTTCTTGCTGTTGTGCAATACACTGTGCTGTTGCACAATACTTAGTAAATCTGTTGTCAGACTATAAACAAACAATAACTTCTCAATGTTATATCAGAAATTTATAAAAAAAACTAAAGGGAGGTTATCTTAATAGATATAAATCAGTCATCAAAGTTTAATGAAAACTGCTCTAAGCAGTTTAAGGATATTGTCCAAAAACTTGAAAATCACCCCTTTTTTATGAATAAAATCTTATAACTTGGAAACGTAAAATCTTAAATTTATAATAATCAAAAGGGAGCTTACAACAATAGATATAAACAATTTACCAAAGATTCATAAACAAGAGTGCACACGCTGAAATGTCTCGCCTTCTTTACTAATCATTGATATTATGGTGATAGTCCTAAATATGAAGCTTTATTACAACTGTCACATAAACTTAACATTAACCAAGAAAACTAAACATTGACCAATGAACCATGAAAATGAGGTCAAGGTCAGATGAACCATGCCAGGCAGACATGTACAGTTTAACAATTCTTCCATATAACAAATATAGTTGACCTATTGCTTATAGTTTAAGAAAAACAGACCAAAACACAAAAACTTAACACTGAGCAATGAACCGTGAAAATGAGGTCAAGGTCATATAAAACCTGCGCGACTGACATATAGATCATAAAATATTTCCATACACCAAATATAGTTGACCTATTGCATATAGTATTAGAAAAAAAGGCCAAAACTCAAAAACTTTACTTTGACCACTGAACCATGAAAACGAGGTCAAGGTCAGATGACACCTGCCAGCTAGACATGTACACCTTACAATCATTCCATACACCAAATATAGTAGACCTATTGCATACAGTATAAGAAAAACAGACCAAAACACAAAAACTTAACTATAACCACTGAACCATGAAAATGAGGTCAAGGTCAAATGACACCTGCCAGTTGGACATGTACACCTTACAGTCCTTCCATACACCGAATATACTAGACCTATTGCTTATAGTATCTGAGATATGGACTTGACCACCAAAACTTAACCTTGTTCACTGATCCATGAAATGAGGTCGAGGTCAAGTGAAAACTGTCTGACGAGCATGAGGACCTTGCAAGGTACGCACATACCAAATATAGTTATCCTGCTACTTATAATAAGAGAGAATTTAACATTACAAAAAATGTTAACTTTTTTTTCAAGTAGTCACTGAACCATGAAAATGAGGTCAAGGACATTGGACATGTGACTGACGGAAACTTCGTAACATGAGGCATCCATATAAAAAGTATGAAGCATCCAGGTCTTCCACCTTCTAAAATATAAAGCTTTTAAGAAGTTAGCTAACGCCACCGCCGCCGCCGCTGGATCACTATCCCTATGTCGAGCTTTCTGCGACAAAAGTCGCAGGCTCGACAAAAATGCTGAAAGCATTTTTGAGTTATTGTCCGAAAACTGGAAAATCCCCCTTTTTGTAATGAATAAAACCCCATAAATCAGAAACGTCAAGTCTAAAATTTATAAAAATCAAAAGGGAGCTCATGTCGATAGAAATAAACAATTCACCAAAGTTTCTTGCAAATTGGTGAAATTGTTTTTGAGTTATTGTCCAAAAACTGGAAAATTCCCCCTTTTTTAATGAATAAAACCCACAAAACTCGGAAACGGTAAATCCAAAATTTATAAAAAATGAAAGGGAGCTCACGTGAATAGATATAAACGATTCTACAAAGTTTCATGCATATTGGTTAAAGCATTTTTGAGTTAATGTCCGACATGTTGACTACGGACGGACGGACGGACAGACGGTCAATGGTATACCATAATACGTCCCGTAAACGGGCATATGAAAAGGAGAAATTATAAAACAGATATATCAGAACAATACATTTCCTGAATGTTACATTACTCTATCATAGTGGTAAAATATAAAACAAAAACTCAAAACTAAGTGCAATAAAACAAGTCTTCTCTGTTCTTTAAAATTGTTCTTGCCCTTCACTCTTTGACACTTGTATGGCAAGCACTAAGATTAGTCTTGATAAACCTAAAATGAAATGGCTTTCATGTAAAATTCACAAAATCTGGTTCAATTATAGAAATAAACATTCATTCTAAATGAAAAAAAATAAGTTTAAACTGTTTTGATCACATTTCCACAAGATGACCTGGCTTTTCTTTTGATATATTAAACTCAATTTGGAATGGTGTCTTCGTTTCTGATCTTCCAGTTTGGACATGTTGCAAAAAATACCTTTTTTGGTTTAAAAATATTTTATCAAGTATAATTCATTATACGACTGGAACATCTTTAGCTTGAAAGGTAGATCAAACTATCAAAATATTAAGTGTGATTAAGCGTATCTAAATTTTTTAGAAAAAAAAAAAACTATTAAAATCAAGGGCAGATAATTACATTGATTTGATAGGACAATTTGTTTTGTTTTTATGGGCGGATAGACAGACAGGGTGATTCCTATTATTTAATCACCTCAAAAACTTTGTGGGATGTATAATAAGATGGATAAAGTACAAGATTATATCATGGCAGGAGGTTTTAAACAATAATCTTCAATAGAATTAGCATACAGTACAGTGTAACAATTATATCAGAATTATTTATTTTTTTTTATTTTGGATCTGGAAAATTAAAACTGTACCAGTAAGGTCTCTTCTTATTTTGAAATTAAAGGGAAAAAAAACTAAAAAAAAAAATAATTTGAGAAGACAGTAAAAGTTGATTTTTTGTTCAGGTCTTTAAATAATTCAATTTCTGAATTGATCAAATGTTTAATTAATCCCATGGAAACTGTTTGTAGCAGCATGTCCAGTCTGCCTTACTTCACCAGAGTACTAACCAGATTTTCCATTGGTCAATAAAACATAAAATTTCCATGAAAATTATGGTAAAGATGAATTTAAACATTATCCAATACGCCTGAATTATTAAATGGGTTTTAATGAAGTTGTTAATAGATATAAGAAGTTGTGGTATGAGTGCCAATGAGTTAAGTTTATATGTCTCAAATTAAAAGTATTTTTTTCAGATCAAATAATCCTAAATAAATTTCAGTCTCAAACATAGCATTTTTTTGGGGTGACTGATACCATTGTAGGTCCTGGATTTCTTTCAACATCACCAAATAACACCTGCTCGCTAAAACCTTCACTGTTGTTAAGGCAGATGTTCTTTTGGTTAAAATACTACTCTCAACTTCATTACACTCTGAAACAATATACACATAGATATATATTTATATTATTAGATACAGAACAGAGATAAAGAGTTTTCAGTTGCATTATATACACACTCTTTAACTTGATTGACTTAGTCAGAAAAATGAAAAACGGTAAAAATCTTGAAAAAAATACAATTTCAACAACTAAAGATTGCTTAAACATGTTAAAAGTACATTAATAGTGAATGATTAACTGCAATAATTTATATAATATAAAAAGAACTTTTTACAAACACAAATCACCATGTTTAAGATTTTTTTATATATTTATACATAAATTATATTCAAAAGTAAGACTTTTAAAGAGGCAGTATATGCAGAAATAGCATTTTTCTTGAAAGAAATCAAACCTATCAACATATTTGTTTGTGCAAATGTAAATACATGTAATGCCTCTTTAAACTTAATTTAAAATTCAAGTCTGTTGTCAGATTGAAAATGGTGACAATAATGTATACAAAAATATTGTTATTTACTGTATCCAATTAAAAAAAAATATCATCTATTATACACTACCAAATGCTCATCACAGAAACTCCCCTGTTCCTCAACAGCATTTTCTTTATTTGGTATCTAATAAAAAGAAAAAGCAAATTATATTGAAATTGACCACTCACACTACATATATGATGTATTTAAAAATAAATGGGGATCGAATGTGTCCATGGGACACAGATGGACACAGATGATGCCCCCGCTTGCACATCATATAAAGTTATAAAGGGACATAACTGAAGAACGGTAAAAGTGAACCATTTGGTTGAGGTAAACTAAAGTTAGAGAACAGAAGCCAATTAACTTTGGGACGTACCGACGGACAAGGGTAAAACTTAATGACCCCTCCACTACGGTGGGCATAAAAAAAGAATTAAATGCTTGTTGATACCTGTATGTCCTTTTATTCCACGGGTTCAAATTCACTTTAGGCAAAGGAAGGTCCAGCCTGACCTTTGACCAATTATACTTAAGGTCAACCCGTCACGAGGGTAAAGAATGTGAGTAACCACATAAGTTCCCTTTCAGTATAGTTGCATATATTAAGATCATTTTAATACTAAATTTTCATATTTTTGCTCAATATGTTTTTGTAATTTTTTTAAACTGCAAATATATTAAAGTACATCGGGTGTAACTAACTACCAGTGGGAAGGTCCAAACCAGTAAATGGAAGGTCATGGACCTCGGACCAACACCAATTTGAACACCTGTTTTCTAGTGTATATAAATCTTCCCCAAGTTCAAATATAAATAACACCATACAGCAGAATTAAATCCAAATTAATTAAAGATGTTTGCTAGTCAGGTTTTTAAATTATTGTCAGATTTTGGAATTCCTCTAGTTCTGTCCATTTGAAAACCAAAATTTATTTTTGCCACTTCACTCATTTTTCTTTTCATAAATCTTTATTATGCCGGAGAGAAGCCATTTCTAAAAATCTTATCAAATTCTTGTAATTTTAGCATCCTAGCATTTTGTAATAGTGTTTGTGAAGTAAGATTTGTCAATGATAAAGATATCAAAATTCCAGAGAGAATTTTTCCCTGCAAATTTTCAATAGCTTATATCTCAAAAACAAGCATAAACAACACAGTCCTTTAAGTATTTTAGCTCTTTTAGTTGTGAGTGAGTGAGTGAGTGAGTTTATTAATCTCCTATCAATATTTACCACTGTTCTGAAAAGCTTGATATTTTGAAACTGAGTAGAAAACATCCTGCAGAGCTCCAGATAAGAATTCACAAATTGGGGTTTTTACCCACCATTTTTTTATGTAATTGGGTGATAAGGTTTTTTAATTGCATTATCAATTTCAATTCACCCCTCAAGCAAATATCAAATTGGGTTTTTCACCACCAAGCTCCTTAATGTATTGGGTTTTTTCATCAACACAATATTGAATATTTAGGCATGTTATAATCACATTATATCAACCCCATATGTGTTTCCATCTTAAGTGTGTTTCTTTCTTTGTATATGTGCTTAGCTGTTTTATTTGGTTTATTCACTGAGTAGACGAGCAATTGTACGTTTAATTTGTGTTCCGTTTTAAACGTTCTGTCAGTTTTGTATTTTCTCAAAACTTATGTAAACTGCAGCTGGTGTCACTAGTTGGACAGTAACTAATTGCCTTTCTCGATCCCATATGATCACCCTACAGTTTATAGTTGGGGTAGGTGTGGCTAAGTGTTTAGATTTTTATGTAATATATGTGAAATTTAGGTGCTGTAAGAAAGTTTTGCCAGTCCTTTCACCTATTTGCCAGATCTACTTTTTAATAAAAATAAGAAGTAGTTCCCAGATTTAAGATATACCCCAAAGACTTGAGATTTATAGGGTGGTTTAATGATGGAGACCACATTCAACTTAAATTTACAAATAATTCTGCAACATCAAGTAAATAAATGACAATGTTATATTGCACTTGCCAATAAGACAACTATCTTAAGCATCCAGAACAATTAGACCAAAACAAAGAAAGTGTCAGGCTGCATAATTTGACGTAAAAAACGGATATCTGTATTCATTCATCAACTAAAATGAAAAAAAATAATATATAAACTGTTTTTGTTTAATTCAATTTGCATAAATCTGGGTTAAGTTGTCCCTTATCAGAACTTTTGGTTTCCGATGCTTTCCAACTACATATCATGTCATAATTGATTTGGCCTTTCACTTTTTCCAACTGATTTCGTTTTTGACGAAACCCCGTGTTTATCGTTCTATAGCAATGTTCTCGTTAAGGTACGCAAACACGCCCGTGCGTTCAATGGACGCTTCCTAAAATCACTAGCTGAGTCTTGTTATCATCATAACTTTCCCTCAGCTATCAAAAAGAAGCCGAAAACATGCTTCTATTCAATATTTTTATCGGACATTTACTTTCGTTTTAATTCATTGTATGTTATGATAAATCCCGATCAATTCGAAAAAATATGACAGCATGTCACACGCTAATTGAATAAACGCCGAGAAGATCGAAATGTTTTCATAAACACGTGTACCTTTTGAGCAACGGAAAATTCCAACAGGGACCCATTACAGCTACTTGATGCAAGGCTCTATTTTAAGAACGAAAGGACATTTCCAATTATAAATATAATAAAAATAGATTTACGCGACGACTGTAATCAGATAAGGGTAAATAACGCAAACGATAGCGAATAAAAGCGTTAAGAACTCATGGTTTTGGCATATAATTGGGTTTTCCTATGAATTAATTGGGTTATTGAACCCTGCAGTAAGCAATTGCATTGGGTTTTTAATTATTTGTATTGAGTGATCACGCAAATACGCAGCTTATCTGGAGCTCTGCATCCTTTAAGTAATTTACCATATTGTCAAATGGTGTGATGTATTCTGAATGTATATAACTAACCTGAAATGACGAATCTCTGTCTGTCTGAATTCTGCCTACAAAATAAATGAAGGCATAAGAACATAAATTCTTATTTATTTTTTGCTTATAACAATCATATAATAGTGCACATTAAAGACCCATTGGTGGCCTTGGGCTGTTTTCTACTCTTTGGTTGAGTTGTTGTCTCTTTGACACATTACCCGTTTCCATTCTTTATTCTATGTTGATCATTTTATAAATGTGTCAAGCCTTAGAAAATTAAATCTATTTTCTCATGTTTATAGCATGTTGTCTATTTCTCACATTGAGAGATATTTCTTGAATTACACTGCAAGGAGTGAATAAAAAATTGCATGAATATGATTGACTGGGAAATGATGGTGTAACATTCCAATTGGTTATATGATAAAAAGTACATGTATCCATAGTTACCTATTCAATTGTGTAATACACGCTTTCTTTTTTTCAAATGTCATGTACGGTACACACTTTTTAAATATTTACAAGCATTTTCTTAAGTGATAGTTATTGGTTATGAGTTGTTTTTCGGTTTAACGTCCTTAAGTCCTTGAGTTCTTTGAATCGCTAATCTATCAAATGTTTCATTTTTGTTTTGGGAAGATGCCGAGTGTTTGAATGAAGGCTGTAGTTTCATGTAATATATGACATTATCAATCAAACCTTTTTTTATTTTTCTAGTATGGCCAAAATAACATGATCTATCAAAAAGTCTTTTTTTAAGCACATCACTGGACAAACAGGACAATTAAAGGTGCTCTGCAACAATAATCACCATGAATTTAATTAAATGATCAACTATTGCATATATCCCATATCTCTGAACACAAAAAAGTTTCCTACTACGATGGCTTCAGTGAAAGTGGAAATATTAACACACATCTCTGAATACAAAAAAGTTTCATACTACGATGGCTTAAATTGGTGAAAGTGGAAATATATACCAAGAATAGCATTAAACAAGAACTCTGAACTAAAAAAATAACATACTTTAATATGTAATGCTTTGCATTATGAATTGGGCAGAAATGTTTAAAATAAATAAAATGTGTACCTTTTCTTCTTTCTTCATCACAGACATTTTCTTCGTAGGCTGCATTGATATGGGTTCAAGCAGTTGCTTTTTTATGTGAGTCTATATTAAGTTAAAACAATCTATTACTATAAATCAGATTTTTCAGCATTAAGACAATAGTTTATGAGCAAACTATGATAATTGATGCTGAAGAACATTTTAATATTATCAAACCTGAAGTTAATATTACATAGTTAAATAAATGCATTCAAGATACATTGTAATGTAGTCCAAATATATTCTTTATATGATTTTGTCTTTTGGTTTTGAAGTAACACTATTAATGGATGGAAATGCAGAGATCTGATATTTATGCAGTTCAATATATATATTTATATATATCAGCACAAGTCATTAAATATATGTTAGACTCAGATTGACGTCCGGTCTCTAATCGACGTCCAAATTTGACGTCACGTTCTAAAATCAGTGTCCAATATTTTAACCCTCTAATTGACGTCCAATGTGACGTTATGAATCACAAAAACGACGTCTGATCGATGAGAGTCTCCTCTCATCGCGATGTCTATAAATTTCATTGAATCATTTATTTTTAAATTGATCTTTGTTTATATTATCTGTATCTTTTTGTCTTTTTGTGAAAAAAAATGAAAACAACACGTTATAAATTTAATGCGTCCGAAGCGCTTTTCTTGATTTACCTTCATCAAAAACTAGTAGCTTACCGAAACAATTACTGTTTGCTTTTATTGGTATCAAAACTAGAAGCTCTCAAGAGCCTGTTTCGCTCACCTGATTCTACTTTGGTTTTGGAAATCATGTTAAAATGGATTAAAATCATAACAGATACCCTAATAATGAGTGAGGCCAAATTTGGTTTAATATTGGCCCTGTAATTTAATAAAAAATCCTGGTGGCCATCTTGAACAGTAAATCAGCAACAAAGTAGCAAGACTTCATCAGCACCTCATAAGAAACATTTATGCCATGTTTGGTTTCATTCCATTCAGTGCACCTCTAGAAGAAGCATTTGTATGTATTTCCAATAGGGTCTTATGTCAAAGGAAGTCCCACCGCTGGCGGCCATCGTGGATGAAGGATCAACTTCAAAGTAACAACACTTAGTCGGCACCTCATAAGGAACATTCATGCCATGTTTGGTTTCAATCCATTCAGTGGTTCTCTAAAAGAAGACATTTGTATGTATTGTCCATAGGGTCCTTTGTTAAACACTGTTCCCAGCTGGTGGCCATCTTGGATCATGGATCGGCTTCAAAGTAACAACACTTGGTCAGCACTTCATAAGGAACATTCATGTCATGTTTGGTTTCATTCCATTCAGTGGTTCTCTAAAAGAAGTGGTTCTTTAAAAGAAGACATTTGTATGTATTTCCCATAGGGTCCAATGTTAAACTAAGTCCCCCGCTGGCGGCCATCTTGGATGATGGATCAACACTTGGTCAGCACCTCATAAGGAACATTCATGCCATGTTTGGTTTCATTCCATTCAGTGGTTCTCTAAAAGAAGACATTTGTAAATATTTCCCATAGGGTCCTATGTTAAACTAAGTCCCCCGCAGGCGGCCATCTTGGATTATGGATCGGCTTCAAAGTAGCAACACTTGGTCAGCACCTCATAAGGAACATTCATGCCATGTTTGGTTTCATTCCATTCAGTGGTTCTCTAAAAGAAGACATTTGTATGTATTTCCCATAGGGTCCTATGTTAAACTAAGTCCCCAGCTGGTGGCCATCTTGGATGATGGATCGGCTTCAAAGTAACAACACTTGGTCAGCACTTCATAAGGAACATTCATGTCATGTTTGGTTTCATTCCATTCAGTGGTTCTCTAAAAGAAGTGGTTCTTTAAAGAAGACATTTGTATGTATTTCCCATAGGGTCCAATGTTAAACTAAGTCCCCCGCTGGCGGCCATCTTGGATGATGGATCAACACTTGGTCAGCACCTCATAAGGAACATTCAAGCCATATTTGGTTTCATTCCATTCAGTGGTTCTCTAAAAGAAGACATTTGTAAATATTTCCCATAGGGTCCTATGTTAAACTAAGTCCCCCGCAGGCGGCCATCTTGGATTATGGATCGGCTTCAATTTAGCAACACTTGGTCAGCACCTCATAAGGAACATTCATGCTATGTTTGGTTTCATTCCATTCAGTGGTTCTCTAAAAGAAGACATTTGTATGTATTTCCCATAGGGTCCTATGTTAAACTAAGTCCCCCGCTGCGGCCATCTTGGATGATGGATCGGCTTCAAAGTAACAACACTTGGTCAGCACCTCATAAGAAACATTCATGCCATGTTTGGTTTCATTCCATTCAGTGCACCTCTAGAAGAAGCATTTGTATGTATTTCCAATAGGGTCTTATGTCAAAGGAAGTCCCACCGCTGGTGGCCATCGTGGATGAAGGATCAACTTCAAAGTAACAACACTTAGTCGGCACCTCATAAGGAACATTCATGCCATGTTTGGTTTCATTCCATTCAGTGGTTCTCTAAAAGAAGACATTTGTAAATATTTCCCATAGGGTCCTATGTTAAACTAAGTCCCCCGCAGGCGGCCATCTTGGATTATGGATTGGCTTCAAAGTAGCAACACTTGGTCAGCACCTCATAAGGAACATTCATGCCATGTTTGGTTTCATTCCATTCAGTGGTTCTCTAAAAGAAGACATTTGTATGTATTTCCCATAGGGTCCTATGTTAAACTAAGTCCCCCGCTGCGGCCATCTTGGATGATGGATCGGCTTCAAAGTAACAACACTTGGTCAGCACCTCATAAGAAACATTCATGCCATGTTTGGTTTCATTCCATTCTGTGGTTCTCTAGAAGAAGTTCAAAATGTAAAAAGTTAACGACGACGACCGACGCCAAGTGATGAGAAAAGCTCACTTGGTCCTTCGGGCCAGGTGAGCTAATAAAAGGACAAATTTGACATCAGAAAATGACAATAAGACGATCACAGACATCATTATTACTTTTACATGTACATGCATAATAATATTTTGGTGAAAGACCTTCATATTCTTGACCTACGTTGTTGTTTCTTTTATTGTTCATATAAACAAATAAATGTGGGTATACATTGTACGACAATGAGACAACAACCCAAAGACAAAGATAATCAAAAGATATCTAGAGGGCAGTACATTTATACAGACTCAAACAATAGAAAGAATAAAAACGTACGGCAAATTGTTGAAAAGTATTATAATTTGGTTATATTTTTCAACAACCGTTTTGAGTTATAGGTTCAACCCACCTTTGATAAAGATGAGATTTCACTGCGACATGTCCATAAAACGGACGTCAATTAGAGAAGCCAAAAAATGGACGTGGATTTGAGAACAACAAAAAAGACGTCGATTAGAGGGACATAAAATTGGTCGTCGATTTGGAACGTTATTTTATTGTGACGTCAGATTTGGACGTCGATTTGAGGAACGGACATCAATTAGAGACTGGACGTCGATCTGAGTCTTACATATATACAACAATACCTGATAAAAACTATGTTCCAGTAAAGCTTTGTTTGGTAGGACTACAGCCACATCCTCTGTGACCCCAAATACTAGATCACTTGTCTTTACCCTGTATCTATTAAAAATGCACTATATTAAATATGAAATGAAATGAAAGTAACTAAAAAATTAAACAGTCTTAAACTAAAAGAAAAGGGATTTCAGTAGTTGTACAATCATTAAGTAATATTGTTGGTAGGTTTTAATTTTTTTCAGCTCATGTGTAAGTGAGTCCACTTCAAAATTATATCAATGGCCATTCATTATCTCTTTTTAGTTTTTTTTTGTATCAGTGCTGTATCAAATAGACACAATTCATAATCTCTCCATGCATTATAGTGACCAAAGCATAATACCGTGCATGATGATTAGGTCAATTGCCTTGTTTCTAACGATCTTATTATTCTTTAAATACGGTTTTACTAAAAAAAGCTATAAAACCAGGTTAAATCCATAATTTCCTTCATAAAAAATGCCTGTACCAAGTCAGGAATATGACAGTTGTTTTCTGATTCGCTTCATGTATTTGAGCTTTTGATTTTGCCATTTGATAACAGACTTTACATTTTGATTTTTCCTCTGAGTTCAGTATTTATGTTACTTTACTTTTTACATGTAACTTGCATATCTATCTTATCTAAATATCATTTAATTCCTCTTGAAAGAAGATGTATCATATGTAATAGGGCCATGTTTCTAGACGTTTAAAACAATAACAGCATGCATTCTTGTAAGAGATTTACCAGGAAAAAGTACAAACGGGTTCAGAAATACACATTTTAAGGTTTAATGGCAAAATAATTATCATTCTTATGTAGGTATCTTAAAATAAATATGTAGTTCCAACTCAAACACCTTTGTATTTTTTTTCTGCAGAAGCCCTTTGTAAAATTGTTAACAAATAAAATAATGCATAGTGGAGCAAAACAAAAGATAAACAAATAAAGAGTAATGCAACAATGACCAACCCTGTTTCATAAGTGCCACTTCTTCATCTGTGAGACTACATTAAGAATTAAGAATTTTAAGTTTTATTTTTTGGGGATTAATTATTTAACATTTGATATTTATGAATAAAAAATACAGCATTTATTTTCCATCATAGATTTTATAAACACTTTATTTTGGAAAATGTATATAACATTTATCATGCATGTACCTGGTATAAAACGAAAAGAAAATTTTGATTTCATTCATGTCAATGTTGGATTTATCAGCCAAATAAAAAAAAACATTAAATGTACAAAATACTATCTGATGTTCTGCTATGTTCTCCGGCCATCATTTATGGTATAATATTATTAATGACTATATATATATATATATATACTATTATAAATGGCCATTTGTAGTCATACTATTCAAAATAATATGCTAACTGTTTTTTCTTTTTTTCTACCAATCTCAACTGAAGACACACTCCTCCTTTTAAATGTAGGGACTCCAATTGATTTCTTCATTTCCATACACTGTTATCAAAATTAAAAAAAAAATAACTTTATTAACCAATAACAAAAAATATGATATTTTTTAAAATATTAGCTTTTATTTTTGTGATATATGTACACTTCACATAAAAACTGCATTTACAAATATAAAATGTGTGTAACCTGAATAAACTAGCACTTTGAGTCAACTCACACAAGGAAATCCCCCATCCAGCACTGCTATTTTTATATTTATTATAAATCTTTATTGCAATTAAGTTAAAAGTCGAGTTGCTTGAAAACGGGGAAAACTTTTTTAATTTTTTGGTGTACCTCTTTAACATTTTTGAATGATGATTCCTTATAGAATTGTATAACAGTATTGTTGATTCTTTGTTACAAAAATGTAATCTCTACACAAAGTATGGTTATTTTCTGAAGAAACAGATAGCCTTTTGAAATACTGTGGATTCATTATTATTCGTTGGATACCAATTTCTGTGGATTTCGTGGGTACAGGTAAACCACGAAATTAAATGTTCAACGAATAACATATTTTCAATAAGGGTTTATGAAGACTTTTGCAAAACCACGAAATCAAATATCCACGAAAATGCAAGTTTTTCCGCAATCCACGAAAATTGGTACCCACGAAAATAAGTGAATCCACAGTACAGCAGATGGCTTGTAGTTTAATTATTATTAAATTTCACAGCCAGCACCGTCATATTAAACGTAAAGGGAGATAGTAACTAAACTATAGTACATATATGTAAAAGACCCTTTCTGCAAATTTCGTTAAAGAGTGGGCTCTTTGGGGCAGCTGTAGAGGCAATATTTGTTCGGGCAATTTCCAAGTATATTTCATTTGTCTACATGATTTATTTTCTTACGCTTGATTTGTTCAGTACAGTATACATTTTGTCTTGTATCTACAGTGTATCCTGTTTTATTTTAGAAAATGAACAATGTGTCACTCTCATGAAAGAATTTTAAGCGTGCATGACTTTCCAACATATAGACTATTATAAATAAGTATCGCATAACTTTTTCAAATCCTGCAATCAAAATACCGGGACCCTTTCTCATGCAGTGTATAACTAAGTTCGAGTACATCTACATGTATGCTGTTTATTAAATGTAAAGTAAATCTGAAAATTCTGTTTAAAAAATCAGACGACACGACCGTTTAAATATGTGACTGTTTATATATATATAATTCTTAAGAAATAGGAGAAATATAATATTTTTGTTTATGTATCTCCCAAAACTTTGTTTGTAGGGTGTATAAAAACAAAAAGTGACAGACATTCCTCCGGCATATTTTCCATTCATTCTTATAATATTAGACATTATTTTCATACCTTAATATCAAACGTGGTTTTAGTTTGGTCTGACCTGTTGCATGCACAGGAAGTCTCACCACTTCAGCATAGGTCATCTTTGATGAACTAGATGCTGTATGAGATGGTGAAGTTGCAACCCCAGTTATGCACAGTGTTCTAATGGGGGCTTCCATCAATTCCATTGGTACAACTTGCTTCAGGTTGGAATTCCCTAGAATTAAAATGCTTCTCAACCTTTTCTGAAGTTTGTAAATCATATCTAAATAAATAAAATAGGTATACAACAGTTTGTCGGATCCACCACAGATTTGGCAATTTTTTCCATTTAATAATAAAGGAGCATAAATACATGTAACTCAAGAACGGTTACAGTGACGGGAGTCAAATTCAAACTTGATCTGTGTTTTGTGGTAATAAGTAGTGTATAAGTTTTATAACATTTGTTGGGACAAACTAAAGTTAGAGACAAGAAAAGAAAGATTCAGCAATTTTTGCGTTAATAAAGGGGCATAACTCACGAACGGTCAAAGTGATGCCACTCAAATTCGAATAAATTGATCTGTGTTCTGTGAAAAAAATAATTGAGTGCAAATAAAGTAAGAAAATGGAAACCAATTTCTGTACAGACAGACATATAAATGGATGGACATCATGACAACAGTAAAAGTTAATGCCCCTTCGACTAGCAGTTGGGCATAACAAAAAAGTTATAATTATATTATTCATTCTGTCTTGGGATTCAGTTAATTTTCCAGATATTTTTTTTAACTTCAATCTATTTATATAGTTTGATTGGTGATTCATTCAGTGGTAAAATAATAAAAAAATCACACCAGATACATCATCTAATACAGGAATAGATAATTGTCACTAAATACTTGTGGCAAACTATTTTTTTTTAGACCAGATACATTATCCAATACGAAAATAGATTGTCACTAAATACTTAGCTCTGTAGAGAACAGATATAACGTAACAGTACCCAAATTGCACTGAGTACACAAATTGCACATATTCAACAAAAACAGCTGTGGAAATCTTACAAGTTTTCTTTAAGAATAAACACTTAGTATTTTTATGATTTGACATTACACATGTCTTTTAACATAGCTGAATATATTTAAATATACACAAAACGTTCACAGTAAATATCAACAGATGAAGCTTTCACTGGAAAAAGTAAATCTACGGAATCGTCGTCATGCGAAGTTCTCAAAAAGTCATCATAACTTATTAAATGGATAGTAAGCATGGACTAATGTCAAATTGTTCTAAATATTTGAAGAAATGGAACAAAACATCTAGCTGTTATTCAATTCTTAAGGATGTGAGTTAAAGCATGGTCGGCTGGTCGATGCAATTTGGGTACTCCACGTAATGGAATCCTGGATCGTTTGGAGGTCGGTTCATACTCATTTTTCAATGATTCAATATGGATTCAAAATTAAATAGGTGTAACTATATAGTAAACAAGTATACATCTACAAAATAAACACATATTGGAAACTTTTGTCTGCATCATAAAAAAACGTAGGTGAAAAAACTGTCAAAATAGGTGCAATTTGGGTACCGTCATGTTAGTTCTTAAACGTCTTCTCTAATGAAGAATTTGTGCGCTAGCAGGTCCATGTATCTGTATCTTTATATTTTCTGCCAATCTGTATCTTGTTATATAGCTTCTGCCAATGTAGGCACACCTCTTCCGAGTAGTGTATTTAACAACATGAATAAAAATATCTTCCACCACCTGTACGAACTGTGACGCCCGTATATGACACGGAAACCAGGCGTAAAAATCATACTTTATCCGGGCGTCATTGCAGTGTTTAAGGAATGCATGTCCAGGCGTCAACCAGGCGTAAACCAGGCGGAAACCAAGCGTAACTGAGGCGGAAACCAGGCGTAAAATTAGGCGTAATATTTAAATGAGTACGCCTGGTCCAGAGAAAACCAGGCGTAATATGCAAATGAGTACGCCTGGTCAATAAATAAACCAGGCGTAATATCCTTACGTAATACTACACTTATTTCAAATCAGTGTATTACCCTAGCTGTGTTCTTTTGTGTATTCAATACAAACTTCTGTACTGTTGCTTTAATTTCTCATTGTTTGACATAAAACAGGAAATATTAACCATTGAAGAAGCTAATATAGAAATAAATACATTTTAGACAGACACTGCCACTGGCTCAAATAAGTTTAAAGTTTAAATAAGAATTATGACAATTAATTTTTCTTGAAATAAAACTTAAGCATTTTAATTAACTAAGTTTTTTATAAATTAATGTCCTTTAAAATATAATATTGATAATACTGCAATTTAACTTCATGTAAAAGATTTTAATGTTATTATCCAAGGTTAAAGGTTTTGGGATTTCAAAATTACTGTTAGAACTTAAAACTTAATAACTTAGGTTATACTCACATAATTATTATTTACCATGTTTTACTTTCCATTTTTTCACAATTTTTATTAATCAATTTGATTCCATATTTCCAATTTCAAATTCTTTCAAAAAGCACAAAACAAGCTAATTATCCCTGAACATATGAAGCTGCCATAAGTCCAACTCTTGCAAACTAAAACCAAAGAGCCAAATTTTGAAAAAATTCCCATGATCCTTTAAACAAAGCATTATGGGTATTATGACTTAAGCCATACCAACAGTTTTACGCCCGTAAGAAAATTTACGCCTTGCTTATTTCAATTTACGCCAGGTTTACCACTTTTTTCTACGCCCGTAAGGACTAGAAATTTACGTTTCCTGCTCCCTTACGCCTGGATCTAGACACGTAAGTACCACTTACGCCTGGTTTACGCCTTATTTCCAGGCGTAATACGCCTTATAATTTCATACGGGCAATATCACTGTACATTATTTACATTCTTGACGATAAAATTGGGCTTCTACCAACTTCTACCAATACGCGGCCACCATCAATAAGTTGATTATTTTGCCACTTTTTGGATGCGCATTTAAAATTTAGACGAATAAATAAATATTGAATTGATTTGAATTTGTGCTATACATCATATATACAGTGAATTTAAAAACATCTTGGCTTGATCTAGTTCATCTCATGCAGGTAAGTCTTGAAGCATTCAAGACTACCTGTATTGGTGGCAGTATGTGGTAGGGCATTCCAGTCTCGTATCGTCCTTGGGTAAAAAGATTCCTTCCGCACTTCGGTCCTACAAGATGGTACTTGATATCCATTTGTATTGATGTTTCTGGATAGCCTATCTGGTGGAATGAGAGTATTACTGGTGTCAACTTTGACCATCCCGTTGGCAAGTTTATACATTATTGTAAGCCTTGATGTTCTCCTCGGCTTAATGTCAATTTAGACTGCATCAACACTTTAAATACTTTAAAATCTAAAATATCTATCTAAAGATATCACTGTTTAAGAGTAGACATCAATTAATCACTTAAGGGTTTATATAAAGTTATTATCTACTTCTACTTCAATATAGGCACACCTTCAGTATGATGCCATTTGATGGTGCTTTCAGTTTGGCAAGCCGCAATCCCGATAAAGGTTTTTTTTTCTACACCGAACAAATTTTATTTGTTAATTCTAGAATTTGATTGCACTTTTGTGTAAATATGACAATCTTGCAATAGGTACTAATATTAGCTGCCTGTTTTTTTTTTATATATAGCGTATTTCAAAAGAGAGAAAAAAAGAAACTTTGTTTTTGTTTACCTTTTCTACCTCACACGTAGAGAGCTAAAATAAAATATAAAACGGAATCAAAATCGGAATTCTTCCGGAGTAATCTCGTTTAATCAATCAATTTTTTAAATAAAATCTTTTTACACGTTGGCGTTTATGTTATTTTCTCACTTTTGCAAGCATTTTATACACCGTTCAAGTTAATGTCTTTAATGAAATTGAAGGATACGGCGTTGCAAACAGCACTGTATGTAAAACCGAGTACATCTGGAAAACTTGTGTCGACTCGTTTAACATTTTCTAAAAATGATTTCATTACCCTCAATATCATTACCAGCTGATTACTATGACCAATCTGAATGTCATGTGGATATTTCTGTTTTGTTTCTTCTTTCAATGCTGTCTGTGCCGGACTAGTTGACGTTACTTCCTGAGTTGTGACGCCGATATTTCTAAGTCACGGCTTATCATTTTTTACCCGAAAAGGATCAGACAGCAAAGCCCTTCTTTTACCTCTTCTCGTGTATTGTGTGACTGATTTGGAAAATTTTCCTTATGAAAATCATGTTGGTGCCATTCAACACGCCATTTTCTTTGAATCAAAAAACCCTTGTCATGATTTTTGATGTCCCCGAATTGAACATATTTTGTTATAACTACCAGCAGGTGACATCTATACTGTACAGTATAAAAGTATACTGTTGTTAGTGTTACTAGCAGACTAATTTTACTAATAGATTCCCACTAATAGTGGCTAATATTGCAGGATCGGGTGGTAGTTGATGTTAGTATCAATCTGATCTATGTCATTTAGGGCATTAAACCACACAGCTTCGACCTCAGCAGTAGGATCAAGTGGAAGGACAGCGGCACGGCGTACTAGTTGATGAATGTTGTTGTCTTCCTTGTATTGAACCTGAAGACCTGTTTCTTGAGCTTTTCTCCAGATGCATTGTGTGTAGTGGAAAACACAGTCTTTTGCGTTGATGCCAGGAAATAAAGAATATAAAGCTGTATTTCGGATGGCGACTTCATAGTCCAGGAAGATAGTGGTAGGCTGAAGTTGTAGTTGGTGTTGGTGGCATACATCTTTGAGTAAAATCAGGAACCTTGTGTATACTAGTTCGCTCTTGGCTACATTGCGCCGTCAACCATTGCGTGAAATGTGTGAAGTTGGGAGAATAGGCTCGGACAGGAGTAAAATGTACCAAAGAAACATATAACAAATAGACAGCGTATTATTTTTTTTTAAATAATATTATACCTGAGACTACTATAACACACTATGTGTTATAGTAGTCTCAGATTATACTTAATATACTTAAACAGTGTAAGAAATATGTTTTCTCTTAAAAAATACTGGTAAATCCTAGGTGGATTTTTAATAAATTATTTATCAAAACATCTATTGTTATTTGCATGTGGGAATAGAAGGAATAATGATTTTTAAAGGAAGACACCCCTTCCCGTACTAAGTCACAATATTATTTACAGTAAAAGCCGAAGGTGATGGTATCTTTAAGATTAGTATTGTTAAGCCCTGTTTGTCAGCAAAACATGGCATCAGATTTTTTTCCCAACTGATTGATTTTTTAATGAAAGAAATAAAAATAATTAACAAAAATGTCAACATCAGTGTATATAATGTGCGAATCCTGAAATACCATTTTCACTGTATCCGCTATGAATTTCTGATGTAGAATGATAAATAAACAGACGACAAATTCATGATTTTTGAATAAAATACGAAAAAATATATGATATGTACTGTTTTTATAAATTCATGATATAGGTAAGAGATGCGAATGGGGTTTTCATCACGCCTACAGCCATCCAGGTGTAAAATTGATACACACATAGATAAATATTAAGAATAGTTTACGAACAGAGCGTGCAAGAGATTTAAAAGCAACAGTTAAGTTACATTTGCAGAAAAATGTACCTTTTAACATTATTATTAATGTTGTATAACTTAAAACAGGTTTTATTGCTTAGTTTTTGATATTGAATTAAATTCCACTATAGATGTTTTCGTTATGCGAGTCATGTTTACTGTCGAATAATGATACTTGACTTTCATTTTCACTGTAGGGCGATTCATTTCTATTGTATATGCGATGCATTTTCACAGAAGGAAATTAATTAATTTTCATCATATAAAGTCTTAATTCAGCCGATTCTCTGACAAAATGTATGAAGTCAGATGGACTGATTATATATGCATACTTTGTGGGTCCTATTAGGCTAATATTTTCACCAAAGACTAATTGGCGTCCTGTTCAGTTAAGTATGCAATATTTATGAAAACAAAGTGTTGTTCCTGACAGCATTGTGTATTATTTATATTACATGAACACCCTGTGAATATTTTTAAATAGACAGGTCTGTGAATTACTTGTAAACATCGCGAAACAAACATTATGTGTAACTCAAACTTGATTCAACTACACCATGGCAAAAAGCGAAGCGCGAAAAAAAAAATCTGACTCAGGCAAAAAACCATAACCCCCCCTCCCCTATAAGTTAAATGGTTGCTCCCTTAGCAAATATCCAAATTCGGGACAGTTATCAATCCGTGTACTGAATTCAATCATTGTCGCATTGTTTCCTACTGTACCGTACTGTTTAATCAGCTTTGTTAGCCGGCATGACATAAAAACGGTCTATAAAAGAATTCAACTTTATATATAACTAATATAGGACAATGGTGTTGATTTAAAAAAAAAACCATTACAGGCCCTTTTGTTTTCCAAATAATTGATATTACAAATAAGTAATAAGTTCCAGGTCGACGGGTTCAAACAGAAAGATTTTGAAAGCAGAGAAGACCGTGCATCTTATAAACAGCATGACTTTATCAGATGACATACGAGTACTAAAAATCCAGGCTAAAAATAAGGCTTATTTATTATTAGATACTCTAATTCAGTCACGGAACCACGATGTCCCGGGTGTTTTCTAGTTTCAATAGAAACAGCAGATCTTTTACTAACGAACGGTGCAGAATTATAACGAAATCACGCAACGAACGTACAGGAAAAAAAATCGACGAACGGTACACAACGCACAACGTCCGGAATCAACCATACGTTGGTAATACCCGTGTATATTAAAGTAAGCATCTACGAATAGCTTGCATTTCAAATTGTAAATATCATCAATATTAAAGTCATTAAAAGACTATTTTCAGTTGTCACATGTCGAATTATGATATAAAACAACAATGAAAATTCATCGCTTCTCCAAAAATACCACATCAGAAATGATCGCACTTACAGTGATAATTCATCGCATTTATAGTTAAAATGAATCGCATTCAGCAATCAATATTATGGATTATGCTGCTTTAATTACACTTTTTTGGACTTTAATCCTGTTATTATACATTAATAAATTACATTCTAATGAAATTGTGTTAAAAAATACTTTCAAATCATTTATTTTGTATTTTCAAAATGTAAATACACACAGTTTTTCCCATCATCCTTTATTCTACAGTATTCAGACATACTCGCACACGACAGTGAAAATGAACTAACTGGATTCGCACTTTATATACATTGAACATTATAGACAAGATACAAGTATAAGTAGTTTACTAATAGGATCACATTGTTCACCCTTTCTCCAATCTAAGGATTTTATTTGAGGACCTACCATCAGGTTTACGAAGGGTGCAGATAAGTCCGCTGTAAAATAGATTCCCTTTCATGACAGTAAACTTGAATCTGTTTTAAAGGAGGTAGTAAATTAAATTATAAAGACGGATTCACACACTAGTTACTTCAAGGAGTCTGAATCGCTCAACGTACATATATACATATATATGTTCAGTCGTATACTTTTCTTACAAAAATAAGAAGATGTGGTATGATTTCCAAAGAGAAAACTCTCCACCAAAGACCAAACGACATAGAAGCAATTTAGTTAGCAACTGTAGGTAATCGTACGATCATCAACAATGAGCAAAACCCGTAACGCATAGTAAGCTATAAAAGGCCCCGAAATGGCAAATGCTAACAATTCAAACTAGAAAACTAACAGCCTGATTACAAAACAATAAACGAAAAACAAATATGATATACAGCAAACAAACGACAACCACTGAATTACAGGCTCCTGACTTTTGACAGGGCCATACAGAACGTGGCATGGTTTAACATTTTTGCGGGTGCATCAATCATCAAGTATGATGCTCTCTATCTATCTTTGTTTCTTTGAGAGAGTAAAAAATAAAATGCTTCGCTGAGCGCAGCTGGATACGACCGCAGAGGTCCAACCCTGAACAGTTGGGACAAAAATGGACACAATATTCGCGCTTGATGCAAGTCTGAATTTGGATTGTAATTAAATATTTGACACATAATAGGTTTTTGCTTTTGTGCAATACACTATGCTATTGCGAATTGACCCCCCCCTAAAAAAAAATTTACACCCCCTTTTTTTTTTGCTTTTGTGAAATATACTATGCTGTTGCGTATTGACCTCCCACTCTCAAAAAAAAATTTTGTTACCCCCCCCCCCCCCCCCCTTTTTTGCAAAAAAAAATATTATTTGAAGGAATTTTCTTTTTAAAATCTGAAATGAAAAAAAAATTGCCCCCCACAATTTCTTTTTTACCCCCTCCCCCCTATTTTTTTTTTCACCCCTCCCCCCTTCCCTTTTAAAAAAAAAATTCTTTCCCTCAAGATATGGTCATAATCTCAATTCAAATTTCTCCAATGGAGTTTGCAACCATAATTACCAATTTAAATACATCATAAAAGTCTTAAAATAGAAAATGACATACATAATCATTGCTAAAATTAATATTCCTTTAATAGTAACTTCTAAGAATAAATTGACTGCTAATCACCTCAAGACAATACAAAATTTCTTTCTACATAATTTCAAAGCAGTGTAAGGGAGGTAATCCAAACATACACAACATTGTACTTTAAATGTGTTTGGATTACCTCCCTTACACTGCTTTTAAATTGTCCATTAGCAGGAAACCTTTGTTTTTCCCCCCTAATTCCTAAACGGTTTGAGCCATAACCCCCCAAAGTCAATCCTAACCATCCCTTTCTGGTATGAAAACTTGTGGTATAATTTCAGAGAGATTCATACACCGTTCCACAAGTTATTGTCTGGAAACTAGAAAAATGCTTATTTGGGCCTTTTTTGGCCCCTAATTCCTAAACTGTTAGGACCATAACCCCCAAAATCAATCCCAACCTTCCTTTTGTGGTTATAAACCTTGTGTTTAAATTTCATAGATTTCTATTTACTTATACTAAAGTTATTGTCTGGAAACCAAATGTCTTCAGACGACGATGACTACAACTACATGATACCAATATACGACCGCAAAATTTTTTGCGGTCGTATAAAAACAGGTAAACAATGTCATGCATGGGAAATAACTCCTAAAAAGAGTCAGTTGACAATTTATGCCATATTGACTTAAGTGCAGCTTAAAAAACTTTACGTCTACGTTATTTACAATTTCTCTCTATCTTTAATGGTTTCTGCAAAAAAAAATGACAAAAATGGATAACAATCATCTTTCAAGGGCAATAACTCTTTTAAACAGTCAATTGACATTTTCGGGCAAGTTCACTTATTTGTAGATCTGATTGTGACCTGAATTATCATTGATATGGTCATAATTTTAAATTAACTGTTTTTCGAAATATTAAGGATTTTCTACCCCAGGAATAGATTACCTTAACTGTATTTGGTAAAAGCTTTTGGAAATTTGGGGTCCACTTTGCTTTGTACTTTATTTGCCCTTTTTACCTTTTTTGATTCGAGTCTACTGTAGACAAAACTTGCATATGCCATACAAAATTTTAATCCTGATGTTTAAGATGAGTTTATTCTCAAGAACAAAACCCAAAACTGTAAAATTTGCAAAAAATTGACATTTCAGGGGCAATAACTCCAAAATGGGCTGTCCAATTTTTCTGAAAATTCTGCAGGAGATATACCTTGACCTGCTGCTAAATTTTGCACTTGTCAGATTTGCTCTTACTGCTTTGTTTTTGACATATAAGCCAAAATCTTGGAAATTACAAAAAAAATGACATTTCGGGGGCAATTTCTCCAAAATGCCTTATGGGTTGTCCAATTTTTCTGAAAATTCCACAGGAGATAGTCCTTAATCTGCTGATCATTTTTACCTTGTCAGATTTGCTCTATTTATAAGCTTAAAACTGTATTTTACCCATATGTTCTATTTGTAGCAACAGTGGCCATGTTTGTTGATGGATCAAATCCCTTGATAATATTTTTAAACTATATACCATAAGGAACATTTTGGTAAAGTGCCCCAATATTTTCAGAAGAAAAAGAACAAAGACATACAGACGACAATGACTGAAACCAAGTGATGGCAAAAGCTCATAAAGAAATAGGCATAAAAGAAGAGTTCCAATGTCCCCCAGCTTGCACATATCTTATCTGTCCAAGGGCAATAACTAAAAAAAACAAATTTTTTATTCTTTAAATTCTTTATAAATATCTTGAAAGAAATGAAGGCTTGAGAGCAAATGCAATGAAATTTCCGATATAATTATTATTTCCAAGGTGCATAACTCTTTTAAAAATTGTTGATCGGCACTGATTTTCGAAAGCGTCAGAGACAATGCTGATATAAACCTATGATATAAGTTTCATAAAAATCTGGCAAGAATTGTACACGTGTGAGCGCTTACAATACAATTTTCCATATAATTAATATTTCCAAAATCATAACTCTTTAAAAAATTGTTGATTAGCACTGATTTTTGGAATTTTTCTGAGATAATGCTGATAGAGACCGATGATACAAGTTTTATAAAAATCTTGCAAGAATTATACATGTGAGAGCACTAACAAGACTGACTGGACAGACAGACGTCTGGTATTTCTATGTCCCCTGCAAAGCTTCATCCTGAGGACAATAAAAAGGAAACACACTATTTAAAGGCACATAATACTGCCATTTGAATAGAATCCTCAAAATAGCATGACCAATAAATACTGACATAGTACAAACAAGAGATCTGGAAAATCATATGAGACAACATGATTGTTCAATGGAGACACCAATAACAAATCAAAGGTTTTAATAACTAAAATATAATAGTAACCAAGCAAGAAAATGTATGGGATAAATAAATTTATTTCTATTTTACAAGCAAAGCTTGAAGATTATACATAGTACAATGTATAAGAACACCAGTTCGCTCTGATGTAAGTATTTAGATAGAAACATTAGTTGAAATTTATCAGAGACTTCTTAATGTAATACAAGTACTTGGACAAAAAAATTAAACATAACTTGAACTGTTTCACTGCTACTGAAATATAATGTATAACCTGAATACCAGTACATTGTAACAATATTTCAATTTTTTGTGGTATTTCTTAAATTTATCGTTTGTTTTCAAAGAGAAAAATCAAGTGATTAAGTTAAGAACATAGTAAGAAAGGTTAATCTTATAAAAAATAAAAAAGGAATATCCAACTGATATTTAGTATAAAAATTTCAGATTACATTTCCAAATATTACATTATGTAAAGACCAAAAATTACTGTTAATTAACTTCTGATGTACAATTGATTATATATATATAACAGATCACTTTAATGTCATTAGAGGCAAACATCGTTGTTTTACTTCTATCAGCTCAAATGCTTCTACCTTGAAAAACTAAACAATAATTATCCTAACATTAGATTTCACCCATTAAAATTATAATATCTAACTTATAAAATATGTATTCTTGTAATGTTTGCACATTTTCACGGATAAGTGCAGACGGACACCTATAAGATTCTCAAATTATAAGCAAAAGTCTACATAAAAATATCGCATATACTGTAACAAATTTGAAATAACAGAAATTTTATGAAAAAAGTAAACAGTATATGTGCATGATTGCAGTATCTCTAATAAGCACTTTTGTTAGGTACATGTAATATAACATTTAGAGTTACAGCTTCCAGACTAAAGATATGGCTTTTGTAACACCAACATCATTATAATTAAAATTTAACAGTCCAGCAACACCAGCCATGGCAAGAGCATACCAGAACCAATGTATGAAAGGAATAAACTTCTCAAGGTAGTCTGTAAGAACACCATTAACACCCCTGGAAAGAAAAAGAAAATAAGTAATTTTTGCAGAATGTGCAATGTACATTTCAAATTATATCTACCATTTCAAATTATATCTACAATGTAGACTACTGGTATATGAGAGTTAAATACGGGACATTCACAATATACAATGAACCCTGCCACATTCTTTTAAGTAAGAGGTAAGAGCAAAGAGTGGTCAGCTCTGAGTCAGAATAATGTGTCCTGGTAGGCTGACATGTCTTCCTACATACTGTTACCTTGTGAACTAGCATGTTAAAAATCTGGCTCAACTGTCGGTCTAGTACAAAGCAGGGTTAATATTCATTTACAGTACCATGTTCTTGTCCTGAATATGTATTTAATTTGCTGCTGGATGTTGATTTGATTTAATTTTTGGTGTTTTAACGCCACTTTAATGCACCGCTTTTGGGCTATTTCGTGGCGGCCAGTTTTTATTGGTGGAGGAAGCTGGAGTGCCCGGAGAAAACCACCGACCTTCGATAGGAAAACTGACAATCCTAGTCAAGATTGGAGTCGAGTGCACCCGCACGAGCAGGGTTCGAACTCACAACCTCAGTGTTGACTGGCTAGTGATTACAGTAGTAACTACTTAGACCACTCTGCCACCGAGGCCCCTCTGCTGGATGTTAAACAGCCGTCTATCATCATCTTAAATTGTACATGTATTGGTATACATGTAAATAAGACAGTTAGTTTTCTCATTTCAATTGTTTCACATTTTCATGTCAGGTCTTTCATAGCTGACTATGAACACCATTTTCCTCATCACTAATCATGCAATCAAGCAGTAAGAAATAAAGGCAACTTTTACATGTTTTAAAATTGACATACCAGTAACCATGCAACATAACAGTTGAGGCTATCATAAAATCCCAGAATGGTCCTTGGAAATATATTGAAGCAGGCATAATTCCCAGCATAGACACTGCTATAATCCTCTCTATTTTCCAATGTGTTGAAGCCATCATCATATGCTTTCCTTGTTTTTCAGCTGGAATAATAGAAATGTTTTGTTAAATTCTACCTTTTTAACAGAATGTCAGAACCAAAGCAAATAATACATCAGTCAATCCTTTTAAAAGAAAGTTTTCTGGTAAGGAACTGGTAAGCCATGTTACCACAAGACATGCCATTGCTCTCATGAAAGGCACATAAAAGGCATATGACTGACATATAATACCAAATGTATACACTCACCAACACACATTGATTTTACAGTCAGACCTGGGGTAATTAAAAATGTAATTGTTATTAGCTGTAATTAATTACAATTTTGAAAGTAATTCAATGTAATGTGTAATTGAGCATATTTTTAATTACATGTAATTGAAAGTTACATGTAATTGAAAGTACAAGTTTGTCCCTTGATTAAAATGCCACAGGCAATGTTTTTTTAAACCATCATATTTATATGTTAAAATCTGTACATACGGATACCATTTAAACACTTTCTACAAAAATTTCAAATACAGCAGTCAAAACATACAAGAAGGGAGCCCAATATACTTGCCAAAAGACAAGTCTGGAAAATGCAGCCATTACTCTTCTGTAATTAATACAAGCTTTAAAGTTACTTCAAATTTCACATGAGGTACATAAGAAAACCTTTAAAATCTAGATTAACATGGTTAAGTAGAAACATGAAATTTAAGAAAATTTTTAAAGGATAAAAAATATATTAATTTGGATCTATATAACACAAATCTTGTTGGAATGTTTTCACTGTTGAAAAGTGCATGTATGTATATATATATATATAAAAGTTTCATTATATTCTAGCCGGTTGTCATTTTTTATTATTTTATTCTAAATGATATAGCTCTTACATATCTTTGGATAAAAGTAATTGAAATGTAATCAATGAAATTGGCAATGTAATTGTAATAAAATTGATTACATTTGAAAATCAATGTAATTGTGATGTTATTAATTACATTTAAAAATCAATGTAATTGAAATGTAATTAATTACTTTGGCATGTAATTGACCCCAGGTCTGTTTACAGTGCATGTGATCAAGAGTTTATAAAGTGTGTTTTATTCAACCAGAGCCCTCGGCTTATATTAAGACTGCTGGTACATGTATTAGGAATATATAATTATATTGTAAGATGCATGTGAAATAACAGGCACTCATTTGGACTGGATTATTTTGTCTACTTTCAGTACTTCCATTGTAAACTGTTTGGAGGTAGGGTGAAATAGACTAAAAGATTATTCTATTTCCAGATATATGTGTACAGTGGAAAATCCAGCAACAAAATATTACCTCCCCTGTAAACACTGAAAACTTGATCTTCTCAATGTTTGTCCCGTTTTAGCATGGACTCTATCAATCAAAAATTCACAAGACACATTTTGTAAATAGTAAATAAAACTAAGTTGAAATAAAAACAAAACTTCCATTTAATAATATCATTTCTCTCTCCTTAAATAGCAAAAGATGAGTACAGCATGTTATAGGAGTTTGGTGTAAAATTGGTTTGAAATGTTGCTGTGCGAATAAATTCCTGGAGTACCAACTTCAAATTTATTTTTCTACTAGCTGTATACATTTCTGGAACATGTCAATTACAGGGCTATCAAGTTTTCATGAAGCAAATGTGTGAGATTTGGCAAAAATTGTAAAGGTCAAAGAGAAAAAACAATAGATCAAAGGAAAATGCCGATAAATAAGCATCAAAATGTGTTAGTCTTGACAGCACTGCAATTATCCGTATAATTATGTATGCAGATAGATCAGAGAAATTCAAGGGGAAAATTCCAAAGGTATCAATTGAAATGCAGCAAAGATTAACACTTTTGAAATTAAGTTACTAAACAAATTCAAACAGACCTTATCCCGATGTAAACATTGAATGTGAATAGATCGAGAAGATCACAAAAGTATGTACAAAAATCAAGACCACCTTTTCTTAAAATTGTATAAAAAAATATTAATAATCTTTTCAGGAATAGCCTACTTTATACAAAAATTTATCATTAATGTTTGAACCTGCACAGACAGACTTTTAAATTGTTATATTCCCGAAAAGACAATTTTCTATATTGAATGTTTAAGCAGACTGGTGTACTCGAAAACTTCAGATGTGAAGAATAGGTGTATTTTGGGAAATTTTAACATGCTAAGGACTTTGTGGAACATTGGTAACCTGAAAGATTTTTAGATTTTGTATGTACATGATTTTTTCCATTTTTTTTTTTTAACAATATGCAGCAAAGATTAACATTTTTAAAATTTCAGTTTCACAAGCTTCTAATGCAATATTTATAAATACTGAACATAAAACTTCATGTATTTACATGTATATTTCCAATAATATAGTGACAAATAATTTCTTCTGGCAATTCTAATATCAAATCTGAACTTGGACATAAAACTGAATTATATCGGTATGGCCACACCTATTGATTGCTACTTCTACTGACTCATATTGCAGCGAGACAGTGAATTCTTTTTCAAATTTTCACAAATGTTTCCAGAAAACCACATAGAACCATACAAAATCTTTAATTTGAGATAGCTTTTCATATAAAACACAATGGCCTCTGAAAAATTTAAGTAAAGCTAAATATTACCTGGTGTAAATGGACCTCGTCTAGCCTGGAAGTAATGTGACATGGCAGGTGAAAGGACAATTGTTTTTGATGTAACATCTTTGCTTATGCTATTTGGTGAAAGCTCTTTGAAAATCTGAGGTCTTAAACAGATTCTGCGTGCTGTACCTAAAATGTAAAAGAAACAAAAATGCATGTGATGTTGTACTAAGCATAATCCAATTTGTTATTTAAAATATTGGAAAACAGACAGTACATTTTGTAGGTGTCTGACAAATTGAAAAACTATATTTCAGGGTTTTTGGCCTTTTATAGCTGACTATACTGTATGCATTTTTCTAATTATTAAAGGCTGAACAGTGACCTATAATTACTTTTATCTTCACTATTTGAACACTGGAAGATAGTTGTTTCATTGCCAATCATTCCACATCTCTTTATTTTTATATAGCTATAAAGCTACTGACAATAGGGTTTTGATTGCACTTTGTGAAATCTTTACCCCAAAAACCAGTCTGTAAATTTAATGTCTATGATTATCTAGAAATATACAGTGTCCTGTGTTTGTTTAAATACATTTTTCATAGTCAATGTTAATGTTAATAGTAAAGCCTTTCAACCAAAAGGCATGATCAACACAACTCTCTAAAACTAAACATTTATAGTGCATTGAGAGATCTAAGTCAAACTAAAATACTAGAGTATATATATATATAAGAGCCTGTATCTGTGTCTAATGAATATGAATGAAAGTAGATATGTGATACTGATGGGATACTGCAACTCATCAACACAAAAAAGCAAAACATATGGGGTAATTGTCTGGCATCGGTCTGCAAGGAAGAAAGACTTATCTTGCTAACGTTGCCCTTATTGTCTTTGAAAAAGCAATATAGGTGTGAGAGTGTCTATAATAATTCATTTTCCATATTAATTTCATTTCAAAGGGACATAAATCCTGTAAAATAGTTGATTGGCACTTGTTTTTTAACTACTCGAAGACAATGTTGATATAATTTAAATTTTTGATATAAATCTCTTAAATATCTAACAAGAAATGAAAACTTGAGTGCTTACAATGCAATTTTCCATAGAATTTCCAAGGGACATAACTCTTGTTAAAAATCCTTGAGCGTGTTATGAATCTTTGAAATAAATTTCTTGCAAGATTTGAGTGTCCTTTCATAACCAAACTTTAGTTGGTCAGCACTGAGACATTGCTGATATAACTTTTAAAGAGGTCCCTTAACATTAAGGGTAGGGTTCATTTATGGTTATGGCTCAAAACTATAGACTATAAAAGCAGTATAACACCATAATGATATACAGTAAAAGAAGCATGTTTATCTAGTCTGTATTGTCATAAAAATTCATAATATCAAATAAAATTAGTAGATTTGGCTAAGTAAGTCCTTATGATTGAATAAAGTACATGTAACATTCATTTTTAGTGGAAAATTGTTTGAACGTTAATTAAGCTCTAATTAAAAATTGTTTGCCATCCCCTCTTTGTGATAAATGTAAGATAACTCTGGTTAATAATCGCAGCATTCATGTATATGTCATTAGGGAATCAATGCACATAAATTAAGACTATATGTCTGCTTCATTTGAATTCTGACATAGTCATAAAGTTTTGTTTTCAACCAACCATCATTGTCAATTTCTAGATGTAAGTCAAGATATGAGGCAGACTTAACTGTATCTAATGTATCCTTAATCTCAAGTACGATGGCTAGATGCATTCACACCAAGTTCTAAATTATTTAATGAGAGAACATCATCTATATAGCGGAAAGTGAAATTAAAGGATACTGCTAACTCCTTTTCTTTCTTCCCAAGAAGTTCCTGTATGAAGTCAGCCTCATATGGATAAAGGAACAAGTCTGCAAGAAGGGGGGCAGTTAGTTCCCTTGGGAATGCCGATTGTTTGTTGAAAAACATGTCATCCAAATGTAACAGGTAATATCTATTGGTTCTCTGGTTCATTTGAGTTTTTGGGAGATATCAGGAAATCCTTATACCATATAATTTTGTAAAGCTCTATGTGGATTGGGACCTGTTGTTGAAGAAGGCCCTGATATAAATCTTTGTAATGAGAGCACTTACAAATGAACAAGACCGTACAGGCTAATTCCCCTTATCGCATTGCAGAGGGGGACAATAACTTTCGGGAGCTTGCAAATAATCAGGTACCACCTGTCTTTAACATATATAATGTCTGTTCATATATTATGCAAAATTTGCCAAAAAGCCGAAATGTCCTTGAACAAAACTGGGTGAGTTTTATCACTTTTCACAACTCTCATTCAACTGTCAGTTACATTTACAAAATAACAAGGGAGTTCAAAAGTATATGAATGAAATGATTGTTCAATTTCGATTAATACGCATGTATATTCTTATTTTTACCCCCACAAGATCGGAGAAGGCAAATTGATGCCATATTTTCTTCCAAGATTTGGAGAGTTCTATGAAGGGAAGTAATATTCACTTCTTATCAGGCGTACAAGTATTAGCTTTTAAAAGAACTTGTCTGACTTTAGCATCTATTAAATTGGATTGATTGATTGATTGTTAGTGTTTAACACCACTTTGAGCACTATTAGCCAATAACAGGGCGGTCATTTTTTTTTGGTGGAGGAAGCCGGAATGCCCGGAGACAACCTTCAGCAGGTAAACGGACAATTCTACCTGACTGGAGTCGAACGCACCGAATACACAACCTTAGTGAGAGAAGTACAAGCTTAGATTGTAATTTAGGTGAATGCTTCGAGTATCAAGTATGGAATATGGAATCATGATCATGAAATATGTTCAACATACTTTTTATTTCTTTTTTCGGAGAGAGGAAAAAGAGGGAGAAAGAGAAGGGGGGAGGGTATTCTAGTTTTCAAAGATAACCCTGTCTCACTTCCGCAAAAAAAAAAAACTCAGGCACGACAAAAATTCCATATGATCCTCTGTATTATCAGAGACATATAATACAATAATGTATTATATGTCTCTGGTATTATTTCAGTTTATTTATCTGTATAGATGTGTAAAAAAATTATATAAGGAGGACACGTTCTTTTTTTTACAGTGCAAATTTGTTCATTTTTTCCCTCACAAACTGTGAACATAAGTCGACAATATTTCCACTTGGCAAATGCAGGGCATTAAGTTAAAGCTAAGAAGAAGAAATAATAAGCAATCGATTTGTTTTATCCATAGTGAAGACGAATCAACAAATTTACTGAAGAAAATGGGTTTTCGACATTTGGTGTCACTAATATCAGATACTAGTAGCTTAGAGCCAAGTATCAATTATGGTATCAAAAAAGACATGTGATTTATAACGCTATTATAAATTACTTGGACTTAACTTAGGTATAGAAAAATGGTCACCTGGACTTCTCCCGGGAATAAGTGATGCTGATTTTTGAATATGCCAGTCAGAATTCTGGCATTAATCAGTTCTATCGTGTAAAGGAAGTTTCCAGCTCTCGGCACGGTAAAGCACTCTTTGAGGGTACCTCATGAGTCCTGTTCCTAGACATAAGTTTCTATAACCAACATATCTTATTTTTTCACTGGCAGTCAATACTTCCAGTCGTTCATGTCAATCGACCCATTTTGTAGAACCCAACGAAGAATAAAATGCTGCACAAGACGCAGCTTGATACGACTGCAGAGGCCACATCCTTGAGTTGTGGCAAGTATGGACACAATATTTGAATTCGGATTGTGATTAAATATTTGATACATCATAGGTTTATGACACCGAATGAATGTGGTCTACCGTCTAAGAGCTTAAAAATTTGAAACTGGACATTTACCCATTATGATCCAATATCCAAAATCTAAATACATGGTTATAATCAGCATATTAAAGAACCCCACATATTCAATTTTTGGTGAAATCGAAGTTTAATTTTGGACCATTTTCACCTTAATGTGGACCCATTTGAAAACGGGGCATAAAAATAAATATCTCAATACACGGATAGATTCGGCATATCAAAGAATCCTAATAATTCAGTTTTTGATGAAATCAAACAAAGTTTAATTTTGGACCCTTCGGACCTCAATGTGGACCAATCTAAAACGAGGCCCAAAAAATCAAATCTAAATACACGGTTATATTCAGCAGATTAAAGAACCCTAAGAATTCAAGACCATTTGAATTAAACCCCATTTAAATTGGTCAAGAAATAAGCAATCAAAGTTTTAGAAAAATATTGTTTTTGACCCATATTTTCTAAACTGTTAGAGCCATAATCCCCACATCTTCCAACCTTCCCTTTTAGGTATGGAACCTCGTCATACAATTTCATAGAGATCCATACTTATACTCAAGTTATTGTCTGGAAACCAAATGTATTCGGACGACGACGATGAAATCGCCATACCATTATACGGCCGCAAATTTTTGTGGTCGTATGAAAAATGCTTGAAATATTTGCCACAGGATGTTAAGCAAACTGTCATTAGATAATAAATAAATTACTAAAATTTGAACCTCAGATTCTGCATAACTAGGAATGTCTAGCGGATTAAAATATAAATCTCCACGCTTTGCTTGTTAACGAACCGTGAACACATGATTTGTACTTCAATGAGATTGGACTAAAAGTATAATTTTAACTTCATAAAAGGGGTATATTGGTGCGAAACTGCATTGTTAATATAGTAACAATTGGAAATTATTTAGTCGAAAGCAATTGTATAGCGACTATTGTATGAAATATTTTTGTTCTCAGTATTTCTGTGACTTGACTGCCGTGGTTTCACTCCACCTATCGCAATTCATTCAAAAATTCGGACACAATTGCAATTTATAATCAAATAATACAACTGGTCATAAAATTTACCCAACTGACCTAGGAAAGTAAATCAAGTCATTCATGTAAGAAGTGCATGCCGTAGACGAGGGAACTGTTATCAATTGGCTCAGTGATTTATTAAGATTATTTTTGATATTTTTAAAATACTAAGGCCATAATCAAAATAAAATGCTCCGCTGGGCGCAGCTTGATACGACAGCAGAGGTCGAACCATGAACAGTTGGGGCAAGTATGGACACAACATTCAAGCTTGATACAGCACTGAATTTGGATTGTGATTAAATATTTGACACAGCATAGGTTTCTGACACAGAATGAATGTGGTCTAAGAACTTTTTATATATAAATCAGAAATAACCAATTTAAAATGGAAAATTTTAAAGAAAAAAAAAGAAATAAAAAAAATCCCCCCCCCCAAATTTTTTGAACCCCCTTATGATTCATCACCCCCAAACTCAATCCCAGCCTTCCCTTTGTGATATGGAACCTTGTAGTACAATTTCATAACTATCCATACACTTACACACAAGTTATTGTCCTGAAACTAAAAAAATGCTTGTTTTTTGCCCCCTAATTCCTAAAATTTTGAGGCAATTACCCCAAAAATCAATCCCAGCCTTCCTTTTGTGGTATGGTACCTTGCAGTACAATTTCAGAGAGATCCATACACTTGAACACAAGTTATTGTCTGGAAACTAGAAAAATGCTTATTTTTGGCCCCTTATTCCTAAATGTTTTGGGCAATTACACCCAAACTCAATTCCAGCTTTCCCTTTGTGATATGGAACCTTGTAGTACAATTTCAGAAAGATCCATACACTTACACACAAGTTATTGTCATGAAACTAGAAAAATGCTTGTTTTTTGCCCCTTTTTTGGCCCCTAATTCCTAAAATTTTGAGGCAATTACCCCCAAAATCAATCCAAGCATTCCCTTTGTGATATGGAACCTTGTGGTACAATGTCAGAGAGATCCATACACTAACACACAAGTTATGTCTGGAAGTTACAAAAATGCTTATTTTTGGCCCCTAATTCCTTAACTGTTGGTACCATAACCGCCAAAATCAATCCCCACCTTCCTTTTGTGGTATTGAACCTTATGGTAAAATTTCATAGAGATCCATTCACTTAAACTAAAGTTAGAGTGCGAAAACCAATGTGTCTTCGGACGTCGACGACGGCGCCAACATCATACCAATATACGACCACAAAAATTTTTTGCGGTCGTATAAAAATTCCCAGATTCTTACCCTTGCCCGATTTTCTAGCTGAACATTTAGATTTCTTGGTATTTTTCTTTATTTGCTAGAAGTGCTCATCACAAATTCGTCCTTCCCAAAATTGAAAAAGAAATTTCTTTTGATAATGGCCTAAAGGTTAGACTCCACACATAGATGCTTATAGTATCCGAGAAAAGGACCTTAACGCGTTGACCAATGAACCATTATAAGATCAAGTTCAGATAGATACTTACACTTTATAATTCTATACTTCCAATATAGTTGGCCTCCACTTATTGTAAACGAGAAATGGACCTATTCACGAAAACAACAGACATGCTAGACCACAGGCACTTGTTTGTAACTACGGGAAGGTAGACTATCAATGTGTTATAGAGGCTTTGATAGTCAACCTTTTTATTCATAGAAACAAGTGCCTGTCTGCTAGAATACCAGAAATGAATTATTCGGCTCATATGCCATCTGCTATTAAATTGATTGTGGTTTGTTTTATGTCCAGTGGCAAATATTTCAAGGACGAGAACAAATTAACTATAAATAATGTAGGTTTGACCGAGATGAAGGGTGGAAAACTTGGAATGCCACAGAAAAAACAATTACTTTTAATGCTGCTTCAGTTTTCCACAAAATATGTTTGCTTTATGGAAGTGCAGATAAAGAACTTCCAGCAGTTCTAGAATAAATTTTTCTACTTCCACTTTCGAATGAAAACAACTTCAATAACATTCTTCACATCTACTGGTAGATAGGATTCTAGACCTTTGATGTAAAAATTTCTGACTAATCAATTCCTCACATTTTGAGATAAGCATATGGTAGCTTTTTATTTTTTATAACCATTTTGAATTCACTATCCATTAGTGAACATTTAGGGTCCTATAGCCCGTCTAAATTTTGGCAATGCTTTCCTCAAGACTGCTTATACGGATGGATGGTTGTTCAATGTCCACTGGCAAATTAAACACATTTTGAGGACGAGATGTTAATGCAATATAGATATGAACCCTGCTTTGTACTAGACTGACACAATGAGCTGGATTTTTAACATGCTAGATAACAAGGTAACAGTCCGCAGGAAGACATATCACCCTCCGGACACATTATTCCTGAATGCTGCATGCTAAGAGGAGAATTGTCAAATACCAATTTTAAAGTCCTTGACTTGACCCAGCCGGGGATCAAATCCAGGACCTCCCACACTCTAGGCGAGCAGCTTCCACAAGAACAGAGGCAGTTCAGAGACTGTTATGACATTCAAACTGAGCCAATGGAGGTGTACCTATTGACATTTCAGTCCGGGAAAATGAGTTTTATTTATTACTTTAAATGTGACTTTGAATTAGCTTTTAGTATTTGAGATTCTTTTAGGTGCATACTTAGTGTCCTTTGTATCAATCTAGCAAGTCAAGCTCTTTGCAACCAATTCTTACAGTTTGTTCTTATGTTGTGCTGTTACACCTATATCCCATGTTAGGGGAAGGGTGGAATGCTCACAGACATGTTAAACACAACCACGTCATTCTTTATGTGCCTGTCCCCAAGTCAAGAGCCTGTTACCCAGTGGTTGTTGTTGATTGCTGTCTTGCCGTAATTGTTTTTCATTTTATAAATCAGGCCAGTTGTTTTCACTTCATTTTGAAGTGTTTCACATTTCTTTATGCCAGGGGGTTTTGCTTATTATCGGAGGCTTTGCAAACCATGATTGGTAGCTGTTTACATCATAAGTTTCTAGTGAATAGTTTTCTCATTGGCAATCATACATATAAGGCCAGTTGTTTTCACTTTATTTTGAAGTGTTCCACATTTCGTTATGCCAGGTCCTATTAATGCTTACTATACAGTATGGGTTTTGCTTATTATTGGAGGCCAAACCATGATTGGTAGCTGTTTACATCATAAGTTTCTAGTGAATAGTTTTCTCATTGGCAATCATACATATAAGGCCAGTTGTTTTCTCTTTATTTTGAAGTGTCTCACATTTCATTATGCCAGGTCCTATTAATGCTTACTATACAGTATGGGTTTTGCTTTTTATTGGAGGCCAAACCATGATTGGTAGCTGTTTACATCATAAGTTTCTAGTGAAAAGTTTTCTCATTTGCAATCATACATATTTTCTTTGGTTTCAATAAACAGCTGATCATAAAGCTGACTTCAGTTTCCAACAATTCTTGTCTATTGTGTGATTGATGTTCTTTTAAAATATATTGGGGACTGTTCCTTGAATTAAATAAGAAATAAGAAATTTAATCAAATTGTTGGTGCCTTCACTAACATTTCAACATTCACCACAGTTTGCAAACCTCAAGATCTCCATTTTGATTTATTTTGTATACTGGGTTTTTGTTTATTTGCTGAATACCTCAGATCTTTTTTTTTTTAATAAACAAGTTTCCTATACTCAACATCTTGTAGATCATAATTAAATCCCTAGGAAACACCTTATTCTATTAAGTGTTTAAATTACATGGAAACAGGACTTTTATTTTGAAATAAAGTAAACAAACTTTTAACTAATGTAAGATACCAACAAGGAAAATAAAATAAAAAAAGTCTGAAACTATGTAGAATAACTTTACTCTTGTTGTTTTTACAATGCGGACTGCATCCAGAACAAGAATAGACCTGTGTAATAATAACTAACTCACACAGCAATAATGATATCACACTTTCATTCATAAATATTCATTGTACAAATTGGTCTTAGCACTAAAAATCTCTTCCTTTAACCCTCAAATCCTGAAAGGAAACTCAAAACAACTTGTTTTAATTTTGCATCAGATTCTTCTGTAATCATGTTGTCCTTTGCAATTGTAGCTAACAATTCTTTTTGGCTGCCTTGAATGTGTTGTAAAAATGCTGACTCAAAAGCAGTAATTTTGGATGGATCTAATTTGTCTAAATGTCCTCTTACACCAGCATAAATAATGGCTACTTGTTCTTCAATGGGCATGGGTACTGAAAATAAACAGATGATATAAAAGAAAGGCAACTAAATCTAACTGGTGTTGCTTTTACTTAGCAACTTTTTAAAATAAAAACTTAGTCACACTTATAAAGTCACAAAAATTATACTTAAAAGTATAATAAAATATTTTCATAATCAATAATACCCTTGTGTGTCTACATTATTTTTTTAAGAAAAGAAATCAAGATGAAGGCCCAATATTCCATGAAATTTTCAACTGCAACGGAAATTAATTAAGCCTTGTGATATTGACCTTTATTCTTCCACCTCCCTCAATTTTTTACATGTTCTCTTTTTTCTGTTCTTTTCAATTAAAAATCCTGTATTTACAATTTTACCATTTCTCTATAAATAAGGTCCAAAATAAGCTAAAATCATACGTTTTTGTTAGCTTATTCAGTGTAGTTTTTCTTGAGGTTGAGAAAATATTGAAGCAGGTATTTTGCCTTTTTCATTATTATCATGATTATCCTAGTACCAGGTCATTTATAAATATAAACTTCTGTCTTGGTAAATTATTGATTGGACTTACTGTATTGTCCTTGTTTAAGAAGCTCAGTTAATCTGACACCTCTGTTGAGTAAGTTTTGTGTAGCTTGATCTAAATCTGAACCGAACTGGGCAAAAGCAGCTACTTCTCTGTACTGAGCTAATTCCAATTTCATGGAACCTGCAACCTATAAGATGTCACACATGAATTAATATACAATATATAGTACATACCATATAAGATTACTGTTTAACTGAGGTATAAACCCTTTTAAATTATGTTGAAGACTTATAGCTTGGAGAAATTAATATTTATTTCAAAATGTTGTTGTGGATCTTTCTTATTGACATGTACCTCACATCTTTCTAGTTTGTAATATTTTAAGATTATTCCCACACAAAATAAATTCTGTACAATCAGCCTGGGCAATTCTAAATTACATCTATCATTTAATTCTATACCATTCATCCTTGCCATTACCTCCACTTCTTTTCATACCGTTACATAAATTTACAGTATTATTTTACCTGTTTCATGGATTTGGTTTGAGCAGCTGATCCTACTCTGCTGAGTGACAATCCTACGTTAATGGCTGGTCGGATACCTTTGAAGAACAATTCAGTCTCCAAGAAGATTTGTCCGTCTGTAATGGAAATGACATTGGTTGGGATGTAGGCTGATACGTCACCAGCTTGTGTTTCAATGACGGGAAGGGCGGTCAAAGATCCACCACCATGGTTATCATTCATCTTAGCTGCTCTCTCCAGTAATCTAGAGTGGAGGTAGAATACATCACCAGGGTAGGCCTCACGACCTGGAGGACGACGTAGCAACAATGACATCTGACGGTAAGCTACAGCCTGTAACAAACAATCATTAGCAATAATTTGATACAGTTTATTTGGAATTTTTCATTTTGCTATGAGCTACATTGTACCTGCAACTAATTTTGATAAAAGTTATTTGATCATAGAATTATTTGCACGTTCCAAAATATTGCACTGTAAGAAAACCATCTCTTTAACCAATACAATTTCAGTCATTTGAATGGACAGAAAAAGGTAATCCATTAAACCTACAACTGAACAAGTGTGAGTATAATCAATATATCAGAATTGAGTATGTAGCCTTGATCTATGAATACTTCTGTATTTCCACTAATACTTAATTGGAAAATGGAACCCTGTCCTTTAAGTAATTAATTTGACATCAAATAATTTTAAGGAATATTATCTAGCAAATTTAAATTGGACAATTGATCAATGCACTGATTTGACTTTTACCTAGGAATTAATTTTTTTTAGGAATATTTCATCTTCAAGTTTCTGAGACATTGACCTCCAATTCCAAACCGATACAATTAATAAACTCTTGACCTTTGATGAATTCATGTGATGGAGACACTGCAGTTTGATAGTAATACACTTGTGTAAATTTATTCCTTGCAAAGTTCTGTACCTTTTAAATTTCATTGAAAAAATAGAAATCCTGTGATACATAGCTTTAATGTAAACAACAAATAAAAAAACAAACAACCAGTGGTTCAATCAGTACCCGCAATGCTGATTTTCAAGACATTCTAACCTTATATATGACACACCATCTAGTGGTGTGAAGTATCATTAATATTCTCAATAGTCCAACAAAGATTGTATACCTGTTTTGACAAATCGTCATAAATGATGACAGCATGCATGCCATTGTCTCTGAAGTATTCTCCCATGGCACAACCAGAATATGGAGCCAAGTACTGAAGGGGAGCAGCATCAGAAGCTGTAGCACTAACAATAATGGTGTATTTCATAGCATCTGGAAGATTCAAAATATATTTATGGCAAACAATTGACTCAACAATTATATATAAAATGCTTCGCTGGGGCGCAGCTTGATACGACCGCAGAGGTCGAACCCTGAACAGTTGGGGCAAGTATGGACACAACATTCAAGCTTGATACAGCTCTGAATTTGGATTGTTATTAAATATTTGACACAGCATAGTTTTCTGACACAGAAAGAATGTGGTCTAAGAACTTGAATTTTTTTAATTTACCTATTATGGTCCAATGTCCAAAATCAAAATACATGGTTAGATTCAGCATATCAAAGAACCCCATATATTCAATTTTTGTTAAAATCAAACAAAGTTTAATTTTGGACCCCAACTTGGACAAACTTGAAAACTGGGCCCATAATCAAAAATCTAAACACATGTTTAGATTCAGCATATCAAAGAACCCCAAGAATTCAATTTTTGCTAAAATCAAACTAAGTTTAATTTTGGACCCTTTGGACCTAAATGTAGACCAATTTAAAAAACGGGACTTAAAATTAAAAATCTAAATACACGGTTAGATTTGGAATATCAAAGAACCCCAATAATTCAATTTTTGATGAAATCAAACAAAGTTTAATTTTGGACCCTTTTGACCTCAATATGAACCAATTTGATAGCGGGGCCCACAAATAAAAAATCTAAATTCATGGTTAGATTCAGCATATCAAAGAACCCCATATATTCAATTTTTGTTGAAATCAAAAAAAGTTTAATTTTGGACCCCAACTTGGACCAACTTGAAAACTGGGCCCATAATCAAAAATCTAAACACGTTTAGATTCAGCATATCAAAGAACCCCAAGAATTCAATTTTTGTTAAAATCAAACTAAGTTTAATTTTGGACCCTTTGGACCTCAATGAAGACCAATTTAAAAAACGGAACCCAAATTAAAAATCTAAAAACACGGTTAGATTTGGCATATCAAAGAACCCCAATAATTCAATTTTTGATGAAATCAAACAAAGTTTAATTTTGGACCCTTTTGACCTCAATATGAACCAATTTGATAGCGGGGCCTACAAATAAAAAATCTAAATACATGGTTAGATTCAGCATATCAAAGAACCTCATATATTCAATTTTTGTTGAAATCAAACAAAGTTTAATTTTGGACCCCAATTTGAACCAACTTGAAAACTGGGCCCATAATCAAAAATCTAAATACATGTTTAGATTCAGCATATCAAAGAACCCCATATATTCAATTTTTGTTGAAATCAAACAAAGTTTAAATACTGGACCCTATCTTGGACCAACTTGAAAACTGGGCCCATAATCAAAAATCTAAACACATGTTTAGATTCAGCAAATCAAAGAACCCCAAGAATTCAATTTTTGTCAAAATCAAACTAAGTTTAATTTTGGACCCTTTGGACCTCAATGTAGACCAATTTAAAAAACAGGACCCAAAATTAAAAACCTAAATACACGGTTAGATTTGGAATATCAAAGAACACCAATAATTCAATTTTAGATGAAATCAAACAAAGTTTAATTTTGGACCCTTTTGACCTCAATATGAACCAATTAGATAACGGGGTCCACAAATAAAAAATCTAAATACATGGTTAGATTCAGCATATCAAAGAACCCCATATATTCAATTTTTGTTGAAATCAAACAAAGTTTAATTTTGGACCCCAATTAGGACCAACTTGAAAACTGGGCCAAAAATCAAAAATCTAAATACATGTTTAGATTCAGCATATCAAAGAACCTCATATATTCAATTTTTGCTAAAATCAAACAAAGTTTAATTTTGGACCCTTTGGACATTAATGTAGACCAATTTGAAAACTGGACCCAAAATTAAAAATCTAAATACACTGTTAGATTTGGCATAACAAATAAATAAATGTGATCAAAGATTTTACAAATCTAATGCGCCATACTGTGCAATTAAAGATTACTTCTTGAAATTTTTCAATATTTGAAATTTGAAAAAAAAATAATATTTGAAGAATAATTCTTTTTAATTTCTGAAATCTGAAATGAGAAAAAATTGGCCCCCCACAATTTCTTTTTATCCCCCCCCCCTTTTTCCCCCAAAAAAATTCTTTCCCTCAAGATATGGTCATAATCTCAATTCAAATTTCCAATGGAGTTGGCAACCATAATTACCCATTTAAATTTACCATAGTGCTAACTTAATCTATTTTATAATAGAATTAATAAAAATATAGTGTCAAATCTTTCATATGGATTTTTTTGTAAAAAAAAAAGATGAAAACATTTGCAGATATTTTTACTGGTCTTCCTTTATAAATATGCATTTCTTTAAACATAATTTAAAAGCAGTGTAAGGGAAGTAACCAAAACGTTGTATTTGGATTACCTCCCTTACACTGTTTTAGATTATCTTTATTGTTCATTAACCATTACTTTATACATAATTTAAAAGCAGTGTAAGGGAGATAATTTCAATGATGTATTTGATTTATCTCCCTTACACTGCTTTAAATTATGTTTTGTACTAGAAGTATTTGTCCATTAACCAGGACAACCTTGTTTTCCCCCCTTTTTTGCCCCTAATTCCTAAACGGTTTGAGCCATAACCCCCCAAAGCAAATCCTAACCATCCCTTTGTGGTATGGAAACTTGTAGTATAATTTCAGAGAGATCCATACACCGTTCCACAGTTATTGTCTGGAAACTAGAAAATGCTCATTTTTGGCCCCTTTTTGGCCCCTAATTCCTTAACTGTTGGTACCATAACCCCCAAAATCAATCCCAACCTTCCTTTTGTGGTATTTAACCTTATGGTCAAATTTCAAAAAGATCCATTCACTTAAACTAAAGTTAGAGTGCGAAAACCAATATGTATTCGGACGACGACGACGACGCCAACGTCATACCAATATACAACCACAAAATTATTTTGCGGTCGTATAAAAATGTACCGTAAAGATCATTAAGATCGTTAAATTATTGCAAAACGTGAAAATTATCTTATTTAAACTCAAAAATTTATAAGCCAAGGATGTATACTTAATACCTCAGGAGTTTTATGACCAAAAGGGCCATAAGAAAAATTGCAAAAGGTTAACTTTGCCCAACTTATTTTCTAATTCAATCAAATATCTATCCCGACTTTTCAGTCACCATTGTCAATTAACCATTACCTTCTGCTTTGATAGTGTTATTATTTTTCAATAAGTTTCTTTACTAGACATTGATAAGATTAATTGTCAGTTTCAAAAAATAATTATCTGTTTTATATTCATTGGATTTTTTCAATTCCAGTGTTGACACATATTTGCTATATCTCAGTTTGATATCAATGAGGAAAGAATATTCATAATTTCACAATACTAACCAGTATCAGTGAGACGTTTTACGATCTGTGCTACAGTTGACCTTTTCTGTCCAATGGCTACATAGATACAGTAAAGTTTGGCGTTCTCGTCTGTTCCGTCATTGAATTTCTTCTGGTTAATGATGGTATCAATAGCAATGGCAGTTTTTCTGATATAACAAAAAATTGGGGTGTCATTATTTTCATTAAATTAATGACCAATTATAATAATTTAATAAGAGTGTACATGCTGGATATCACACCTGCTTCACTGACCATGAATTTATGTTAAAGTCTTTAATAGTAAGGTTTCACTACAAGTATCACATTAACTTAACATTGTCAATAATCCATGTAAATGAGGTCAAGGTCAGATGAACCCTGTCAAATATAGTTAATGTATTGTATCTGAGAAACACTGCTGATTGGATTAGCCTTCCTATGTACCACAAGCAATACAAAAATGTAAACTTGTTGAATTGAAATTCTCAAACAGAAAAATACAGATTTTAACTTTTGGATGAGTAACAATTTAATTTAAATCATAAATAAAAGAACAGAGTTCCAATGTCCTCCTCGTTGAACATATTTATCTGTTCTGTCCAAGGACAATAACTCAAAAAAATGTTTTTGTTCTTTAAAAACTTTTAAAAATTATCTTACTAGAGTTTTGAAGACTTGAGAGCAATTTCCAATATATTTGATATTTCCAAGGGAAACTCATTAAAAATATTTGATCGGCACTTATTTTTGGAATTGTCTGAGACATTGCTTTTGATATGAATTCAATAAAAATCTGGTAAAAATTGTACATGCGAGAGCACTTACAATGCAATTTTCCAAATAATCAATGTCTCCAAACATAACTCTTTTAAAAATAATTGATCAGCACTGATTTTTGAACTCGTTGAAGACATAACTGATATAAACCTATAATATGAGTTTCATAAAATTCTGGTAAGAATTCTACACATGAGAGCGATAACAATGCAATTTTCCATATAATTAATGTTTCCAGGGCCTGGGCATCACTCTTTTAAAAATAATTGATCGGCACTGATTTTCAAAATCATCCAAGACATTGCTGATATAAATCTATGACATAAGTTTTATAAAAATCTGACAAGAATTTCATACATGAGAGAGCTAACAATACCGGAAGGACGGACACACACCCAGTATTTCTATGTCCCCTACAACGTGTTGCACAGGGGACAATTATTTATAACATATACATCAACATTATTACATACCCGGTCTGTCTGTCACCAATGATCAATTCTCTCTGTCCTCTTCCAATAGGTACCAAGCTATCTACAGCTTTGATTCCAGTCTGCATGGGTTCTTTTACTGAGATACGTGGAATGATGCCCGGAGCTTTGACACCTACTCTGGCTCTTTCTGATGTTCCAAGTGGTCCCTATGAACAAAGAATACTTTAAATAAACTGTTGACAAAAATTTTCAACATGTTCAAAGTAAATGAATCCAGACATTAGTTGCATTGTTGAATAATTTCCAAAGAAATGAAATTTCTTGAGGCTAATAGTAAATACATCTGCATATAAAATGCTCCGCAGGGTGCAGCTTGATACGACCGCAGAGGTCGAACCCTGAACAGTTGGGGCAAGTATGGACACAACATTCAAGCTTGATGCAGCTCTGAATTTGGATTGTGATTAAATATTTGACACAGCATAGGTTTCTGACACAGAATGAATGTGGTCTAAGAACTTAAAAATTTTAAATTGGACATTCACCTATTATGGTACAATCTCCAAAATCTAAATACATGGTTAGATTCAGCATATCAAAGAACCCCAAGAATTCAATTTTTGATGAAATCAATCAAAGTTTAATTTTGGACCCTTTTGACCTCAATGTGGACAAAGTTGATAACGGGGCCCAAAAATCAAAAATCTAAATACATGGTTAGATTCAGCATATCAAAGAACCCCATATATTCAATTTTTGTTGAAATCAAACAAAGTTTAATTTTGGACCCCGATTTGGACCAACTTGAAAACTGGGCCCATAATCAAAAATCTAAATACATGTTTAGATTCAGCATATCAAAGAACCCTAAGAATTCAATTTTTGTTAATATCAAACTTAGTTTAATTTTGGACCCTTTGGACCTTAATGTAGACCAATTTGAAAACGGAACCAAAAAATAAGAATCTAAATACACTGTTAGATTCGGCATATCAAAGAACCCCAATAATTCAATTTTTGATGAAATCAAACAAAGTTTAATTTTGGACCCTTTGGCCCTCAATGTGGACCAATTTAAAAAAGGGGCTCAAAATCAAAAAACTTAATACACGGTTAGATTCAGCATATTTAAGTACCCCAAGAATTCAAGAATAAAACCCTATTGAAATTGGTCAAGAAATAAGCAATTTATACTAAGTATCTTCTTTTGCACTGTGCAATTGAATATTTCTTGCTATTGCGCAATACTGCACAATTGACAATTTCTTGCTATTGCGCAATATTGTGCTATTGGATATTTCTTGCTATTGCCCAATACTGTGCAATTGAAGATTTCTTGCTATTGCACAATACTGTGCAATTGAAGATTTCTTGCTATTGTGCAATACTGTGCAATTGAAAATTTCTTGCTATTGCACAATACTTATTATATAATAATTTACACCTCCTGTTTGGTGTGTATCTCCTACCATATCATTATTATTTGCTTTTAAATATAAATCAGAAATAACCAACTTAAAATGGAAAATTTTAAAAGAAAAAAAAAAAGAAAAAAAGAAAAAAAAGGAAAAAAAAAAAAATCCCCCCCAAATTTTTTGAACTCCTTACAGTCTTCACGCTGAGTGGCAGCCCAGGCAGCCCAGGCTTGTAATATTGCTCTCGGGCCTGTAAAAATCATATCTACAAGCCAACAGAATCTAACTAAAAATTTTCAAAAATTGAGCTCCAGGCCTGTAGATTTAGCAGTTCATCGTGAAGACTGCCCTTATGATTCATCACCCCCAAACACAATCCCAGCCTTCCCTTTGTGGTATGGTACCTTGCAGTACAATTTCAGAGAGATCCATACACTTGAACACAAGTTATTGTCTGGAAACTAGAAAAATGTGTTTTTTGGCCCCTTTTTGGCCCCCAATTCCTAAACGTTTCGGGCAATTACCCCCAAAATCATTTCCAGCTTTCCCTTTGTGATATGGAACCTTGTAGTACAATTTCAGAAATATCCAAACACGTACACACAAGTTATTGTCATGAAACTAGAAAAATGCTTCTTTTTTGCCCCTTTTTTGGCCCCTAATTCCTAAAATTTTGAGGCAATTACCCCCAAAAATCAATCCCAGCATTCCCTGTGTGATATGGAACCTTGTGGTACAATTTCAGAGAGATCCATACACTTACACACAAGTCATTGTCTGGAAACTAGAAAAATGCTTGGGGAAACTACCCCCAAACTCAATTCCAGCTTTCCCTTTGTGATATGGAACCTTGTAGTACAATTTCAGAAAGATCCATACACTTTCACACAAGTTATTGTCATGAAACTAGAAAAATGCTTGTTATTTGCCCCTTTTTTGGCCCCTAATTCCTAATATTTTGAGGCAATTACCCCCAAAATCAATCCGAGCATTCCCTTTGTGATATGGAACCTTGTGGTACAATGTCAGAGAGATCCATACACTAACACACAAGTTATGTCTGGAAGTTACAAAAATGCTTATTTTTGGCCCCTAATTCCTTAACTGTTGGTACCATAACCCCCAAAATCAATCCCAACCTTCCTTTTGTGGTATTGAACCTTATGGTAAAATTTCATCGAGATCCATTCACTTAAACTAAAGTTAGAGTGCGAAAACCAATGTGTCTTCGGACGACGCCGCCAACGTCATACCAATATACGACCGCAAAAATTTGTATAATAAAAAATTACTGACTTTAACACCAGTGGCTTCCATTCAACTGACCTTACCACAAACTTTAACAAAAAGAGCATGCCTAATTACTGCTTTTAAAAGGCAAGATGGGAAAACTGCCCAGTGGATCAAATAATGATTGGTCATGCGCCCTACAAAAATGGCCTAGCTGAACATGGACAGCTTAAGGAACTGTAAGAAGTCAAATTTACCTTCAATAACACTGCAAAAAAAAAAAAATGTCATCTTTTTAACTAGCCTTACCTTTCCATCAATAGGAATACCTAAAGCATCAACAACTCTTCCTAATATTTCCTTTCCAATTGGTACATCTACAATGGCACCAGTTCTCTTGACAATATCACCTTCTTTAATGAGTTTGTCATTACCAAAAACTACAACACCAACATTGTCTCTTTCCAAATTCAAGGCCATACCCTGTAAAAGAAAATATAAAACCAGATATATTTTTTTCCTTTTGTTTTACCATCATTTTGCTGTACTGAATGTATTCTTTGTGAATGCAAAGTAGTGATTAATAGAAGAGAAGTGATGTGCTTTAAGGATAAACTAGACAAACCGATGAAAAAATACAATGATATCAAAAACCCTCAAAGACATTTAAGGCGAAGTGTACGTAATTAACTACTCCACAGATTTTTTTTAAATTTTACATGTGGATTCTGCTTTTAAAAATACATCAGACAATAAAATAAAAAAAGGGGGTAACCGTTTTCGTTTTTCAGATACAAGCTGTTGAAATTAACAGCATGATACACCAAAAATACAAAGGATACAGTACGCACAGAGAGTTTGTAATCGCGAACTCTAATCACGGATTTCGGAGTGTAGCGGTGTCACACCGCGAATCACGGATTATACTCCCAATTTCCTCCAAAGATTCTCTCCCAACACCGCGTGGCTGTTAATTGGTTTATTGCCCATCGGATGTACTGAAAATTAATGACTCGTGACAACATAATCGGATTAGCCAGATTTATTATCTTTGTACATTTAATCGATCTTGATTGCACCTGTGTGCTTTAAAACACGGTATTAAAATTTCCTTTCTTTGACAGATAAAAATGTGAAATTTTCATTCAAAATAAGATAATTATTCTTGGATGTATTTGCCCCATGTCATTGTCATTTGAAATAAAACGTACAAACGTATAAAAATACGAATAAAACACTTATTTTGTATTTTTATTATAGTCCGGTCAGGTCATAATTTTTGTTTTTTCAACAAAGACGATTTTACTACAATTAGAATCTTTTATGACCTACTCAGTGAGCAATATCCGGTTCATTAATTGTTCAATATATAAATATCAACTGGCTTAAAACAAAATGATGTTTTTACGGTAATTTGTCCTATCTAAACCCAAGAGTTAATTTAACGGATCAACAAGTGAACTCTGTTACTTTCAATTTATTTTGCAATGTAAAATATTATGTTTCACTACCTCGGTAGATTACCGACTTGAAATATTTGAACTCAGAAAAGAAACTGTAAAGTGACAACAAAAAATGTGGATCGGATTTTTACGATCTACACATTTTCACAGAGGATCTCTACCAACGCCCAACAGGAACTGAACGACATGCATCCTGTTTTCATCTACCATTTATGTATATTGTTGACCATGGACGTATAAATAATGTCATGCAGGTTTATGTCCTGTGTTGACTTAGAAACGTAAAATTAAAAGGCTGGTGTTCGTTTATTCAGAAAAGGATTATATTTTAGATTCCGGTTAATCAATTGTAAAAGGACCTTCTAGAGCCTCAATCTTAAGGCACACAAATGTCAATCATTCCAAAGCAAATTTAAAACCCGAATGAATTTTCCCACGGTCATCCAGAAAGGTCACCTGAGTTTACTGTTACGTGATAATATTTCCCGCCAAATAAAAATCTCGTGGACAAAATTGATGTCACTATTTTTAGCATTCAATATTGTGAGCGAAGTCAAGTTCAAAGTTCAACCACGGACTGTTGATCACTGAGATGTGTATCGTCTTCCCACGGCAATTAATTTCTTTTAAAAAATTTAAAAATCCCTGTCCTTTATACAACACACAAGTTTACATTCATTGTGCGTAAATGAATATTATGCAACGACGAGTTGATGCAGCTATAGAAGTGTTGTAGCCGAAATGTAATTATTTATCCTAAAGTAATGCCAACAAATCGTAAAGAGAAAATGCCGTAGACTTATTAAGTATAACGAATGGTGAATAGTATTTTCTTTTTTACTTGCGTATACAAATTTTGAGACACGTAATTTTCTTTAAACTGCTCACTTTTATATTCAGCGTTAGTTTCCGTTTATTTTTACGCAAGTATGTCTCATTTAATAAAATAATTTACCGATGAACTTAAACAAGGTCAAAATCAAGTATAGTTTTTGTTATAAAACTTTAATGCAATTGAAAGAATTAACAACAACATTCTGCTTTTAAATCTTTAATTTGTTTCAAGCAATTATGTAATCGTAAAATGAAAATGGCGTGGACTTATTAGCATAACGAATAGTGAATAATATTTTCTTTTTTACTTTTATACAAAACTTTGAGACATGTAATTTTCCTTTAAACTGCCCACATTTATTCAGCGTAAGCCTCCGTTTATTTTTACACAAGTATATCTCTTTTGTAAATAAAATATTAATTTACTGACCAGAAAAAACAACGAGGTAAAAATCAAATACAGTTTTTTTTTAATAAAACTATTTTTAAATGTACATTGTAATTGAAAGAATTAACAACAACGTTTTGCTTTTAAATCTTTTATTTGTTTCAAGCAATCAGAAATATAACCTGATTATCAATAGACAGGAAATACAATTGTTTAATTACATAAGTAATCTCACATACCTTGACTGTCGCGTGCCGGTATAGATCAGAAGGATTAGGGCAATTTATTACCTGGTGTGACACCGCGTCACACCGGACTGGGAGAGATGTCGCTAATACAATAAACAAAAGGTAGCGAATTTACGCGGAAGTCGGAGGGAATACTCCCAAATTTCTCCGAGAATTTAGGGAGGGATGTCGGAGTTTCCTGGTGTCACACCAAGAAAAAACTTGGTGTTCGGAGTTTGGGAAGCCTTTCGCGAAATTTGTACTGTATATAGGGAAAATCATAAAAATCGGCAGATATTTTTACTTTATCAAGATTTTCTAATTCGTTGGTCCACAGAAGTTTTTTAAAAATCGATATGCGATTCAAAAATGAACGACGAACCCATTGGTGCAAAGAAAGTCCTTAGCAACCGTGCTAGTTTTCAAGCTATATCCTGTGGAAGTTTGATTTTTAGCGGAAAAAATAAAAACATTTGGCGACGTTATTAATGTCTACTGTAACGTCATCACAATTTCTACTCTAGTTAACGCTATTATACCGTACAGTGTCGTAACAAAATCGTGAGTGTGTATAACGCATTTTCCTAATTATTGCAAATGCTCAAGCGTAATCAATTGATAAGGAAATAAACTGACAATTTTTTAAGGATATTTCTGCTGCCAAAAAAAGCAAATTGGCAAATAAATATACTGCAAGTGAAAGAAAGTAACTGTATAGACTTTAAATCCACCTTTTCTTAATTAGACAGGGTTCCACATCTTTTTTGAAATGCTTGTATTTATAGCTGACTATGGGCGTTGATCATTGTTGAAAGCCGTACGGTGACCTATAGTTGTTAATTTCTGTGTCATTTGGACTCTTGTGGAGAGTTGTCTCATTGGCAATCATACCACATCTTCTTTTTTAAAATTGTATTGTTCTGATAATTATGAATCAAATATCAAGTTTGAAATTGTCCCAGTTAACACAGCGTTGACAGAATGATTCTATACGTATTTAAATAATCGGTTATAATATTGGGATCGCGTGTACACGTCTTTTTTAAAATCTTATTTATGCATGTTTGTTTTTTAAAAAAAGTGAATATAATTTGCTGCATCTTTTCATCCTCACCATTTCCGGCGCTATTCGAGGTATCGCGCACAAAACCCATTTTATTTGTCAGGTTCACACGCGTGCACGTGACACAACTCTGCAATTTTATTTTAAAAAATTCCTGTCTCGATCGCTTTCCCTTTTCTTTAACTACACGACAAAGCATGATCTAATGTTTGCTAGAGATTTTAAGTAAAAAAGGAAATATTTTTTTGTACCATTATTTGTTAAATATCCACATGCACGACTCCCAAAAAATAAGAAAACTGCATCTGCATATTATCTTGAGAATTTTTATGGCTGTAATAAGGTCAAAAGAAGAACCCGCTTATGAATTTTAGCAAAGTAAAACATATCGGAGTTTTAACTTCACGTAGCACAGATCATTCCCAGTGTTAGCCTTAGCATTGTGTATATTGTGTATACTGCTAAGGCATTGTGTATATTGTAACGCTATAAATGTACTGGTGTAATACTATAAATGTACTGGTGTAAAGCTATAAGAATGTACCAATGGCGATGCTATACGAGTTTACCTAGTGTAGTGCCATACAAATTGTTCCTGTATATAATGCAAATGAATTGCAGTTTTGTTAATATAATATGAAAATAAGGAGATGTGGTATGATTGCACATGAGACAACTATCTGCCACAGTTTAAGGTAGATCGGGTGTCTTTTTCTGAGCGTCCGTTCTGATCATGTTGCAAAAATTCTTTTTTGTTTTAAAAATATTTTACCAAGTATCATTTGATATACAACAAAATACCTAAAACTTGAAATTTAAAGATTGAACTATCAAAAAATTAAGTGTCGTAAAGTATATTTAAAATGTTTGGGGATTTTTTCAAGAAAATAAGGCCCATGACCCTCTATTTTTATTTGATATATTTTTTTGGGAGTTATTAATGAAAAGCAATTCTCAGGCTCATCGAATTTTAGCCAATTCTATCGTTTAATGTTTCCGCAATAAGGAAAACTTAAGTTTCCCCTATATTAACAATATAAAATAACCCAAATTTCGTTAATTTCAATGTGTTATTACGAAAAAACAAGGTCCGTGATCCCCAGTTTTTATATTGAAATTTAAAATGACATTGACCCAGAGGTCTTTTACAGAAGTTTAAGAAAAATCTATCGTCCAACATTTAGACACCCCAGCTACCTTAAATGATGTGGATGTAAGCAATTATTATAGGCAACCATACGGCCTTCAACAATGAGAAAAATCCATACCATATAGTCGGTTATAAAATATGTAAAAAGTCCGACATTGTAGACCTTATTTTCTTCACCCCTACCTTATACTACTGCTGAATGATACACAAAAGCACAACAAAAGAAAAAAAAATTCGCTATCCCTTCGAAATCGGATTTGATAAAGAAAAAATAACATGTTCTATTTTTATCATACATGTGTAGTTTCAGTTTCAACCATGGTTCTAAATTTAGATTTTACTTTCCCCAAAAATTGCGGACGGAATAGAAGACATCTGTTTATTTTCTACACCTTGAAAACTGAGATTTGGATGACATAGATTTTACTTATTCTGTGATAAATGTAATAGTGCTCAATTCTTAGTTTCTGAGTGTGTAATGTTTTGTGGACGGAATCTGATGGGTTTTTTTTTTTTGCTGTTGGCTTTTTCTTCGGCTTATAAATGTTGTACTAGTGGTCGATTACCCTTAGTATCTTTTATACTTTTTACATAAATAATAAAATATAAAACATCATAAAATTTTCAATTGAATAAAAACGGACATGCCAACGTCTTTGTTGTTCAACACACAAATTCACATGCAATATATCGTTACCTACAATTTTACGCTACACTGTGAATTTCATTCAAAACTATGGTTTTTCAATAAATATTGTGGGGTCAATTCTCAGGTTTGATTTTTAATGAATTTGATACGAATAGAAGCAGAATTGTCACTGGTTTATTTTTTAATTGGTTATAATTTTGTTGTTCAGGCGTTTTTACCTTCTGTTGAAATAAACACGAGTCGTATTGTGTACCTGCTCCTGCGTGTCTAAAACAAAATCAGTGGTAATAGAGTCAGACTAACTCACAATAGGATACTCAGATTTCTGATTGGAGTCATTCTAATAATTTCTTTGAAGTTGTGAGATAGCACATGAATACTTGTCTGAATTCATGATAGACCGCACAAAGTCATTTCTCTTTCATGTGCTCATTTTCCTTTCTTGGAGTAGGGGAGATAACCCGCGTAACTAACGACGCACGTTTTTTATCCCAAATTCCGCTAGAGGCGTGCAATTACGTACACTTCGCCTTAAAGCCATGATTTTAGCTTTCGTAAAACTGTAGGTCACAGTGAGCTCCCATACTTTGTTTTGCATGCATCTGAGCCTGAATTCTTCAAATGTAGATGTATAATGTGATATGAGGGATGATATATGATGCATTTAAAACTGAACCATTGATTACACATCATTAGAACTATTCTAAATTGTTTTTAGACCTTGTATCCTTAATTTTTTGCTCAATGTAATTTAATCATTATATAAATTTTCACCTTCAATCCACTAGAGAATTCCACCATTTCTTCTGCCTGAATATTTTTAAGACCATACACACGAGCAATACCATCTCCAATTGATAATACTCTTCCTGTTTCCTCCAAATTTGTCTGTGTCTGTTGTCCCAATATTCTTTCCTCCAAAATTGAGGACACCTCTGCTCCTGAAAAAAATTGTCTCATTTGTAATTGCTATTAAAATTTTGAACAGCAAATTTTAAGATACTATATTACTGAACCCAACTAACTAATTTGCAACTTATTTATCTGTGTATCAACATTTCTTTTATTCTTTTCTGTATAATATTTACACTGCATTACTTACCCCCTTTCTCTATTCAAAGGGTCATTTTATCAATATTAACAACTATTGCAACATTTTAATGCTTCTTTTATAAAACATTTGTACATGTATTTTATATAGAATGAAAGCTTTACAAATGAACTTGTTGCCCCTAATTGTTTGAATATATGTATCATTTTTATGCAGTGTTTTGCAGAAATAAAATTTCATAAACCATTTAGGACATGATGAAAGCATATATTTTATAGAATTAATATCATGGCAAGTATGGTCATCAAATGTTCCTCTGATTGCTTCTGACAAATACGGCCACAAAATGTATTATTTCAAATAATGAACAGCTCTAAAAGAGTGATATGAAATGCTTCCTTTTTCAAACATCAAAAACTATTGAAAAGGTTATCAGAATAGAATGACTTGTTTTAAGTAATCCAACTGCAGTCTGCACTATAAACCATTAATCTGATATCCCAGACCAGTAAAATTTTATCTGGACTAGTACATGTATGCATTTGCAAAACTTTTGTTCAAACACATAAGAATAAACTGCTTCGCTGAGTGCAGCTGGATACGCCCGCAGAGGTCCAACCATGAACAGTTGGGGCAAAAATGGACACAATATTCAAGCTTGATACAGGTCTGAATTTGGATTGTAATTAAATATTTGACATATTATAGGTTTCTGAATAAATGTAGTCAAAAATTAAAGATTTCTTGCTGTTGTGCAATACACTGTGCTGTTGCGCAATACTTAGTAAATCTGTTGTCAGACTATAAACAAATAAAGTTCAATTAATTCTCAATGTCATATTAGAAAATTATGAAAATGTAAAGGGAGCTTACATCAATAGATATAAACAATTCACCAAAGTTTCATGAGAATTGCTGACAGCATTTTTGAGTTATTGTCCAAAAACTGGAAAATCCCCCCTTTTTTAATGAATAAAACCCCATAACTCAGAAATGTAAGATGTAAAATTTAAAAAATTCTAAAGGGAGCTTACATCAATAGATATAAACAATTCACCAAAGTTTCATAAGAACTGTTGAAAGCATTTTTGAGTTTTTGTCTGAAAACTGGAAAATCCCCCTTTTTTTATGAATAAAACCCTGTAACTGGGAAACGTATAATCTAAAATTTATAAAAATCAAAAGGGAGCTCATGTCAATAGATATAAACAATTCACCACAATTTCTTAAAAGTTGGTGAAAGCATTCTTGAGTTATTGTCCGAAAACTGGAAAATCCCCCTTTTTTTAATGAATAAAACCCCATAACTCGGAAACATAAAATCTAAAATTTATAAAAAACGAAAGGGAGCTCACGTCAATAGATATCAACAATTCACCAAAGTTTTATGCAAATTGGTTAAAGCGTTTTTGAGTAAATGTCCGACATGTTGACGACGGACGGACAGACGGACGGACAGAGGTATACCATAATACGTCCCGTAAATGGGCGTATAAAAATGTCAAAATATTGGTCTTCAGACAAGAAGTTGGAATAGATGGTGCATACTGCACTGGAAAATTCTGTTTTCCTACTGACTGCTATATTTTTTGGTTGACATGATACAATGTGTCTTTAATCAGAGATTAAACAAAAACATGATAGCTTAATGACACAATAATCAAAACTATCAAATAACCCTTTACAACTGCATCTGGGAAAGCAGCCCAACAGCTTCTTTAATTAATTAAGCAGTCAAAGAATACCTGTATTGTAAAGTGGAGATGAAGAAGAGATGTTTCTAGTTGCAACACAGCCAGCACCCAGGGCATGACGGCAAACCTGTAATAAACACAAGAACATAAACATGATAAATATTATGTTTTCTAGCTTTTAATCTAATGAAGTATTTGTAGTAAATTAGTAATGAAAAGTTAAATGTTAATGAAATTAAGCAAAGTTATTCAGGGCTTGAATAGCACTGAAAATAATGTTTCCTTCTATGAACATAGAATTTATTGAGGTTCAATTTCCTCTGGAGAGACGAGAGAGATGATTGTTAAATAGAGTGTCTACTGAACTTTTCTACATACAATATTATATGCATCTTTGAAGATTTTTTTGTGGTGGCATCTTCTTAATTTAAGAACTGCACAGTACCATCATGCATTATGGTTTCAGGTAATACACTGATTAATGATCAAGTACATACATTTGTATGTACATTTTATTACATGAATGCTGGACATAACGAGATTAAAATTTAAAAAATTCTGTGTTCAGACATGTCACAAGTCAGATGCTGTTTGTGACATTAGCTGTAGGATTTCCTGGCATTTGATTAAGTACTGTGCAATGTTTACAAGAATACATGATTGACATCACTTCTCTCATACTCATAATTTCTCGACACCTTGGGAAATCCCTTTTCATCCCTGCCGAAAAAGGTCTCAAAGAGATACGAGTTTGCTACCCATTCATGTTTCTATAAATGATGAAGTATGCTTCATATTTTGCTCACTTCACCCATCAATAAATAAATAAATCAATAGTTTTGTTTTGTAAACTTGTAAGCCATATATTAATTTGCAGTTCGCTAGTTAAAGATACTGAAAGGCTGCTTTGACCTTGAAAAAACCGTGTGTAATTTCTGCAACCATTGCGATACTACTTAATTACAAACTTGTGCATTGGCAATTGTAACATATCCACTTGCGCATATCCAAGATATTATCATAAAAGCAAAGTTAATCTCACGATGGAAACCACTGACTCTGAAAGTCATCAGGTCAATACATAACCGGCACTTTTCATATTAAAATACATATGGAAGTAATACACATGCAACGTGTTTCAAACGATTAATCTCATGATATATGTTTATGTTAACCTTTGTTGCAGCCCTGGGAAGCTGTCGAGCTATAGATGATGCTAATCGGGCTGAAAGCATGTTTACGTTGTTTGTTTCTCGTCTGTGCCCGACGAATATGGCCGATAGTAGACCCGTGAACTTGACAAGGAGAAACCCGTAGGTTGTTCCAATTTGCGACTTTTAGGGGAACGAACTTAGAGCTAGTGTATGATCTTATAAATGATTTAAAAAATCATCTCATGTATACTCATACCAACCACAAAAAATATTACTGTTAGAGACCGTATACCATACCATAATTCTTTTGATTATTTATATATATATTAGTACAGTAAATTAAAGTCATCTGTTCAAGTTCCCTTTTGAATTCACGGTTTCACATTTTGTTACTATACCGTCCCAGACTATACTTGTAGCTTTACTATAAAAAAAATTTATTTGCCTGTTTTTTGGCTTTTTATTATGCCAAAACTGTCTCAATATCAAGAAATTGGGGAAATGTATTGGGTCTTTAATATTGAAGACAAGATCAATCTATGTGTGCTTTCAAATTCTATGCGGCAAACGAACAATAGGGCAGACCACTGGAATAAGTCATTCCAAGGATTTGAATGAAGCTTTACTGAAAAGTCCTCGAATATAATTGTTTTGATATCATATATAATTCCATGTGTAAAAACGTTATTTATTATAGGCTATCCTTATATCATGCTATCTTATTATTCAGTTAATTAGCATCTTATATAAATCAAAGTACTGAGGTACTGAACATCGGATGACCGCAAGTTCTGGTGGATGGTCACAGGCACTTGTTTCAGAAAAAAAATCGAATCTATATTCCTGAAAGTTAGGTTAAGGTACATACATGTAGATATATTTTTTTTTCTGATACAAGTTCCTGTGTGGATGTTGAATAAATGACAGGGAATTCAACCTCAACGTAATGAATTATTATATTGTAGTGATATAATCATTTAATTGTTATCAATATGATATAGCTGTTTTGTTGTTATACATTATATTAATATTTGTATAACAGTTATATATATATAGCAGATCATCTTAATAACTCTACAGGCAAATTTTCATCCTTGTCAGTGCAAAACGTCCTCGAGATATTCTTCCGCATGCGTTAACACACATTTTCGGTATTTATGATTTATATTTCTCACGTCAAAACATTTTAACATCATTTAAATATTTTCATAAGTATTCATTGAAGAAATGAATTTATAACAAGCGATAAGGAATGTTATTTTGCACTCGATAATATCCGCGTATTTATACGAAATACGTTCCGTTATCAGTCAAAGGCGCAAGAAATTTCTGCGGCAACATAACACCGGGATGACCTCTAAAGGTCACATCCGATGTAAAAAGGAGACGGTGGTCGTGGATTATGGTGGTATGATTGCCAAAGACGCAACTATCCACCCGAAAGTTCAAATGAATGGATGTAAGCGATTATAGGCAATCGCACGGCCTTAATTCAACAATGATAAAAAACCAATATCGTATAGTCGGCTATAAAAGGCCTCGACATGAAAGTAAGAATCAATTCAATTGATAAAAAACTAACGGCCTAATATTTAAAACAAAAACAATTTACGAAACACAAATATGACAGACATGAACCAACGACCGTGAATCACTGAACTACAGGCTCCTGACTTGGGACAGGCACATAAAGAATGTGGCGGGGTTAAACATGTTTGATGGCGCCAATCCTCCCTAACCTGGGACAGTGGTGTAACGGCATTACACACTGAGAACAAACTACAGACCAATAAACGAAAAACCAAATTTGAGAAACAGCAATAAACGACAACCACTCAATTACAGGCTTCCCAGTGAAATGGGACCAGCACATATAGAATGAGGCGGGATTAAACATGTTTGAAGGTGCCAACCCTCCCCAGAAAAGGGCCGCAGTTCACTCATCAGATCGGTACAAAGCAGAAAAACATCTAACAAAAAACACAGACCGGATGTAGCAGGGTATTTATACATCCATCATCCCATAACATACCGAAAGACACAAAGTACAGATTTGAGAGTACTTGCAGTTACTGACAGCTAGTTCAAAGCAACTTAAAACGTAAAAAATCTAAGACTGACTAAGAATTATTATATAAAGGGCTTCGAATTGAAATTAAAATATGTAAAGTTAACACAGTGTAATTACTAAAGTTAATATAATATACGATAAAAGTTTGGTCATTACTGAAGGCCGCACGCAGACTACACGAAATTCGTCGGACCGTCGGACAAATCCTGTGAATAATGGATCGGTCTGGTAAAATTTTGTTGAATTCCGGCCCGAATGTCCGATGTTGTTTATCGTCCGGTTTTGTTTGTTTATTATCGTATTTTCGGTAGATTTCTACTTCCGTTGTATTTTCTAATTTATATACGAAAGGATTCTAACTTTTGGCAAAATAACTTTGTTACTTCATTAGAACGTGATGAAAGTTGCCTTAAGTAAATTTGTAATCCATTTATTGCATTAAAAACGTCATATTCCATTTCAATCAGCATGTCTAACATCGTTTATTTTTGTAAATTTCCTTCGTCCGCCATTGAAATATATGTACGAGCTACGGATCGGACTCGGGATTTACCGGAGTGAAGTTTTTTGAATTGAATTTTAGTTGATACAACAACTTTCTTTTCCTTTTTGATATAAAAAATAGTTCTCTTTTTTTTGTTAGTGATAGATATTAAGTTGATAGTTTCTGACCAGAGGACTAATATAATTAATAACATATTTATAACAGGCTGTACAAACAGAAAGATCAGTGCATATTCCTGAAATGCATTCAAGCAATTGTGCACAACATTCATCAAAATATACACTCTTGTCAGACGATTTTGTTTTTGTGCATTTTGGAGAGGAGTACGGCACAACAAGTCATAAGTTTGCTGTACTTTGTCGGATAATATACAATTAGATGTAAAAAAAAAAAAGCTGCTTACAGTGTCCTTTTTACTTTTTACTTCAGTTCGTTCCAGTGGCTGGTGAAAATATACTTCTATGTCATTTGGTCTCTGGTGGAGAGTTGTCTTTTTGGCAATCATACCACATCTTCTTATTTTTATATTTTATAATTCTTTTTTTTTCTCAAGGTGGGTACTGTAGTAGTATTAATAAGTGTAACTATATTATAAATGTTTAGTAACTTGGAATTTATAAGTAGTTATATGAGTGTGAAAACCTTTATAACTTATAATGTTTTCAATTGAAAAAAAAATAATTGATATGATAACGTTGTATACTTCTGCATACTAGTATTATTAATTAGATAACATATACATCATACATGTACATCATCCGGCAATTCTGTGTTGATAAAACATGGGAATCGTATACTAACAATATTTTGTATCCCAGATAAAAGATATAACTGTTATTTGTCATTTATGTGAACAGTCGATTGAAATTTGATGATATTGTAATATATACATGTCTCTGGTTACAGCTATTTTAAATGACTCGGAGACCTTTAACACCCAGAACACGTAGTGAGTGTTGTTTATATAGCATATGGTGATTCGATTCCAAGATGTTTTACAGACAGATATCATTTAAGGGATGTCTTTGATTCTGCGTCACCATGAAGAGTGTTTTTTTAGTAGCTTGCTGATGCAGAGTTCATCCAGTGGCGGATTCAGGGGGGGGGGGGGTCCAGGGGTTGGAACCCCCCTTTTTTTGGACGAACAATGCATATGTATGGGGGCATATAGTTGGAACCCCCCACCATTTATCCTGGGTTGGGAACCCCCTTTTAAAAATGGCTGGATCCGCCCCTGTCATCTCTCTTTTCCATTAACTGACTAGATTATTTTGTCCGATATATTTGGAAGATTGTATTGTTGGAATGTTTCCATAAAGTAGCCTTGGAAGAATATTAGATTTGTAGGGAAAAAAAACATTAGTCTATTGAAAACCAGGGCTCTGTAAGGAGTAATTTGTTCTTCTAGCTAGTTTAATACTATTGTCTACAATATATATATATATAGATGTTACTTATTTAATCTTTGAATTCCTAGATTTCAGTTTATTTCGATTCTGTTGCTCTATTACATTTTCTTTCAGAAACAATTGACGTTTAGTGCGGTTATTGGTGTTACATTGGTGTTCCCGATTGTCCCACTGTTTGAAATTACAGGTAAAAAAGAAATGAAATTTTGTGGGACAATCGGGAAGATGTTTGTGGGACAATTGGAAAGTATAAATGTGGGGCAATTGGGAATTGTTTTGCAACAAATGGAAGTTTTTAACGACCTTGACTGGCTATATATACAGCCCTTGCACGGTCGGTAATTGTTTTGATAGTAATTAAATTGTTTTTATAGTGTGTAGCAGGTAATTAAAGGTAACTAACCAATGAAACTTATAAAATAAGAAATACACATGAACAAATAATAATATTTACATATTTCTTTTTTGCAGTATATTAGCAACAAAGTATCATCAAACACAGACTTTAATATATATTTAGTCATAAAATAGCACATATCAAGCACTTCTCAATTCTACATTGATATATAATAAAAAGAGTTTCACTTTAGCACACATAATAAACAGCTAAATACAATAAAGTACACACAATAAACAAATTAATTCATTAAAGCACACACATGACACATGACACGAAGAGCAGATACTATTTAGCACGCACAATGCATAAGGTACAACAATAAAGCACACATGATTCATAACTTAAACATCACAACACATCATATAATTGCAACAAACGTAGTCAAAATGTAACAAATACGTCAGAAGCAATGTCAGCATACTGAAACACAATAACTTCGCTATTCTGAAGATGGTCTGAGTTCCTGTAGGCATTGGTTGACTTGTTTGTATTTTGTTCCATATATTGGTCCTTCTCCCCAATCTTGGTACTGAATGATAGTCATTTCGTTTGCTGCCTGCTCCTCTTTAAGATAGTTCAGTAGCTTTTATACTATGTTTGGGTGTGGTACTTAGATCATCTTCTTCAAGCCATCGAGGTGGTTTGTCGTCCTTGGTCCTTCGGTTTGGTAATGGTTCCATATCTGCCTGTTGCTTTCAACCCAGTATGTTGTGACGTTATCCGTAAACGAAGTGATATTTGCTGTTGAGTCCGAATTTTCCAGGTCTTCAAGTGTATGGAACCAGACGTCGTCCGCTATTTCTGTAGGTGGTACCAGAGGAAGAACTGCTGCCGACCGTATAAGTTGATGAATGTCTGGTTCTCCTTTATAGTTAAGAGACGAGTCTTGTTTACTGCACTATTCGCCAAATACACTGAGTATAGTGAAACAAATTGTCCTTCAATAGTTTTTCCTGGAAAGGATGCTCTGGCAGAATTCTGAACAGCAGCTTCGTAATCAATGAAGAAAGTTGTTGGGTTCAGGTTAATCTGACGTTTTAATTTAATTTTAATTTAATAATATTTTATTGTATTAATCAAGCAATAGGATTGGACACAAGTTATTACAAATATTAAGTCCTCGCCTTACATATACAACACACATATATGATGACAGCAAACACATACATAGTATAGCGACAGTTATAAAGGAAGGAGTCACAAATTGGCTTGGCAACAAAAAAAGCAAATAGGACAGAGAGAAAAAAGAAAGCTGCTGACTTAGGACGTTAAAATCGTTTTGACTGTTTAATGAAATAACGAACTTTATCAAAAATTTAGAGTTAGTTTCGTAATTATATGCATATTTTCCAAACAATAGCGTTTCAATATCAATGTGTATGTTCATATGTATAAGATCATTAACCAGAGATATTCTTTGGTTGTAATATAATTGGCATTCTAGAAAGTAATAGATGGCATCTTCAACAGGAGAACCGGCGCTGAGGCGCATTTAGAATCATTGCATGTATTATTTTTAATTTATTTAAAAACTTCAAAACAAAAAAAATGTAATTAAAAATACAATACTGATATTTGTTTTACAAATAAGAGTAACATTATGTTTTATAACTCAGAAATTTTATATTATTTCATCAAAAGTGCTTTAATGTGATGATTTAAAAAAATCATATTTTAATTCTTGTTTATTTAGTAAAACAAACAACAACTACCTTGTTTATTTAAAAACATTTTACATAATAGAATAATGTGGGACAATCAGAACTTTTCATTTGGGACAATCAGAACTCTAAAATTTTAAAAAGTGGGACAATCGGGAATAAACCGTTACATTGGTAGGATGCATTTTATATTGGTTCACTTACCTACTGTCATATATCTATTCTCTAAATTCGTTTTGTTTAAATAATTGTTGAAGATAATCTCTAAAAAATGTCACTATAAGCATATGAAATATTTGAAATTATCTAATTCATGTATACAACTCTAAGTAAAAGTTTCATTTTTATTTATGCTTTGTTGGTTTTTTTGCCTAATATTAAAGACGTTAAAATTACACATTAGTTAAAGACTATTACGTCATCTATCATATGACGATTTCGTCACTGTCATTGAAGGATTTGTTTTGACGAACATTTTGAGTTTATCTAGTTGTTTAACATGGCTGTTTGTACAATTACTTCTAAGGCTTGCCTTATTCTCGTCAGTTTAGTATTTTGGGTAAGTAAAGAGCACGGGGACAAGTAACGTTTTGATTGCATTTTTCCACAATTTCCTTTTTTTTTCTCAAATTTAGTTTTTGGTTCTTTTAACTTTTAAGGGTCCCAACCAGTCAGTTGTATTCGAAAAAAATATATATACCTTGATATAGCACAATGTAACCAACTCGCCTTTTTGAGAAAAGACACATGATTGTGAACTTTCGTTATATTTTTATTTAGTCCCTAAATAATGGTCGATGTACATGATGTATAAGCTTCAGAATTAATAATTATGCATTTTCATCCTAAGGGAGCTACCATTTGATTTTTACAGGTCAGGAATAAGGACCAATTGGTGGATTATACCTCAATTGACGTATAATCCACCAGTTGACATATATTGGTATAGACCAATTGACGTATAATGCAAGTTTTTTAGTTATAAAATGCTAGTGTGAGATAGGAGCATCATTTTGCAACTTACAACCTATTTTATGACCATATTATTGAGTCCTCCAAAAGTTTCAGTTTTGTCAAAGCCTGCTGTATCTCTTGAGAATGCATATGTACAACAATTCTTTTGTTGAAACATCTGTACTATTGACCATGATTGACTTTTAATAATGAAAGTCAAGTATTAACAAAGAGCTCCATTCACCTGTAGACGGTGGCTGCTTATCGGAAGAAGAAGTCTATCTCACTGAAACTTGTTATCTTTTAAATCTATATTAAATTCATGAAATTATCTACAAAATGATGTATGACATGTATGACACCCTTTAATTTCTGTTGTCGGAATCATTTGCAGTAAGTCTAAATAGGTGAACTGAAAATTATTTTGTCTACTCATAGCGATTAATTTTGATACCACGTCAAATGGTTACATAAAGTTTCAGTACTTTATTTTTTCCCCATTACTTATTGTTCAGCTGTTCAGACTCAATTTAATGACTGTATCAACCACCGCATATCATGTCCTACCATTATAGTTTCATGATACTGATGATGGTCATTTCTCACCATGATTGTTTTGAAGAGAACTCATTTAAAGAGTGCAAGGATATTTGGAAAATATTTTTTTAAGTTGTAAACAAACATTTAACACAATAGTAATAGAAAATGAAACTTTGAAAAGCAAAGGCAGGAATTATTCTAAAACTTTAATAGCGCAAAATTCTTGTTATATATCCAGTCATACAAGTATGTAAAGAAGAAAGCAATGGTTTATAGGTCTAAATAAATTGAAAACATGAAAATAGATATTTCTTAGTTTGCAGGCACTTGTTATGATCTTGATCTTCACTGTTGATAAAAAAAATATTTCTGGTTTTAGGCAGCAGCAGCAGGACTCTTCTTCATTGGAGGATGGGTATATAATACTTACCACCATTACAATGAATTAACAACAGCTAATTTGACTTTGATTCCAGCATCAATCATACTAGCGGCTGGAGTATTTATGTTCATTCTTGGTATCTGTGGATGCATTGCAGCTTGTAAAGAAAATAAAATTTTACTGGCTGTGGTAAGTTTTGTGTCTTAGTGGTTATAAGTGTGAATATGAACACCAGACATGCTTAAATGTTATTTAGAAATTATAGATTTAAGGTTTGACAGATGATCTTGCCTTGGGTAAAAAAAAATAGAGTAGTTGACAAGAAAAAAAGTACAAATGTATGTTTTTGCATTCAATGACACCCAATCAGTTGCACAGAAGAATGTCAGAAAGAACATATAAGAGTTCAAAATCATGGCTATCATGTAATTTCTACAACCACATGGCATTAGTCATATCTTCCCTTTCAAAATAATGTTGATTCTAAACAGACAAAGTAAAGAGAGGTATTTTGAATATTTCAGTTGTTTACTGTCTTGTTGATTATTCTGTGTGCTGAAGTAACTGCTGCAGGTCTTGCCTATGGCTTTAGAGAGGATGTAAGTATTTATCAAGATAAGAATAAAAAAGATCAACTTGTACAGATAATCCTTAATCATAGAATATGAGAGTAAATTGCTTCCTTGCAATATCAGATGGATCTTTTTATGTACAAAAAAAAACACGCTGGTCAGCTTAAAATTAATGTTTGAAATTATGCATTGAGAGCAAATTTTTAAATAATGACCAATATGCATTACTAAGTACATTTGTATGACATTAGTTATTTAACAAATAATCATATTGTAATTTTGCAAAAAGTGTTGAGTTGCTTTTTTATAAATTTACAATTTGTATGCTGTTTCTTTATGTTATATATTTATTATACAACATCAGTAGTTAAATATGTATTTATTTATATAACAAAAAGTATGCAATTAAGCAATAGTTTTCTCCCTAAAGATTTTAACTGATTATGATACTAAATAATAAACATTTTCATCTTGTGTTTCATATTGAATTGACAAAGCATACTGTTAAGATTTGTAATTTACTGTACTTTAGGTTAGAAAGGCTGTCAATGATGGGTTAGATGATGCCCTTCAGAAATATAAAGGTACCATGAAAGATCAGATGGACTATGTACAAAAAGAGGTAAAACAGACATGACAGACACAATTGTTTACATATTCATACATAAGTAAAAAAAGAGAAAATAGGGATGATGGTTATGTGGTGGTTAAATCTTTTTATACGACCGCAAAAATTTTGCAGTCATATATTGGTATCACGTCAGCGTCGTCCGAAGACATTTGGTTTCCAGACAATAACTTTAGTATAAGTAAATAGAAATCTATGAAATTTAAACACAAGGTTTATAACCACAAAAGGAAGGTTGGGATTGATTTTGGGGGTTATGTTCCTAACAGTATAGGAATTAAGGGCCAAAAAGGGCCCAAATAAGCATTTTTATACACCCGTTTACGGTATTATGGTATACCGTTGTCCGTATGTCGTCAACATTTCGGACATTAACTCAAAAACACTTCAACCAATTTGCATATAACTTTGGTGAATTGTTCATATCGATTGATGTGAGCTCCCTTTCATTTTTTATACGACCGCAAAAAAATTTTGTGGTCGTATATTGGTATGACGTTGTCGTCGTCGTCGTCGTCCGGCGTCGTCGTCCGAATACACATTGGTTTTCGCACTCTAACTTTAGTTTAAGTGAATGGATCTCTATGAAATTTTACCATAAGGTTCAATACCTCAAAAGGAAGGTGGGGATTGATTTTGGGGGTTATGGTACCAACAGTTAAGGAATTAGGGGCCAAAAAGGGGCCAAAAATAAGCATTTTTGTAACTTCCAGACATAACTTGTGTGTTAGTGTATGGATCTCTCTGACATTGTACCACAAGGTTCCATATCACAAAGGGAATGCTGGGATAGATTTTGGGGGTAATTGCCTCCAAATTTTAGGAATTAGGGGCCAAAAAGGGGCAAAAAAATAAGCATTTTTCTAGTTTCATGACAATAACTTGTGTTCAAGTGTATGGATCTCTCTGACATTGTTCCACAAGGTTCCATATCTGAAAGGGAATGCTGGAATTGATTTCGGGGGTAATTGCCTCCAAATTTTAGGAATTAGGGGCCAAAAAGGGGCAAAAAACAAGCATTTTTCTAGTTTCATGACAATAACTTGTGTGTAAGTGTATGGATCTTTATGAAATTGTACTACAAGGTTCCATATCACAAAGGGAAAGCTGGAATTGATTTTGGGGGTAATTTCCCACAACGTTCAGGAATAAGGGGCCAAAAAGGGGCCAACAATAAGCATTTTTCTAGTTTCCAGACAATAACTTGTTCAAGTGTATGGATCTCTCTGAAATTGTACTGCAAGGTACCATACCACAAAGGAAAGGCTGGGATTGATTTTGGGGTTAAATCCCTAGAAATTTGAGGAATTAGGGGCCATAAAGGGGCAAAAAACAAGCATTTTTCTAGTTTCAGGACAATAACTTGTGTGCAAGTGTATGGATCTTTATGAAATTGTACTGCAAGGTTCCATATCACAAAGGGAAAGCTGGGTTTGAGTTTGGGGGTAATTGCCGTAAATGTTTAGGAATTTTGGGCCAAAAAGGGGCCAAAAAATAAGCATTTTTCTAGTTTCCAGACAATAACTTTTGTTCAAGTGTATTGATCTCCCTGAAATTGTACAGTAATCATACATGTGAACCTCCCGAAGGGAATACAATAATCCCGTTTTCAGGGGTCTCCTCCCGACCTCCCGTTGAAGACAAAAAAATCCTGTGTATGAAATATTTCATGAATGAAAAATTTCAGCCCAACATATCTGGTGTAACTGACATTACCTGAAGTTATATTTTACCTGTAAATCAATTAACATGATAATTATATGGCTTCACTTGTCACCTTGGGTGTCAAACATACTGGTAATCAACGATTTTTACATCAGGCTAACTGCCGTTGTGTAATAAAACTTTGTATATTTATAAATGAATGTTGGGTTACTTCCCTTGATTTATCCTGTTTTAAGTTACTTTCCTTTAAATAATGTAAATTTTTAAAAGAATATAAATAAAATATAAATTGAACAAATAATCATAAAAGGATAGTAATTAAATGATTATAAATGTCTTAGGACAAATGAAAAAATAATAATTTGAAAATTATTTGAGGGTTCTATACTTCCTTTCAAGGCTTAAATTGAAATTTATATATTAACTATGACCCATGAATTCAGTTTGAATGTGTTACTTTTCTTGCATTAAAAATCTACTTGCATATTAAAGATAAAAAAAAAAAAAAATCTACTTGCATAAAGATTAAAATAAAAGATCTACTTGCAGATAGATAAGCAAATATTCTAATTGCAATGAATAATGGAAAAAAAGATATGACCTAAAAAATTTAAAGAACATACTTAAAAAGAAGAATGTTAGATTGAACAAGTTGAAAGTTTAAAAAGATAGAGAAAATTTATAAGTACAAGGGTACTATAAACATAATACATTCGGATGGAAAGTTGAAGAAAGCACACTTTAACAGACAATTTCTACAGCACACGGTTACATTTATGACAGAATTTATGTGGATTAAAAACCTCCTGATCTGAGTCCTAATCTCCTGACCAAAATTTCCCAAACTCCTGATCTTAGTTTCACAGTCCATCATATGTACTGCAAGGTACCATACCACAAAGGGAAGGCTGGGATTGTGTTTGAGGGTGATGAATCATAAGGGGGTTCAAAAAATTTTGAGGGGAGGGGGATTTTTTTTTCCTTTTTTTTCTTTGAAATTTTCCATTTTAAATTGGTTATTTCTGATTTATATATAAAAGCAAATAATAATAATATGGTTTGAATAGATAAATTAAAAATTTTTAAGTTCTTAGACCACATTCATTCTGTGTCAGAAACCTATGCTGTGTCAAATATTTAATTACAATCCAAATTCAGTGCTGTATCAAGCTTGAATGTTGTGTCCATACTTGCCCCAACTGTTCAGGGTTCGACCTCTGCGGTCGTATCAAGCTGCGCCCCAGCGAAGCATTTTATTATAAAATTTAGATAATACGTTTCTGAGTTATGGGGTTTTATTCATTAAAAAAGGGTGGATTTTCCGTTTTCGGACAATAACTCAAAAATGCTTTCACCAATTTGCAAGAAACTTTGGTCAATTGTTTATATCTATTGACATGATATCCCTTTTGATTTTTATAAATTTTAGATTTTATGTGTCCGAGTTGTGGAGTTTTTATTCAGTAGAAAAAAGGGGGGATTTTTCCAGTTTTCGGATAATAACTCAAAAATGCTTTCAGCAGTTCTCATGAAACTTTGAAGAATTGTTTATATCTATTGATGTAAGCTCCCTTTCAATTTATATAAATTTTAGATATTACACTTCCGAGTTGTGGGATTTTATTCATAAAAAAGGGGTGATTTTCTAGTTTTCGGACCATACCTTTAAAGTGCTTTGAGCAGTTTTCATTACACTTTGGTGACTGGTTTATATCAATTGAGATAACCTCCCTTTAGTTTTTCACAATTTTCTGATATGACATTGAGAAGTAATTGAACTTTATTCATAAAAAATGCGACGGGTGTATTATGGGCTCATGGCGCAGCTGTTTATTCTAGTTTCCAGACAATAACTTGTGGAACGTTGTATGGATCTCTCTGAAGTTATACCACAAGTTTCCATACCACAAAGGGATGGTTAGGATTGGCTTTGCGGGGTTATGGCTCAAACCGTTAAGGAATGGGGGGGGGGGGGTAAATTTTTTTTTTTTTTTTTTTTTTTTGGGGGGGGGGGGGGTCAATTCGCAACAGCATAGTGTATTGTACAAAAGCAAAAAAATTAATATAAATTCAAATCATATAACCAATTCTAAGTTCTTTGACTACTGTTATTCTGTGTCAGAAACCTATTATGTGTCAAATATTTAATTACAATCCAAATTCAGACCTGGCCACAGACCACAATTAAATTCCCCTATTAGTTCTTTATAATGATTTGTTTCATTAAAAAAATTGCACCTTGCATTTTTGTCAAATCTTTTGTGTGTGTAATGTATAGTACTAGTCCAAAAATATATCCAAAATTCAGAAAGATTGAACCAATGACTCTTACAAATTTAGCCAATACACATCCATACCCCTATGGACAAGTCAAGAGATGTTCCGAAAACTGTAAATATCACCTTTTTGCACCTGGCCTAATCACTCTTTCCATATCAAAATCAGTTAAAATACAACATCCAAAAGTTTATTTCACCTCTCTTCTTTTATTTCCACCCACAAAAAACTAAGAAATGAGTGAGGAAGGGAAAGAAAAAAAAATAAGAAAAAATACACTCTAATTAAAAGGAACTATATTCGTGGACAACGAAAAGCGGGATCATTAATTGTGGTCTTGGGCCTATTAGGGGTCTAAAACTTGACCAATTCTAATAAAACTTGGCATGAGATAAGCTTAGTGTATTATAAAACAGTTTACAAAGTTTCAAAGCCATATGATACCAATTATAAAAAATGTGGCATTTTTTATATCTGAACTTTGGGTGCTGAATTGTGGCGTTGAATTAGAACAATTTCAACTATCAAATTTGGGCTTCTAAAAACCAAAATATACCAAAACTTACATTTTTTAATGTTTTTATGTATAAGTTATCACCTATTAAAAGCAACAGATAGCATACTTCATGTTTCAGACTTATCAAAAATGGCCAGAAGTAAATTTTATATGAGCCTGTGCCAAAAAATAGAGGTTATTAAATGAAGTGAGGCCTTATATGAAATGTAATATTTTTCACTTACCACAATTTTCTGAAGTTGTTAAGTTATAAAAAAACCTTTTACATGTTATAAATGTACTTTTAATGGAAATATAAGTTTCAAATAGCATAACACATGTGAATAAAATTGTCTTCAGCAATGTCAAGCTTAAAAAAACAGGTTGTCATTTTAGGTCGTTCCTCACATTTGCATATTAAAAAGCATATAAATGATATGGTAGATAGAGATATGCTTCTTTTTGCTCAAATCTTTGTTTAGATATGATAAAACATGGAGCCTGGATGTAACATGACTGTCACTTTCAACTATATATGTAGACAGTATGATTTGATACAAAGTTATTTACTTTACTTTTTAAAACCGGCATGAAATTTCAGCCTCAAAAGGCCAATATTTTAACCACTAGCTATCAAACAAAAGAAAATAAAGGTAGTCTGTGAAACAGACAAGGTCAAACAACCAGTAATAAGTGCTTTTGATACAGATTCAGTGAAATCTGCTAAAAGGAATTCAACTTGTATGTGCATAGAACCTCATTTTTCACTTGCTTCATACTGACCGTTAGACTAAGACCATTAAAGCAGCACATTTTGCACTCTTATTCTGATTTTATCTACTTTTTTTGTGTTCAGTGTTCAAAAATGAGTTAAACATCTACATTAGATACCACAAACACAAATAGAAAACCAGAAAAATCTGTCGGAGAGAAAGTAAGCATGCTACTTTTGTAAAAATATTGAAACAACTGAAAAAGTTCAATTTTGGGCATGTAGGCTGAAATGTCACTTTTTTACAAAATTTCTATCAAATAAAAGTAGAAATCATTTATTCTCATGTAGTTTGACAAATTAATACCAATAGATCATTCAGGGAAGTTGTCAAAGTACAAATTCAATATTTCCTGAATTCACCTCTTAGGCCACAGACCACAATTAAATTCCCCTATTAGTTCTTTATAACGTTTTGTTTCATTAAAAAAATTGCACCTTGCATTTTTGTCAAATCTTTTGTGTGTGTAATGTATAGTACTAGTCCAAAAATATACCCAAAATTCAGAAAGATTGAACCAATGACTCTTACAAATTTAGCCAATACACATCCATACCCCTATGGACAAGTCAAGAGATGTTCCGAAAACTGTAAATATCACCTTTTTGCACCTGGCCTAATCACTCTTTCCATATCAAAATCAGTTAAAATACAACATCCAAAAGTTTATTTCACCTCTCTTCTTTTATTTCCACCCACAAAAAACTAAGAAATGAGTGAGGAAGGGAAAGAAAAAAAAATAAGAAAAAATACACTCTAATTAAAAGGAACTATATTCGTGGACAACGAAAAGCGGGATCATTAATTGTGGTCTTGGGCCACCTGTATCAAGCGCGAATATTGTGTCCATTTTTGCCCCAACTATTCAGGGTTGGACTTCCGCGGTCGTATCCAGCTGCGCTCGGCGAAGCAATTTTTTTTTAAGCTTCTAAGTTCAGTGATCATGAGTTATTCAAGAAGACAAGTATTTTTGAATTTTGTATTGATAAAAAAATATGAAAATTTGTTGTACAGTTTCTCAAAAAGGGTGAACAAATATACTGAGATGGAAACACCACTATCATAACAAGCATCAGTTTAAGTGCATGAAAAGGAATTCAAAAGGAAGCCCATTGATTGAAGATGAAATATATAACGCAAGTTTGTTCTCTTTTATCATGTGAGAGAGAAAAAAATTTGAAATGGCATCATTTAACTATTTTCATATCCATATAGTATTTTAACAAATGAATTGAAATGAGCATTTAAATAATGATTGAAGCTTTTGAAAATTGCTAAATATAGAATCACAATACTGATGCCTTTAAAAAATTTAACCATAAGCATTTAAATATTGATTGAAGCTTTTGAAAATTGCTAAATATAGAATCACAATACTGATGCCTTTAAAAAATTTAACCATAAGTTTTTCAGTTAAAAGACAAACAATATTCAACATCAGCTACAATAAATGAAACATTTCTCCCTGTAGTGTATGATGCAAAAAAGAAACAAGAAAAAAACGTAGTTAATTGTGACATACATGTATATGTATATATATTGATAAAGAACAACCATGGAGAAATGATCATCACACTTTAAAAATACTGATAAATTTTCGAAAATGACAATTTTCTAAAATACACTGAAAATACTGAGGGCATTACATGAGGTTCAATAGTGGTCAAGAGATGATACCAGGGAAAGATAAATAATTACATATATCTATTTACATCAAATATTTTCAAAACAGTGCAGTAAGGGAAAGCTTGGGGCTGATGATTATAATTGACATGTATTTACCAGAATCTGGTATGGATTAACAATTATACCCCATAATACACTATTGCAATTTACTATTTCGAGGTCAAAATTTGTGGAAGTAGCTGTCAAAAAAACATATATCACATGTAAATATATGATAAATATTGAAGCAGACATGGAATATAAATTGCGTTTGCATACATTTAAGGTTATTGAAATTATATTTAAAAAAAGGTTATGAAAATATGGAAGTTAAGAAGGTTATGTATGAATTTCAGCTTAAATGTTGTGGAGTAAAGAATGCAACAGACTGGAGTAGTTCTAAAGGTTGGAACAATACAAAAACCGTCCCAGACAGTTGTTGCATAATGAAGAACTGTACAGCAGATGATCGCAAACCATTCAGCAAGAAAATCTATCAGCAGGTAAAATTCTGATTCAGCTAATTTAAGCTTCTTATCACAAAAAATGTTTTGGAAGAAATATTTAAAATTGTAATGAGTAACGCCTGAACCCTTTGCAAAAAATGTTGGTTTTTTACACGATGTTGAAATATTTTGAGCCTAAAGCTTTACATTTGAAAAAAAGAAGGGTAAACTAAAAAAGATAGTAAAAATTATCACTTAGTGCTGTAAACATAAAAAATGTTACCTGTCAAATGTAAACTAGAATCTAAATTAGACAGAGCAAATTTTTACTGTATTTTTACATAATACCTTTCATATTAATCTTATTTTGTAGGGATGTTACGATGAATTGAACAGCATCTTTGCTAAAAACCTTGGATACATATCTGGAGTGTCAGTTTCCTTTGCAGTGCTTCAGGTAACATTATATTTGGGCTCTATAAAGATGAAAAAAATACAAAGTACATTAGAGGATAAAATAGCCTAGCTGTTTTGGTTTGATTGGGGATATAAACAGTTGACTACTCTTGTCTCGAATTTCAGTAAAAGTCAACATATTTCTGCAGTCTGTCCATTAAAATAAAGTCATTTATATTAATTGAGTCTAAATTTGCAGCGATTTTAACTAAATCTGTTATCAGAAAGTATAATAAACAACACAAGTTTTGTTTGCTGACTGGAAATGTTTTACACCTGTCAAAAAGTTGCAAAATTTGACATTGACAATACACCTGTACCCTAATCCTAGGATCAATAATTTGGTTTACCTAATTATCAGTTGGTTGGACATTTTAATTATCTGCCCTTTGCACAATCAACTAAATATAATCAACTTTTAAGCAAGTGATTGCCCTAATTATCACCCAATAAGAGGGGATGAAAGTTAATGTGGATACAAGGTTTTACCTCATTCAAATTTGAGTTGTCTCCCCTTGATGAGTTTTACTTAAAAATAGTCAACTGTATAAAAGTAGTAAGTAACTTTACCTTTTAAACTGAACTGATTTGTAGTTATTTCTTTGATTTCCTAAAATTCTACATATTTTTAACAGACAATTCACAAATAAGAGAATGGATATATAGTCATATATAAATAGAAAGAAGTGATTGCTAAATAGATTTATAGTAGAGAAAGGTGTGTACTATTGGTCAGCATTATATTAAACTGTGACAGAATTAAAATACATGTACATGGGTGTCTGTAATTTAAAAAAAGATAAATTCCACTTTTTCAGATCCTTGGCATGATATGCAGCTGCATCCTGTTCTGTAGATCAAAGGAAGTACGGTATGAAGTACTAGGAGGACCAAACTCAGGTCTGAGAGTATGAGAATCTCCACAATAATGCTTCACTATCACAACTGTGCATGTGCACCTCATATCAGTTGTGTGTATTAGAGGGTACCTAAACTATGTTCGCAGTAGAATGTCATACATTGCTGAAGTTGGGTGCACATTGAAACAATTATTATAGAAGTACTTATTTTCTACTAGTTTCTATTGACATCTGTTTCATTGTTTTTACACTCATCGTGTTTCTGTGATAATTATGATAACAGTTATAAAGGAATGTGTCCATAAACACTTAAATATGTAGATGAGTTTGCAGACTGTTACCATGGAAGTGCAAACCTTTTGGTTAGTTCAGGAAAGAGTATTAAGAAATCAAGCAGAAAGAGATTTTAGATGGTAAAAGGGTTTCAGTACTTTGTAATTTATGTGAAATGTGACAAAAAGCTATTATTATAAATTAGTACAGTAATGGCATAAGATTTCATTTTTCTACTTTAATGAATGTTTTGATTTTTACAATTTTCTATATGTCATCACCTGAAATTTACAAATAAATTTGATAAGTTATAGAAAATAGTTTTACCACATGTTGACACATTTTTTCAAAACATATGTATTAGTTAGTTACACCATTGAGTGTTTTTATTCAGTTTTATTCGAACACAACAGTACATAATATAATATGCATAATATATATAAAGACATAGATCTGGTTTAATGATCAGAAGACTTTTTATTACAGGTAGGATATGCTATTATTTGGAATATTACCAATTGTTTTTTTTTTTTTTGGAACTACCAAAAATACTTTCCTATACTCAATTTGGATTGTAGATACAAGTTTACTCTTGTGGTAAATATTATAAAAGAATCTCAACGAAATATTATGTATGCATATCATCTGTTTTATTGATCTGTGAAAGTATCTAAAGAAAGATTTAAAAGGAATTTTATTTCCAAAATGTAATGTTTCATTTAGTGTTAAAATCTGATGGGTGACGCACAGATTCCAAATGGAATTTCTCAAAAATACTTTCATAGTTATTATGAGTTACAAAATATCTTTTGTGTTTTCTTCAAATATAACAGTTAAAAACAGTTTCCAACCACACAATGAATAATTTTTTTAATTTTTTTTTTTTAAACAGTCCCTTAATACAGAATTTGTTATACAATTTATGAAAATGCTATGTAACTTTTTGTTGCGCCTTGACGAAGTCAAAAAGCGAGACATAGGTATGCTGTTTCCGGCGGCGTCAACAATGTTTTAGTTTTTGATTAGGTCTTGTTCATGGTGAACCACTAGTGGTAGGTCAATGATATTTGGTATGCAGTTGTATTAGCATTGACACATCTCATTACCATGGAGATTATTTGGTCCCGCCCCCTCAGTCAAGGTCTATTGACTTTGAAACTTTTCATAGTTTACATGTATTAGTTTGTGATTAGGTCAATTTATGGGGAACCACTACTGGTAGGTCAATGATATTTGGTATGCAGTTGTATAAGCATTGGCATATCTCATTTCCATGGAGATTATTGGCTCCGCCCCCTTAGTCATGGTCTATTTACTTTGAAACTTTGCTTAGTTTACATGTATTAGTTTGTGATTAGATCAGTTTAAGATGAACTGCTAATGTTAAGTCAATGATATTTGGTATGCAAATTTATTGGCATTTGCAAGTATTGTTTCCATGGAGATTATATTGCCCCACCCCTGATCATGGTTCATTGACTTTGAAACTTTTACATAGTTTACAAGTTAATGTTTGTGTTAAGGTTTGTTTAAAGGGAACGACTTATAATAAGTCAATGGTATTTGGTATGCAGTTGTATTAGCATTGGCACATCTCATTCCCTGGAGATTGTTTAGCCATGTACCTTCAGTCATGGTTCATCGACTTGAATATTTGCATAACTTACATGTTAAAGTATTGCTATTTTAATTTCAACATTTGCATTATCAAAATTACAAAAAGGCAAGACATATCTCTGTGATAACAGTTTATTTGTTAAAATTATGGATACATGAATGTAAATAGTAAAAAATGTGATGGTTGTTTATTAGCAAATTATGAAATACATGTAGCAGCTATATTTGTTTGTTTGTAAACTTATTTGCATTGCATATTGTTTTCTGCTTGTATTATATGCATCTTAGTTGAACAAGTGTTATAAAAATCATTCATATTAAAAATACCTGTCAACTCCTGAAACTGAAATACAAAACTTTACCCATATAGGACCAGAACCAAACTGAGAAAAACTTTGTTGGATTCTTGTACTCATAAAATAGTTAACTAATGGTAATACAAAATGTCGTCTTTACAAATACTTCAAAAAAAGAACACAAAACAGGGGTGACAACTAGTAATTTGATAAATCCCACTATGAAATTGGTAAAAATTTAGGTCTTTTTTAATACTGGACTAGGACTTATATATAGACAAATTCCTGGGTGTTGTAGAAATTTGGCTGGATTACAAGTTTCTTGGCAATACATTTTGGAAATAGGGATAGTTGACAGGTTTATTGTTAATTAGCTTTCATTTATGGAAGTATTAGTGATACACTTTTAATAACAAACTTTACATTTGGGTACAGAAATACCTTGATTTGGCTTCTTTAAATACATCGATTCATATCATGTCCTTGACAATAATATAGTAAAAGATTAAACTGATGCTATTTTACAGCTTTGAAAGATTTATTTTCAGTGAATTATGAAAAGTTAAACTTCTGTACGCAAAATTATACAGTGTTGAAGCTTTTAATTAAAATAAATAAATGTAATATGGATATTAATATCAACAAAACAACAAATCAGAGGCCCCATGTAATGGGATACTTCTGACAAGCTAATCACATAGGGAATAATTTATCTTTGTGTCTGAATAATTTCAAATTCTTTATCTACCAGATCTAATTTGCAACTTAAAAATAAAAATGGATAATGACATGTATATTAACCAACACCAGAGGGTGTGTCATAATGTTTGTACAACTTCCTAGGTCAAAGTTCAAGGTCAAAAACTTTGGTTTCAGTTGACAACCCACAGCGGGGCCCACAGAGATGGCTCCAATCTCAATGATGTCTAGTTCTGCCAAATTTTAAAAACAGCTCTTATATTTGTAGATTAGAAACTCAGGAAAAAGTGTGAAATGATATAAAATCTTCAGTTCAAATCTAATCATTGTTATACAAGTAATTGATATGTCTAGTAATGAAAGTGGGCACACTGATCCATCAGATTCAAGTGACTAAATTGAAATGAATGGTCTGATAATTTATGACTGAGACATTAAACTATGCATAACCAACTTAACTGTAAATATATATCCTTTAAAGAGGTTAATGGAAGATCATTGGTAAACTAAATCACAACTTGTTGACACAAGGGATTTATAGATTGACTTGTATAGACATATGTGACAGGTCTAATGACGTACATCACATGTTGACCTTTAGATGTCTTATTATTTCTAAATGTTGTTGGGTTGCTGTCGTATTGATGTTTACCCCATATATTTACTGCTATTATCTTCTGAAAGAAAGACCTTTTAAAGAAATACTTGATTACCATGTGTTGTTTTGTAAATGTCTCAATGACATTTATAAACATGTTTATCTAGCCTTTGTAAATATGAATAAAATGAGATTTGGATATAATACATCTAAGATACAGCAATAAAACAACATTTAGAGATCAACATAAAGTCTTTAATAATAAACATATTATTATAAAACAGAGAAAACTTGCAGTGGTATAATTCTGTATTAAATGTACTTATAAATCAGTTCACTGTGAAGACTGATACATTTTGTGTAGATCAGAAAATTTAAACATGGAGTAATCCCTCTTTTGATGTATTTTCATGTTGCAGGATGATTAGAACAAAATGCGCACTGTTAAATTTCAAGGTAAATTTTATGCGTATTTGGTTTTTTTTCTTTATTTTTTTTATATTTATTCAAATATTACAAATTGCTTATTGTATTGTGTATTAAATGTACTTGAATCTGCAGATATTTTTATTTATACCGGTATATTACACTTCACTTTTACCTTGTTTTTGATAACCATTTGTATGGCTTTTTAAGTGTTTGTATTAAAATAAAAACTGTTGTGATAAACTCTTATTATACATTGTATCCCCAGAAATGAAAATGCCTAACCAGTTCTTGTCAAGGTGAATTGTAAATTAAGTTTTTTTTTAAATTACAATTTTAGAGAGAACAGATGCAAATATGACACTAGAAAAATGCTACACCATTATTGTTGATTTATTAATGTCGCTTTTAATATTTCAATGTAAAATATAATTATGTAAGAAATGGGGTTGGATGTATACTGATTGATATTTCAGTCTTAGATGCATGATTTTTTTATTAGTTATTGGCTTTGAACTAGCTGTCAGTGACTGTGAGTACTCTCAGATCTGTACTTAGTGTCTTTTTTGTTGTGGGGATGTATAAGTACCCTGCCACGTCCGGTCTGTGTATTTCTGCTTTGTTTCGATCTGATGAGTTAAGCCCTTTTCAACTGATTTTTATATGCCCGTTTACGGGACGTATTACGGTATACCGTTGTCAGTCCATCCGTCTGTCGTCAGCATGTTGGACATTTACTAAAAACACTTTAAATAATATGCATGAAACTTTGGTGAATTGTTTATATCTATTGACGTGAGCTCCCTTTCATTTTTTATAAATTTCAGATTTACCGTTTCTGAGTTTTGGGGTTTTATTCATTAAAAAAGGGGGGATTTTCCAGTTTTCCGACAATAACTCAAGAATGCTGTCACCAACTTGCAAGAAATTTTGGTGAATTGTATATATCTATTGACATGAGCTCCCTTTCGATAGTTATAAATTTTAGATTTTACGTTTATGAGTTACAGGGTTTTATTCATAAAAGAGGGGGAATTTCCAGTTTTCAGACAATAACTAAAAGATGCTTTCAGCAGTTCTAATGAAACTTTGGTGAATTGTTAATATCTGTTGATGTAAGCTCCCTTTAGAATTTTATAAATTTTAGATTTTACATTTCTGAGTTATGGGGTTTTATTCATTAAAAAAGGGAGGATTTTCCAGTTTTTGGACAATAACTCAAAAATACTTTTAAGTAGTTCGCATGAAACTTTGGTGAATTATTTATTATTTATTAATATAGTGTCCATTTTTGCCCCAACTGTTCAGGGTTGGACCTCTGCGGGCGTATCCAGCTGTGCTCAGCGAAGCTGTTTATTATAGTTTGTTCTCATGTTGTACTGTTACACCACTGTCCCAGGTTATAGGGAGAGTTGGTGCCTTCAAACTATTTTAACCCCGCCACATTCTGTATGTGCCTGTCCCAAGGCAGGAGCCTGTAATTCAGTGGTTGTCTTTTGTTGCTGTATATCATATTTGATTTTCGTTCATTATTTTGTATATGTGTATGGGTTTTGCTCATTGTTCAAGCTGTTAACTTCTATGTCATTTGGTCTCTGGTGGAGAATTGTCTCATTGGCAATTATACCACATCTTCTTATTTTTATATTGATGAACATGAATTATTATTTGATTTTCAACATTTTTTATTCATAAATATATGAAAATGGATTTAGCAACAGGCACTGCCTATAAAAGCTCTTTCCATACATAATGTAAAAGGTATCCATCATATATTAACAACTGTATTTAGAATAGTAGAACTACAGTGGAAAATACTTGCAACTTATGAGTATACACAAACAAATACATATTTACAGTGTTAATTACAAAATATATAATATATTTAAATGTGTAGACAATTAATCATCATCATTTACTCAAGTACCTTGAGACATATATATATATCAAGACTATTAATGAGTCTTAATATATATATAAGGTTTGTAAGAGACACTAAGCTTACTTAGTGGAATAAACGAAATAATGGGGGGGGGGGGGGGGCTGAAGAAGGAAAGAAAAAGACAAACTAAAAAAAACTGACAAAAGAAGGTAAAAAACATTTTTCAAACAAAATGATGAGCGTCACTGATATATTTCTGAACAGATTTAAAAATAGCAATATTTATATTTATATCATGAAAATAATCTATTTCCAAAAAGTAATAAGTCAGTATTTATGTCATGATTATTATCAACAATTTAGTGGATGGAATAAAGTAAGATCTGCCTTACATCATTGTACTTGGGGCAAATAAAAAAGAAATGCTGGTTATCCTCAACAGGGTAGTTAAAATAGTTTGAACAAGTAGTGTTCTCTGATAGAAATTGATTAAAAAAATAATGTTTTAGGTTGCTAGCATTATTTCTAAGTTGACAATGACTGATATTATATTTCCTTATCCCATAATTGAAAGGTTTGAATAATATATCAGTCCTATAGAATTTCTAGTCTACCTTTAAAGATACATAAACTTGGGGATTCTTTTATACGTAGAGGAAGATTATTCCAAAGCCTAATAGTGGAAGAAATGAAACTATTCAAGAAGAAGCTAGTTCTAGCAAGTGGAGGATGAAAAGTATTCTCTTCATTCCTCAAAGTATAAGGGGTTTGTCTTGAAAAATATGGCTGTACTAACTCATATAAGTATGCAGGTGTCATCCCATTTAATATTTTATAAAACAGTATCAGCTTATGTCTATTTTGTCTATTTTCAAGAGTTTCTAATCCTTATTCAATAGAAAGGTTATGTCTTTAGGAATTACACTGTGACTTACTTGACTTAATCCTCTTCATTCCTTGTGGAACATAGGGCTGCCACAGTCGCTTTCCACCTTACTCTATTTTGGGCTATTCTTTTTGCTTCGCTCCAGGTATATCCAATCTCTTCCAGCTCCTTGCGCCTTGATCTTCTCCAGCTGTGAAATGGTCTCCCCGGTCTCCAATGTCCTTGGGGGTTCCATTCTTATGCTTGTCTAGTGATGGTACCTACAGGTTTCCTCAAAGTGTGCCCAATACATTGCCATGTTCTTCTCTTCAGCTGTTTAATTGCTGGTTCCTGGTTGGTTCTTTCCCATAAGCATTTGTTACTAATTGTTTCTGGCCACCAAAATTTACAAATTTGGCGCAGGCATTTTTTTTTATAAAAACCTGGATTTGATGTTGTACCCCTGCTGTAAGTCTCCAGGTTTCTGCTCCATAAAAAAGGACTGATTTTACATTGGTGTTGAAAATTCGAATTTTGGTGTTTTCTGCAAATGCTGTTGATTTCCAAACTGGCTTCAGCATAGTAAAGGCTTGTCGAGCTTTACTTATTCTTGTCCTGATGTCTGCATCTGTCCCACCAGTTCTATCCATGATGCTTCCTAAATAAGTAAATTTGTCTACTTCTTCAATATCTTCTCCTTCAATTGACACTGTTCCTCCTTTTCTGGTCTTTACTTTCATAATTTTTGTCTTCTTAATGTTGATTTTTAGCCCTAGTTTTTTCCCTGTTTCATGGAGTTTGGTGGTTTTGTCTCTCATGTCTTTCAAAAGGTGAGATAACAGAGCCAGATCATCTGCAAAATCTAGGTCTTCTAGCATTTGTGCGAAGTTCCACTGTATACCTATTGGTGTAGTGGCTAGTGCTTGCTTAGTTACCCAGTCTATAGCTATCAAGAATAGTGTAGGGGAGAGTAGGCAGCCTTGTTTCACACCAGTCAGTATTTACATGTTAAGGGTTGGTGAATGATGATTCATGTATCACCTGTACTGTGAAATCCTCGTACAATGCCTTGATCATGTTCACAATTTTTATTGGTATACCATAATGCCTTAGCAGTTGCCACATCCCTTCTCTGTTGACACTATTGAATGCCCTTTCAGAATCGACGAATTACACTGTAGTCTAGTAATAATTCTAGCAGCTTCTATTTGGATATTCTCAAGAAGCTCAAGACTCCTGCTGAGAGCAGTTACCCCAAACAACATCACCATACTCAAATATTGATCTAATAAGCATAGTAAATACATATAAGTGAACTACTGTCTAATAAATGTTTAACTAGTCAAAGTACAGATGAACGAGAGCATACTTTTTATACGACCGCAAAAAAATTTTGCAGTCGTATATTGGTATCACGTCGTCGTCGTCGTCCGAAGACATTTGGTTTCCGGACAATAACTTAAGTAAATACAAATAGAAATCTATGAAATTTAAACACAAGGTTTATAACCACAAAAGGAAGGTTGGGATTGATTTTGGGGGTTATAGTCCTAACAGTTTAGGAATTAGGGGGCAAAAAGGGGCCCAAATAAACATTTTTCTAGTTTGCAGACAATAACTTGTGGAACGGTGTATGAATCTCTCTGAAATTATACCACAAGTTTCCATACCACAAAGGGATGGTTAGGATTGGCTTTGGGGGGTTATGGCTCAAACCGTTTAGGAGTTAGGGGCAAAAAAGGGGGAAAACAAGGGTTTCCTGGTTAATGGACAACTTAAAAGTAGTGTAAGGGAGGTAATCCAAACACATTTAAAGTACAATGTTGTGTATGTTTCGGTTTACCTCCCTTACATTTCTTTCTAGTTTCAGGACAATAACTTGTGTATAAGTATTTTGATTGCTCTGAAATTGTACCACAAGGTTCAATACCACAAGTAGAAGGTTGGGATTCATTTTGGGGGTATTTGCCCAATCCGTTCAGGAGAAAATTCTCTTCAAATATTATTTTATTTGGAGGGGGGTACAAAACATTTTTTTGGGGGGTTCAATTTGTTTTCCTCAAGATTTAAGAAATTGTCAATTTTCCAAAGAAAAAATTGGGGGTCACAATTTATTTTGCTAATTCTTTGTATATAGTCTGAAAACAGGCTGTTATCTGTTTTTTGGTAGGGTTGATGTCTTTTTGACATATTCCCCATTTCCATTCTCAATTTTATTACTAAGTATTGCGCAACAGCACAGTGTATTGCACAACAGCAAGAATTCTTCAATTGAATATAAATTCAAATCATATAACCAATTTCAAGTTCTTTTGACTACATTTATTCTGTGTCAGAAACCTATAATGTGTCAAATATTTAATTAGAATCCAAATTCAGACCTGTATCAAGCTTGAATATTTTGTTCATTTTTGTCCCAACTGTTCTGGGTTGGACCTCTACGGTCGTATCCAGCTGCGCTCGGCGAAGCAGTTTATTTATGAATATTATTAATATGATTGCTCTATAAAGCTGATGATGGAAATATTATCCAAAGGTTACAATGATTATTTATGTCCTCAACCTCTACACCATAATCCCCATAAATACAGATGGAGGCTCCCTTTCCCTTCCAGTACATATAATAGTTTTAGCTTTCTTGGTGTTAAATTGAACAGCCCATGATTTAGCCCAGTTAAAGATAACATCTAAGTCATCAGTTAAAGAAGCCGCTGCTACAGCATGATCATCGTCTACTATAAAAATGAAGAAGTGTCATCTGCAAAAAGTCTAATGTCATTGTCAATGTCATTTACTATATCATTTATATATATGAGAAACAGAAACGGCTCCAAAGCTGATCCCTGAGGAACACCTCATGTATACTATTAAGAGTTGATGAAAAGCCGTCTGAGACCACTTTTTGTTGACGATCTGAAAGATAACTTTCTATCCAAGATAATAGCTGATCATTTAAGCCAGACTGATTAAGTGTAAATAAAGTCCTTTATGCAAAACATTATCAAAAGCACTATATAATGATACATCACAAAATATAATTAATTATTTGTCAATGTCCCAAATATATAAAGAGGGTACACACAAATTGAAGATGCCCTATTGGAATTCTGGCATGTGTGTAAACTCACATTATATAGCTTGTTGTAGACTGAAAATACAGAAATTGTTCCTCTTGCCAGTAAAGTCCTTGGTAATGGGCAACTATTTGGCAACTTCAGAGGCATGTAATTTTAATGAACCATAAAGGGAGATCACCGATCTCAATTCGTTCGGCAAACCTTACAATACTCTTAGCTAGGGGACTGTGGGTATTCTGTTGCATGGAGGTCCAGATACCTAAATTGGTTATTGTTTTCTGTTTAAAATCAAGATGTTAAATTTTCTGGTAATAGAAGTTGGATGTATAGTGATCATCGTGTTAAGAAAACCTTCAGGACTTAGTGGCATTATGCAATTAAATTTGTATTTTTCAACCAAATTGTTTTTGGAGCTTCCCATAGAAAAACATGGATCATATTTTAAAACTAGGTAAAGTATCTGCCATATATTTACAGATTGAGGACGAGAGTACGATTCTGTGAACTCTGCTCCAGGGTTTCTGGGTAATTTGGTTCTTGTACATATGTACTTTTAAAAAAAATAATTTATCAAGATTTTAGGGAAATACTTGGCTACAGGTAAAACAGATTTACGGTTGAAATGATTGATTGATTGTTGTTTGCTTAATGTCCAGTTACAAATATTCCATGCACATTCGTGACGAGGAGAAATAAACAATAAGTTCAATGAAGTGGGATAACCTGGATGACTGCAACTGGAAAAGGGTATACTAGTATTCAGAATTTTGCTTTGAAACAGGCCATATACGGACCCCTCAAAGAGTTGTTGCAATGTTTTTTTTAAAGTGCATCAACGTCAACATTCTGTCCGGATTTATACATCCCGCACAGCCAAGCAGACGCATATCGGTAGCATGGGTTTTATTGCCGGATAAGAGGACACCAGGTAAACACATTTCTACGGCCCAATCAACTCTTAGGGAAAGCCTTAAGGTTAAGTATATATCTTTAATTTGTGCAATCCTCTCCCTCTGAAGCATTGTGACAAACAAATGCAATGATATTTAGTGAGCATATACGTAGTTTATAAAATATATCGGAAAAACTTGGTTACCACTAACAAAATTTGTCAAGTGTTTATGTAATGCCAGTAAGTGGTTATGGATTATAGTATCAATTTTACTACAAGGGTAGGTATATCCTGCCTACATCCGTCAGATACTCAATATCTGCAGAAGCAATATTATTTAGAATAGGAAATTGTAGATTAGTTTTTTCCTGTCAATTTATAAACAGGAAAGTGGATATCATACACTCCGTGATAAAAAAAACCCACAATCACCCTTCTGTTTCAGTTTAATATTATAGACATACTAACATTTTTAACGATTCGAAATTGATAATTTAGTTTTATTCATAGTTTTGAATACTGTTGATTCTTGAAAGCTAGTTGTGGTCCGAGTTCTAAAGGATATTAATCCAACATTGTCACATACCCCCAGGAGATAGTTGTAACTTTTTTTGTTTTCTCTATGAAAAGTCTTTCGAAATGATGTTAAAACATCAAAACCCTTAAAGCGACCATTATGTTGTATAGTAACAACACCGAATATTTCATAATGATGTGCGATTTTACATCTTGTTTTCATTTAACGAATCATCAGTCAATAATACTGTAATCGACTAACAGGAATGATTTTGTAAGTTTAAAGACTGCAGAGTGAGTCGACCAGGATAAAAGAAGAATTTCGACTGAAAAAATACGGCATGCAAGACAGGGGCAGAAATGTTCCCTCGCAATAGATTTAATTGTGATCAATCAAAAAGTTGTTGAAATGGTTTCGTTAATTAGCAAAAATCGTGCCACTCTCTAAACCCGGTGCATTTGATTCAACGTGTTCATTCTGATCGTCTGGGTTTATAATACGCACAGCCGGCATAACCATAAACGCCCGTCAGCACATGTTCTACTGACGGCCGAAAATAGCCTTTGTAACCATATTTCTATACTCTATACTACCCTTGGTGTTATTTCTAATATGCAGGATAAAAATAAATAAACTAGATTTTCATAATCATGAAAGATTAGTCACCCACATACCAAGAATCCTTATGGAGAGTGTTTTTTAAAGGGATAAGTTCATTCTCAATATCACGAAAAAAAATGTTTCATGAGTGAACGGAAAAGAAAAGTTTGTTTACATTGAAAATAAGGGAAACAAATTAATTCAACATTAAGTTTCAAAATATAAAGCCTTTTTTAAGATTAATGTTTTTACTTAGAGTAGAAAACATTTATCGTCATTAGAAACCCCCACCCTCCCCTGAAGGAATGAATCTAAGTTAACAGTAGTTAAATCCATGTACGAAATATATAGTTCTTACGAAACAAGTGTACTTGGCGTATTGATACTTTCAGCGCACCCAAATGGATGCCTCTTTGTAACATGGATTTTACTCTCGAACAATATTTGTGTATGGGACCATATTCCTATACCCTAGTAAAACCTTGGCGTTCTGAAACTAGAGGCTTTCAAGAGCCTGTGTCGGTCACCTGTATCTACTGTGGTTTTGGAAATCATGTAAAATAAGGTTAAAATCATAATAAATAGTATTAGATACCCCAATAATGATTGAGACCAAGTTTGGTTTAATTTGGCCCAGTAGTAAAATTAAAGCAGGTCATCCCATTGTAGTCTTACAATAGTTACTGAAGACCCCTTATCATTATTTAAATTAGTTTTCAAGATTGTGACCATTTGAAATTGTTTTTTTACAATTTTCCCATGGACTTCTATAGTAAACGCCTATGTTCTATTTTTAGCCATGGCGGCCATGTTGGTTGGATGGCAGGGTCATTGGATACATTTTTAAATCACGATACCCTATTGAAAATTGTGGCCAAGTTTAATTCTATTTGGCCTAGTAGATTAAGTGGAGAAGATTTTTGTAAAAGATAACAAAAATTTACGAAAAATTGTGAAAAATTTACTTTAAAGGGCAATAACTCCTGAAGGAGTCAATTGACAATTTTGATCATGTTGACTTATTTGTAGATCTTACTTTGCTGAACAATTTTGCTGTTACAGTTTATCTCTATCTATTATAATATTCAAGATAAAAACCAACTAGAGGCTCTGAACAGCCTGTGTCGCTCACCTGATTCTACTTTTTTTTGGAAATCATGTAAAAAAAGATTAAAATCATAACAGATACCCTAATAATGATTTAGGCCAAATTTGGTTTAATATTGGCCCCGTAATTTAATCAAAAGCAGAAGACTTTTGTAAAGTTTACAGAAATTACCAATAAATTCATTGAAATTGTAGAAAATGACTTTGTAAGGACAATAACTCCAACAAGATGTCAATTTACAATTGTGTTCATGTTGACTTATGTGTAGATCTTCTTTTCTTAATATATTTGCAGTTTACAGTATATCTCAATCTACAAAGATACATGTATTAAGGTCTTCATCAGCACCTCATAAGGAACATTTATGCCATGTTTAGTTTCATTCCATTCAGTGCTCCTCTAGAAGAAGCATTTGTATGTATTTTCCATAGGGTCTTGTGTTAAACTAAGTCCCCTTACTGGCGGCCATCTTGGATGATGGTTCGGCCACAAAGTAACAACACTTGGTCAGTACCTCATTAGGAACATTCATGCCATGTTTGGTTTCATTCTAGTCAGTGGTTCCCTAGAAGAAAACATTTGTATGTATTTCCCATAGGGTCCTATGTTAAACTTACTCCCCCTGCTGGTGGCCATCTTGGATGATGGATCAGCTACAAAGTAACAACACTTGGTCAGCACCTCAAAAGAAACATTCATACCATGTTTGGTTTCAATTCATTAAGTGGTTTTCTAGAAAAAGATATTGTATATATTTCCCATAGGGTCCTTTGTTAAACTAAGTCCAAAGTTGACAGCCAACTTGATGGGTTTGCTACAAAGTAACAACACTTGGTCAGCATCTCATAAGGAACATTCTTGCCATGTTTGGTTTCATTCCATTCAGTGGTTCTTCAAAAGAAGACTTTTGTATGTATTTCACATAGGGACCTTTGTTAAACTAAGTTCCCCGCTGGCAGCCATCTTGGATGATTGATTGGCTACAAAGTAACAACACTTGGTTAGTACCTCATAAGGAACATTCATACCATGTTTGTTTTCATTCCATTCAATGGTTCTCTAAAAGAAGACATTTGTATGTATTGTCCATAGGATTCTTTGTTAAACTAAGTTCCCCGCTGGCAGCCATCTTGGATGATTGATTGGCTACAAAGTAACAATACTTGGCCACCACCTCATTAGGAACATTCATGCCATGTTTGGTTTCATTCTATTCAGTGGTTCTCTAAAAGAAAACATTTGTATGTACTGTTGATTCATTAATATTCGTTGGACACCAATTTTCGTGGATTTCGTGGGTAAAGGGGAACCACGAACTTAAATATTCAACGAATTGCAAATTTTCTAAAGGAATGTAAGCAGACTTTGCAAACCACGAAATTAAATATCCACGAATGTGCAAGTTTTCCTCAAACCACGAAAATTGGCACCCACTAAAATAAATGAATCCACAGTATTTCCTATAGGGTCATATGTTCAACTAAGTCCCCGCTGGTGGCAAATCGTGGATGATTGATCGCCTACAAAGTAACAACACTTGGTCAGCACCTCACAAGGAACATTCATGCCATGTTGGTTTCATTCTATTCAGTGGTTCTCTAAAAGAAGACATGTGTATGTATTGTCCATAGGGTCATATGTTAAACGTAGTCCCACGCTGGCGGCCATCTTGGATGATGGATCGGCTTCAAAGTAACAACACTTGGTCAGCACCTTATAAGAAACATTCATGCAATGTTATATTTCATTCCATTCAGTGGTTCTCTAAAAGAAGACATTTGTATGTATTGTCCATAGGGTCCTTTGTTAAACTAAGTTCCCCGCTTGCAGCCATCTTGGATGATTGATTGGCTACAAAGTAACAATACTTGGCCAGCACCTCATTAGGAACATTCATGCCATATAAAAAAGAAGATGTGGTATGATTGCCAAGGAGACAAGTCTCCACAAGAGACCAAATGACACAGCAATTAACAACTATAGGTCACCGTACGGCCTTCAACAATGAGCAAAGCCCATACCGCACAGTCAGCTATAAAAGGTCCCTAAATGACAATGTAAAACAATCCAAACGAGAAAACTAACGGCCTAATTTATGTACAAAAAATGAACGAATAACAAATATGTAACACATAAACAAACGACAACCACTGAATTACAGGCTCCTGACTTGGGACAGGCACATACATTCAGAATGTGGCGGGGTTAAACATGTTAGCGGGACCCCCCCCCCCTCCTAACCTGGGACAGTGGTGTAACAGTACAACATTAGAACGAACTATAAAAATCAGTTGAAAGAGGCTTAACTCAGATGGATAAAAATACAAATACTACAAATACAAGTGGACGTGGCCGGGTACTTGTACATCCAAACAACAAAAAGACACTAAGTACAGATCTGAGAGTACTCGCAGTTACTGACAAAGCCACTAACAACTAATAAAAAAAAATCATGCATCTCATAAGGAACATTCATGCCATGTTTGGTTTCATTCCATTCAGTGGTCCTCTAAAAGAAAGCATTTGTATGTATTTCCTATAGGGTCATATGTTAAACTAAGTCCCCGCTGGCGGCAAATCGTGGATGTTTGATCGCCTACAAAGTTACAACACTTGGTCAGCACCTCACAAGGAACATTCATGCCATGTTTGGTTTCATTCTATTCAGTGGATTTATTAAAGAAGACATTTGTATGTATTTCCTATAGGGTCATATGTTAAACTAAGTCCCCGCTGGCGGCAAATCTTGGATGATGGATCGGCTTCAAAGTAACAACACTTGGTCAGCACCTCACAAGGAACATTCATGCCATGTTTGGTTTCATTCTATTCAGTGGTTCTCTAAAAGAAGACATTTGTATGTATTGTCCATAGGGTCATATGTTAAACGTAGTCCAACGCTGGCGGCCATCTTGGATGATGGATCGGCTTCAAAGTAACAACACTTGGTCATCACCTCAAAAGAAACATTCATACCATTTTGGTTTCAATCCTTTAAGCGGTTTTCTAGAAGAAAACATTGTATATATTTCCCATAGGGTCCTTTGTTAAACTAAGTCCAAAGTTGGCAGGCATCTTGGTTGATGGGTTTGCTACAAAGTAACCACACTTGGTCAGCATCTCATAAGGAACATTCATGCCATGTTTGATTTCATTCCATTCAGTGGTTCTTCAAAAGAAGACTTTTGTATGTATTTCACATAGGGACCTTTGTTAAACTAAGTTCCCCGCTGGCAGCCATCTTGGATGATTGATTGGCTTCAAAGTAACAATACTTGGCCACCACCTCATTAGGAACATTCATGCCATGTTTGGTTTCATTCCATTCAGTGGTTCTCTAAAAGAAAACATTTGTATGTATTTCCTAAAGGGTCATATGTTAAACTAAGTCCCCGCTGGCGGCAAATCGTGGATGATTGATCACCTACAAAGTTACAACACTTGGTCAGCATCTCGCAAGGAACATTCATGCCATGTTTGGTTTCATTCTATTCAGTGGTTCTTTAAAAGAAGACATTTGTATGTATTGTCCAAAGGGTCATATGTTAAACGTAGTCCCCCGCTGGCGGCCATCTTGGATGATGGATCGGCTTCAAAGTAACACCACTTGGTCAGTATCTCATAAGGAACATTCATGCCATGTTTAGTTTCAGTCCATTCAATGGTTCTCTAGAAGAAGTTCAAAATGTAAAAAGTTAACGACGACGACGACGACGACGGACGACGGACGTCAAGTGATGAGAAAAGCTCACCTGGCCCTTCGGGCTAGGTGAGCTAAAAACTGTAAAATTTCTTTAAAATTACGAATTCAGGGGCAGCAACCCAACAACGGGTTGTCTGATGCTTATGAAAATTTCAGGGTAGAAAGATCTTGACCTGATGAACATTTGTATCCCTGTCAGATTTGCTCTAAATGCTTTAGTTTCAGAGATATTAGCCAAAAACTGCATTTTACCCTTATGTTCTATTTTAAGCCATGGCGGCCATCTTGGTTGATTGGCGGGGTCATCGGATACATTTTGTAAACAAGATACCCTAATGATGATTTAGGCCAAGTTTGGTTTAATTTGGTCCAGTAGTTTCAGAGGAGAAGATTTTTGTAAAAGATTGCAAAAATTTACGAAAAATTGTAAAAAATTGACTTTAAAGGGTAATAACTCCTTGTGGGGTCAATTGACAATTTTAGTCATGTTGACTTATTTGTAGATCTTACTTTGCTGAACAATTTTGCTGTTTACAGTTTATCTCCCTCTATTATAATATTCAAGATAAAAACCAAAAAAAGTAAAATTTCTTTAAAATTACCAATTCAGGGGCAGCAACTCAACAACGGGTTCTATTTTTAGCCATGGCGGCCATCTTGGTTGATCGGTGGGGTCATCGGATAAATTTTTCAAATAAAATACCCTAAGGATGACTTAGGCCATGTTTGATTTAATTTAGTCCAGTAGTTTCAGAGGAGAAGATTTTTGTAAAAGATTAAAAAAAAAACCCGAAAAATTGTGGAAATTATCTTTAAAGGGCAATAACTCCTTATGGGGTCAATTGACCATTTTGGTAATGTTGACTTATTTGTAGATCTTACTTTGCTAATTATTTTTGCTGTTTACAGTTTATCTCTATTATAATATTCCAGATAACAACCAAAAACGGCCAACTTTCCTTAAAATTACTCATTCAGGGGCAGCAATCCAACATCGGGTTGTTTGATGCGTCTGAAAAGTCTACGGCAGATAGATCTTGACCTGATTAACAAATTTTACCCCATGTTAGATTTGCGCTAAATGCTTTAGTTTCAGAGATATAAGCCAAAAACTGTATTTTACCCCCATGTTCTATTTTTAGCCATGGCGGCCATCTTGGTTGATGAGCGGGGTCATCGGATACATTTTGTACACAAGATACCCTAAGGGAGATTGAAGTAGTTTCAGAGTAGAAGATTTTTGTAAAAGATTACAAAAATTTACGAAAATTTGTGGAAAAATGACTTTAAAAGGCAATAACTACTTATGGGGTCAATTGACAATTTTAGTCATGTTGACTTATTTGTAGATCTAACTTTGCTGTTTACAGTTTATATCTATCTATTATAATATTCAACATAACAATCAGAAACTGCAAAATTTCCTAAAAATTACGAATTCAGGGGCAGAAACCCAACAAGGGGTTGTCTGATACGTCTGAAAATTTCAGGGCAGATAGATCTTGACCTGATTAACGTTTTTACCCGTGTCAGATTTGCTCTAAATGCTTTAGTTTCAGAGATATAAGCCAAAAACTGCATTTTACCCCCATGTTCTATTTTTAGACATGGCGGCCATCTTGGTTGATGGGCGGGGTCATCGGATACATTTTTTCAAACTAGATACCCTAAGGATGATTTAGGCCAAGTTTGGTTTAATTTGGCCCAGTAGTTTAAGATGAGAAGATTTTTGTAAAAGTTAACGGACGACGACGAAAGACGACGGCCGCCAAGTGATGAGAAAAGCTCAATTGGCCCTTTTGGTCAAGGTGAGCTAAAAAGAGAGAAGGTTGGATATAAAAGTGCATAACCCTTGCAACAGTGTATATATAGCTTTACGTTATCATGGTTTACAAATTAACATATAAGCTGTCATAATATAAAACTAGGTAAAAGTGAGTTGAATGTATATCTGATAAAATTGTTTGATACATTGTAGAGTCAACTACAAATACTGAAAATCAATTTTATTATCATTGGTATAGTATTAGACAAAAAAAGAAATAATGAAAGGTGAACAAAAATCAAAATCATTTTAAGAAAAAAATAAACGTACATAAATAAGTTAATAGGAATATAAACACAAATGTATGTAACTTATTTTCAAACAACAACAAATCACAGCAGGAGGAGGATTTACAAAACGTGTAAGTCTTCTTTCGTCTTTCAATTTATATACCTACAAAAGAAATAATGTTACGAAAATTATAATCATACAAATTTGTAAAATCGTGATTATTATTTAGTCATTGAAGATTTTTATTCTTGATCAATTTCACACAAATGCAATACATTCGTTCCTTATTGACATCACTAGCTTCTTTAGAGGTGCTCAATGTATCCTGACTATTTTAGGAAGCTTTTGCCATGTTTTTTGAGGATTTGAGATGTAAACATTTTACATACATTTTAATATATATATTGCTCAAATATACAGATTAGACCAATATATCTCGATTGGAGTGGAGTGGATGGATTATTGTTAAAGGCCTGATGAATGGCAAATGTAACATTTCTATAAGGACGAGAACATGTTAGTATGATATGAATATAAACCCTATTTTGTACTAGATCGACACGCAAATTATTAACCTGATAGTTCACAAGGTAACAGGTCAAAGGAAGACATATCACCGTTCTCGGACAAAGAAATCCGACTTCTAGCTGACCAGTTTTGGTCTAACTCCCAAATGCAACGTGCTTACCGGAGATGCAGCATATATAAATTTTCAAATTTTTGACCTCCCGCAACCAAGACGAACATGAAACCCCCGAGGCGACAGAATAGAATGGAACTATTGATAACATTAACGGTACCAATTTTCTACGCTATTTCAGAAATAACCTTATTGATGTTAGACTTATTTAAATACTCATACAGTTTGAAAAGAATATTTCATTGGCATTTCATGTGAAGTGTTTCAAATAAAAGTTTACCTTCACAGAGTAGTGTATTTAGATGCTGAGCTGTGGTGTGACTATCAGATTGTAGCGCAACTACGTAATGTGCCTTCCCGGCAAGCTTTTGCAGCTTTTTATCCATGACTTCATTGCCTATCTGAACGAAAATAAAGTTTATTTTTCGAAATTTCGATCGTAACACTTGAAGCTTAGCAGTCTTTGAAAGAGTGTTATCGACAAACACTACTGCCATTTTCGTTGAAGTTCCTCGACCACCATTTGCAGACATGAACTGTTTGATACGCAAGTCCGTGATCAATTGAGGAAGTGCATCATAATCTTGAACTACTTCAATGGGATCAGCCGACAGTTGTCTAATGGAATCTTTCAAACAAGAATTAGACTGTATTCCAGTTTTAATCTTTCCGCCAGTTGTTGCCAAATACATGGAAACTTGTTGAATCAGGTCCAGAATAATGTTAGACATCTTATATCCATAATAAGCCGAATCAAAAACAAACATAATATCACTGGTTTTATTTGTCCGGCAAACTGAAAGAAAATAATGAATTGAGTTATATTAAGACATGATAAGTACAACATCTCCTGACCTAGATATTTATATACCAAAGATATACAAGATATGAATAAAATTTTCATAAGTTTGACTAAATTAATTCTGTTGTTCTGTGATCCACAATTAAACTATTAGCTTTCACAAAGAAAAGTCTTTAAGAAATATATTAAACAATATATACACATAAAAAAAAAGGAACGTAGAATATCATATATCAATATTATGAATATTGTATATGCTAATCATTGTACTGATTTCGCCCATAATGGGTCCTCTATTAGAAATAAAAGTTAATGGATCTTATCTTATCTTATACCTTTCTCGTCTCGCTGAAATGAAGCAATTTCACATGTCTTTATTGCAAGTATGTTTCTTAATGTTCTAAGACCATCAAAATTTGTGACTTGGAAAGCATATTTGTTAATGTTACTATCGGGAGAACTGGCAATGTTTGATAATTCATTTTTGTCTATGTTGTCTCCAATGCCAACAGCAAACACATAACTTCCGGTTTTTTTTATCATTGCAGCTTGTGTTTTAGTTTGATCTGGGAATCTGGATAAGCCGTCCGTAAGAACAATGATAATATGTGCAACACTCGGTCTCGTGAATTGTCGCGAGAATTCACGCTCACGTAGCTGTTTCAGGGCATGCCCGGTATCAGTTCCACCACCACTATAGGGTACAGATTTAATTGCACCCAACAATGAATCTTTATCGTGGTATTGTTCTAGTCCAAACATACGATTGTATTCGTGACTAAAAGTTGATAGCCCAACTCGGGTCTTATCGGGTGATATATCAAACATTCCTACAACGGTTCCAACAAAGTCGAGCTGTTTCTTAAAATCAGTGGGATGAATGCTTCCGGATGTATCAAGGAGGAAGAAAACATCAGCAGGTTTTCCACCACAGTCTGGAAAATTAGTATGAATGTTTTCAATCACAGACAGAAGATTTGACACTTTTAAAAAATGTATGAACAAAATACCGAACTGCAGGTTTAACTCAAAAAGGGGATGTCAATAAAATCAACAAAACCAAACGTTCGACTTTTAACCAACGGTCCGGAACGACTGGAAAAACAACTGTCATATTCCTGACATGAAATTATAATCTTAAAGCACTATTATTGCTTACAGTGTAAAACAGTTGTGTTGAACTTGTATGCTGGTCGTCAATCGATTATATGTATAAGATCCTATTCATTAATAATAGCATGACATCTGCAGGGGTTTTGTATGCCTTTTGCTGTTTATGTTTTTTTCTCATTTGCATTTGTTCTCATATTCATGTTTTTTTTATATTCACGTTGGGTAAAAGAAGCAAAATTTTATTTTCAGACTGAAATATTTTTCACAATAAGATTGATTGATTGATTGTTGGTGTTTTAACGCCACTTTTAAGCGCCACATTTGGGCTATTTCGTGGCGGCCAGTTTTTATTGGTGGAGGAAGCCGGAGTGCCCGGAGAAAACCATGCACCGACCTTCGATAGGAAAACTGACAATCCTAGTCAATTAAGATTGGAGTTGAGTGCACCTGCACGAGCGGGGTTCGAACTCACAACCTCAGTGTTGACTGGCTAGTGGTTACAGTAGTAGAACTACTTAGACCACTTGGCCACCGAGGCCCCTTCACAATAAGACACGTTTGTGCAACTAGCAAAGCATTTTTTTCCGAACAAAATAATCAAGCTGTGAATTGAGTATCATAATCTAATGTAAACTTGTCTTTATAATGATACGTACTTTTAGTGATTTTCCCTCTGTCTGCTTGCAAGTTTTCAGCATCTACAAAAGAATACATGCATCTAATAGCTATAGATAACAGGTGCAAGTACATTGGGAAAAAATAACATGTTGAAAAGAATTTCAACAGAGATGAATAAGTATTAAATATATATTTTATAGGTAAGAACTGCATACCTATGTAAAATCTATCTAAAAAAATCGTCCGATATGATTTCCGTTCTCACAAATTGTGTTTCTGGATCCATCTTAATTATGTGGTGCACTCAAAACCAAAAATTAGGAAGCTAATAAAAAAAACGCTGGAAAGCACAGCAACCAAAACATGTGTTTGTAAGTTAAAACAACAATCCATTGGCTTCTTTGAATGAATGATTTTCTGTGCACATTCCTCGTTAACTACGCATAGCACTTTTTTTTTATAAATCTCCAGCCGAATATAAATATTCATAAATATAAATATGTCTGTTACCTGGGGTAGTTTTTGCGATTTCTGGACGTTGTGTTGAAGGCTCTTTTGTAGTTGGTAATTCTGTTGTTGTTACAGTTGTTTGTGTTGTCGTTGTAGAAGGTTTCAATGTTGTTCTTGTGGTCGAAGGACTCGTTGCGACTGTAGGTGCCATTGTAACTAAAATAATACAAACAGAACAGTCAGTTTTTGTTAAACAATCAAAAAAAAAAAAGAAGACGTAACGGTTTTATGCTTTTAAATCATTATTCACGAGGAAAACACATATCAAATTTTTGGACAGCAAATAGTGAATAAATACATGGGACCCATACAACCAGAAAAGTAAAGTCAAAACCTTCTTCCTGATGGAGATGCCACCTTTGTTTTTGTTAAATTTGCAAAACTTTTCAACTGAGAACTATCAAAAAGTAAAATATTAATAGGAACTTTGTAAATCATGTAGAATATAGAAACATTTCAACATTGACCTTAGGGAGGATGATATATTCCATTCGGAGACTAACCGTGTACCAGTGGTGGTATCAAGCTGTAGTCAGTCAGTCGTTTTTGTTGTGCTTGTTACATTTCTTAATTTCATTTAGAACGACGAGAACCAAAAGATGACACAGTCAAAATTGAATTACACAAAGGAGCTTTATAAGTAGGAGGAGACTACATGAATACCTAAACACTATCTAAGGTCAATACAATAACATTTAAGGTACCAATTTTACTGCACAGATGCGAATTTCGACAATCAATGTCTCGTAAGTAAGTAAATACCGAACCTAATACAAAGGTTGAAGAGCTGATAAAACTAAAAAGGACCATAAGCATAGACAAACTCGTACAAGAAACGCATAGATGTGCATGAGGAAGATCCATAATGTTTTTCCGAAATATTATAACAACAAATTTCAATTAAAAGATACCGGCATTTTCAAGGCAATACCGAAGTACTGGCTACTGAACTAGTTATACCCTTAACTCATAGTTTGTGGCAATATTTATTCGTGTAAAATTTTCAATCTTGAAAACTAGTGAAAAAACAAGTAATAAATGATAATCTATTCCGAAAAATTGCCTCGTTTTTAAAGATAAGTGCAAGTAGATATAGAGAAATACTACGTTTATTGCACACACACGCACAAAACCCCAAACATTTGTCATTGACAATAAAAGAAAAAAATATGTTTTACCTTGATACGAAGAAAAATGCTTTTAATTTTGATTTCTGTAAATATCAAACATTTGAAAAGTTTTCATGCACAATACAAATTAATTGAAATTATATCTTTAATTATTTTCAATTTTGAAAGGTATTTAATCAGGTACTTCCTTGTAAGCAGTTAAACTATTATAAATTTATCGTAAATCCAGAAAAGCGCTTCGGACGCACCAACTTTATAAAATTATTTTAGCGTAAAATCGTACCTTCACAAGTCCTCTGTCGTAAAATAGATTCAATCCTCTTTAGACCTCTGTAATTTAAAACCTCCAGCACATATTTGTCAGAAGGATCACTAGCAATGCTTTCTAGCTCCTTTAAATCAATGTTAGAGCCGACGCCTATAGCAAAAACGCTTACATCTTTTTCTCTAAGTTTTTTAGAAGCAGCTGCAGTTTTGTCTTTGTAATAACTTTCTCCATCAGTAATAACTATCACGATTTTAGTAGAATCATGACGCGCGCCGTTTTCCGGAAGGAACATGTTGTCTGCAACAAAATTGATGGCGTCTGCTGTGTTTGTTCCTCCTGTTAGGTGCCTTACTCGTCGGATGGCTTTGGCTAGGTCCGGTTTGTTCATTTTTTCATTTAGATGAAATTCTACTTTCCATGAGTTGCTGAATGTAACAATTCCAACTCTAGTTTGGATATCAGATGGACCAATATTAAACGTTTTGGTTAAGTTTTGGAGGAACTTGAGCTGTGTGTGGAAATCAACTGGCCATATACTGGAAGATGCATCCAGTATAAAGACGATATCTTTTGGTCGATTATCACAGCCATCTAAAAGGAAAACAATGAAAAAACTAAACAAACAACTGAAACTTAAAAACAAAGAATACTGTCAACAGATCGTTTTAAAATTTCCTTATATTAAGTTATTACAAATGAAAAAAACCCAACATATAAACATTGTATTTCAATATTATGAAATGAATGTATCAAGGCCTTGAATATACTGAATTAAGTAACATAATTTGATATATTTGACAAAACGTTTTAAATTGCAAGTTATAGAAATATCGAGACATTAGCTTGTTTTTCAGTTAAATATAAATTGCATATCAGATTTACCTAAAAGTTGGGATACGCATACTGGACAAATTAAGCACACCTGAAATATAAAATCATTTTTTTATTACTTTGTAAATGATGCCCTTTATGGGTTCTTGATTAGATTAATAAAATTCTTATCTTATCTTATCTTATCTTATTACTACATCACGTTTTATTTAAAAAAAAAAAAAACAGGTACACGACAGTTGAGAAGTCTTTAATTGAAAATTATTCCTTAAATCTTTAGATTCAGAACTATGGAAACTGCTGGCAAAAATATAAACTCCTTATGAACTTGAACTATCAATGGCAAAAGCGCAAAGTCAACAGCTTCTTCTTCATTTTTTAGGTCGGCGTATAAGCTGATAACAATCAATGACAACAACAACAAAAAAACAATAAAAAATAAAAAATAAAAAAGTATGTAGCATGAAAATGCACATTTAATTATTTCAACTGATCCAATTACAACTATTTATTTTAACAAGTAAAGCATAGCTTACCACAAGAGCAAAACTAATAAACGCTTTCTGAAAAGCCATCTTAGATTATGCCGTCAAAACTTTTAATGTCAAATCTTTTATAGACTTAGTAATGAGTAATGAAATGATTAACGAATGCATTAATTCGATACGCAATATTTGTTAACACGTTTTAATAAAATTTCAAGTATGTAATTGATTTTAAGTGTTATGTTCTTACCAAGGAAATCGAAATGTATGTCACTGAAGGTTAGCTCTGCTGAGGAGGCGGGATCGTGATCGTATTCGTGGAAAGGTTTCAGATGAAAAACCACACTGAATTTGATTTTTAAATGTTAAAGCACTTATATCACTTAAAAACCCACAAAAATGTTACCAGCTTTATAGCGAAGGACTCTCCGTATTAGGCATATAATTAACATATTATGATTGTCACCAAAGAATGGTCATTGATCCTTATGTTTAATCCCGGTCACTCACTTGTTCGTACAGTTATATATAACGACGGCAACAAACTACACTACTAAAAAATATGTCTTTAGATTTTTTAAATGGGTTAGTATTACTGCAAGTATAAATTTGCAAAAACAGGGATATAAACTTGACCACTTCTTTGATAATTCACTTAGGTTTTGATTTTGGTACCAATTTTCAGAATCATTAAAATCACCCATGTCGGAATTTTCATATATAAAATCGCTGGGACCCTGCTTGTAACCATTTGGCTGCCATGCATTATTTCGATTCTAATAAGACAAATACAGTTATTTTGTCAACCGTGAAAGCCCTACACACACGATACTGTTTTGGTTGTTCCATTTTCCCCCATATAATAAAACATTCTTTTAATCTAATTTTATCATATTTTGAGGCGTACAAGAATCCTGAAAACGCCATTACATTTGACGACGGAAGCATACACATGACATCACCTTGTTTAGTTGCCAAATATGATAACATCATTTCGAGGAATTTTCGTTTTATGACAGATGTTTGGCCTACGTAAAACTTGTGTTTTACTGTCAAAAATTGAGTTTACCTGGTCGTATAAATAAGATGGGTGTAATACGGAACAGATAATTTTGTGTATTTATGCGTCTGCGCTAAAAGTTGATATACTGTGATAAATATTATACTGGTTGACGATATATATAGGTCGTCATATTAGAATTGACTATAACTTTCATTATTGTGTCAATTAAACCATTTTTAAAAGTTTCGCCCATTTGACTTCTTCAGTTTTTCTATTATCCTTCTAACCTACATGGTAGACAAGTCACTTGACACAATTATTAGATTGTTTTAATTTTCATTGCACTAAATGTTTATTTAGTTTTAGATTATCCGTAGTAGTCGCTCCAAAGAATCGTTCTTTGAAGTTATCATAGAAGCTTATCTCTGGGAGTAGATTGTTTATGGAACTTACATTACCTGATGTCATTAAGCTTTGAAATCGATTTTGATTGCTTTGTTAACATTGTATACTTAGCTAGTTTATTTACAAGGAACCTTCAAGAATTTTTCTATATTATTCTTACTGGATCCTTTATATTAATTACCAAATTTTCTGGATACAGGTAAAAATTTTTTTGCAATCTCTATTATTGTATAATTCTTATATTTCATAGAATATGTAATGTTAGAAACATGTGCATTTTATTTAGAAAATTGTGCTTTTTGTTGCCTGACCCGTTAGATATTAAATAAGGAATGGCTTTACTTATGTTTACATTTAAAGAAAACATCAGACAATTTTCGCACGCAATGTTTTAAAAATTAACATTATTAAATGCCGAACAAATGACGGATACTTCATGCCAAACATAGCCAGAAACCAGAATCATTATCTTAATTTTCCTCTTTATCATGGCATCAGTATGTTGCAAACAATCAAGCAAGGATAATTGGTTATCTATGCTACGAATAATCCCCTTCTTTTCAAACAACATCGACAGTTTTGTATCTCTTATAGGAAAAAGGGGAGATACTAAGGGGAAAACAAAACCAAAAGCAGTGGAAAGACAGACGACGCCATGGTCAAAAGAAAAATGAACATAAAGATAAACCCACAAAACATCAAGAAGCGAAATAAAAGAAAGGTTAACAGGATCCCACAGAAAAAGAGGGGTGGTTTAAGGTGCTTTTGAAGTGAAAGCAGTTCCGGTTCCACGTTTAATAGTTGAGTTGCAAATGACAACTTAAAGATCCGTTGAGAACCGTATAATGGGATGTCATAAAAGAGGAAAGGTGAACAGGAATTAAGTTTTTTTGGAACAAATCTGTGGTAATCTTTGACACAGATATTCTACAACGGTCATCCAAATAATCTAATGTTCTCGAAACGATAACGTCAGCTCTGCGCTTAAGAACATGTGGATCAAGGTCTTCCCTGTAAGCAGCAACTCTCAATCTTAAAATCATGATAGGAAACACCCATCCCAACGTATCAACTGGGATGTGTATACTTTATATGCAGGTATTGCTGGAATTTTGTTTCATAAATATGGAAAGTTCACAATGAGAAAATTGAAATGTCTGTTGCGTCATTATGTTAAATTCTTAACAGACCAGCTACTGTGCCATTTCTAGCTATAAGTCTAGATATGAAGCAGGCTTTACTGTATCTGTGGTATCCTTTATTTGAGGTTTTATGTGTTAGGTGGGATCAAGACAATAATTCAAGTTTTAAATATTCATTGACAGGAAACCATTTATATAGCTGAAGTTAAGAACTGATGTTTGCTTCTTTTCTACTCTTCTTAAGAAGCACCTGTATGAAGTCTGCATCGTACAAATAAAAGTAAAAAGTCGTCGAAAAGAAAAGTACAGTGGGTTCATAAAAGAAATGCAAATTGTCTGTTGAAAAACGATTCTACCAAACGAAAACAATCAAGTATCTTGAAGATTTTCTAGTGTTGTACTTTGTGACATTTAACTTGTCTGTATTATTTCTATATCGAAAACAGTTTTGTCTATCCTTAGTCCTGGAATACCAAATTTTTTTTTATTTCAAACTTTCACATTGTGCCAACTTTTGAGTATACCATTCCGGTATTGTTTGGTGCCTAATCAACCGATCCCGATATGACTCGTTGACTCATCGATTATGACATTTGACAAGTCTGGTGATCCATGCATAGTAGGAGACGCTTACCCTGTCGATCACGCCCCTTTTGAAGTTCATGCAATTCCCTCAGTTTTTGTTTAATACCTTGATTTGTCTTGGTGTTGTTTTTCCCGGCTTATGGATTTGTATTGCCTACTTGGAATCCTTTCCCTCTTGTTTATCAACCCGGACACATGTCCATGTTCCTGTCGCAAGTCGGGAACAACGTCAATGGTTGTATTTAGTTACTCTTAAATGTTTTTTCATGAAGGAATTTGGGTTTGATGTCAGATATTTATTAGACTGCTCAATTTATTTACAGATCGAGGGCAATATTGAGCTTTAAATATTGTATAAACACTTGATTATTGTCAAAGATCATATATTGATCCTTATGTTATGGTTTTTTGTTGTTGGGGTTGCTTTATCGTTGCCATATACTCAGAATCACCTTTCATACAAAGACTGATACGACAAAAGAGACGATTTTTCATTCCCTATTGTTAATTTTCCTTTTTTAGACGGCGATGTTCCTTAGGCTCCATCATACGGTGTTTATATATCCCAACTCGTTCGTTATGCCCGTGTGTGTAGTGATGTCATAGATTTTAACGAACGTATTCAATGCATCACTGGTAAATTATTAAGTCAGGGATTTCGTTACCATAAATTACGTAAAACTTTTGCTAAGTTCTTTCATAGATACAAAGATTTGATTAGTAAATTTGGCTGTACCTGTAGAAAACTGATTCAAAACGGTATTTCACATCCTAAATTTTACGGTAATATTGTACTTAAAGCGCGGAAATCATTATGTGATCCGTGTAAACTCATCGAACCTTTAAACAAACTTATTAGTAAAGGTTATCTTACCAATGTTGTAATTAGATCTTTGAATATAGTTTACATTGGCACTAATATCGATTTTGTCATCAGCAAATTAAAACATAACTAAATTCGTATTCTTTTCAAACGGGATGTATAAAGACACACTCACGTTCATTTTGATCTATAAAGAGGTTAAACTCCTAACTATCCTACTGGTTGTCGATACATTTATTTTTGGAATTGCACTAGTCATGTCTTCTTTGACTGTCCATGACGTTAAAATACTAAATCCCTGGGATGTGCTTTAGTTGATTTTAGTCTCTGATGCATGATTTTTGTTATTAATTGTTTTGGCTTTTAACTAGCTGTCAGTAACTGCGAGTACTCTCAAATCGTACTTTCTTGTTTATTTGACCTGTTGATACTAATTGTAATGCTTTTTTGTTATTTAATGTTATTCAGGGTTATATCTGGTCTATATACCAGCTTTGATAAGTGTTTGGTATTACTATAAATTTTCACTTCGTACTATAAACATCAAAATTATTTATTTTGTAAAAAATATTTTGTAAAAATATTTCCTTTCTCTGTTGGAACTGTACATGTATACCTAACAACAAAATTATTTTCCTTTACCTGTGTTTAAAGTTATTGCAAATGGCTGATATTTTTGTTCGAGCATATTGTTTTTCTTAAATTGTTTAACATTTCATACCGATATAATATGTTACTTTTATTATTCTTCCCTTAGTTTATTTATTTTGTATTTACATTGTATCATAGGTCAAATTTATTTGTTCAGTGTATGTTCACTGGTGTTAATATGTCCTTTGATTGAGTTAAGCTATTTCAGTTGATATTTTATAGTGTGTCTTTTTATGTTGTGATGTTACACTATTGTTTCAGAAAAAGGGTGAAGGTTTGGTACCATTAAAACGTTCAAACCCGCTGCATTTGTTTGCACCTGTTCTTAGTCAAGAATCTGATGTTCAGTAGTTGTCGTTTGTTGATGGGGTTCATAAGTGTTTCTGGTTTCTCGTTTTTTATATAGATAAGACCGCTGGTTTTCCCGTTTAAATGGTTTTACACTAGTAATTTTTGGGGCCCTTTATAGCTTACTGTTCGGTGTGAGCCAAGGCTCTGTGTTGAAGACCGTACTGTGACCTATAATGGTTTACTTTTATA